TGTGTAAAAAAAGTAGAATTTTTTGTCTTTTAATTCACCCAATATATGTAATATCCCTAACATTTATTTAATAATGATAAAAGTCTTTAGGTACCTTTGGAGATATCATGATATATGTTTGACAGTTCTTATCCAGGATATTAATAAAGTTTAAAAAGCAAAGTGTTTTGAGTGAATTTTTAAGTTAGGAAATTTACCAATAAATTTATATTTTATAATCAAAATGCAAAATATGAGATGAAGAATCGCCAATAAAGGAAATTCACCAATATTTATTATAGAGAATTTCCTCAACTTATCTTCACTGAAGATATCATTATTCTTTTAGCATTGAAACAAAAGATTTGCAGAAGACTTTTCATATAGGATTAATTTAGTTATCATTACAGTAAACTAAAATTCGAGTGCAACTGACATCAAATTGATAGGTGATTCACTAAACTAATATTTATGGTTTATTAATTGTTTTATACAATTTAATTGAATAATAATAAATGTATATAGATATACATCGATCATAATTTATCAATTATAGCTTTGGTATAATCAGTTGTTGTACTTTTACCACCAAGATCACCAGTCAAATATTTGGCTTCTTCTAAAACTGAGTAAGTAGCATTTTCGATTCTTTGAGCTTAATCATTTAATTTCATTGCTTTTAACATCTACATTATTTATGACTTAATATTACCATAATTCCTGATAATAATAATGCAGTCGGATTTGCAAGATTTTTTCCTGCAATATCAGGTGCAGTTCCATGAACGGCTTCATACACCTCACAATCTTTTCCAATATTTCCTGATGCAGTTAATCCCAATCCTCCAATTAAGCCTGCACAAAGATCAGAAACGATATCCCCATAAAGATTGGGCATCACCATAACATCAATCTTAGTTGGATCATTTGCTAATTTAAAAGCCATTGTGTCAATCTATTCTTCGTTAAATTAAATTTCTGGATAATTTTTTGCAACATCATCACAAACTTTCAAGAATAATCCATCCCCTTGTTTCATAACACCTGCTTTGTGACAAGCCACTACCTATTTTCTATCTACATTTAGTCTATATTAAATACTATTTGCTCTTGCATATTCGAAAGCGTATTAGGCAATATTCTAACAAGCATTATAGGAGACAATTTTGAGATTCTCAACTACCCCAGGAACAACTTCATGTTCCAACCCACTATATTCACCTTCGGTATTTTCTCTTATAGTTACAACATCAACTCCTGGATAGGGAGTTTTAACTCCTTTGATGGATTTACATGGCCGAACATTAGCAAATAATTATAATCTCTTTCTTAGCGTCACATTTATTGATCTGTATCCCTTTCCGATTGGGGTTTCGAATGGTCCTGATGATACTTAATGAAAGAGTACCTTTCAAAGCGTATTTTAAAGCTTTCACTTATTTAAGTGTTTCTTCTGTGATTAAATCGCCTTATTCAGTCACTCTCTTTTTATGAATCTCATGAAATTCCCAGTCAATTGGGACTTTTGCAGCATCAAATATATCTATAACAGCTTTAGAGATTTCAGGGCCTATTCCATCTCCCGGAAAAAGAATTACTTTTTAAAAGTTGAATTAAGGTCTTAATATTGTAGATGATGCTTTTCTTATAATATTCATCTAAAATAAATAATTTAATTAATAAGATTTAACTAGTCCTTAAATACATTAATTAGATATGCATATTATTTTATAATAATTATTTTGATAAAGTTATATTCATTATCGTTGCATATATGTTTAAATAATTACATAAAATGCTAATTTTCTTCTTCAAATTATAAAAAGTTTGAAAGAATTATAAAGTCGTTAATTGATAAAATAGTGAAATTAGATTAGATAGCATTTCATAAAAAAAGTAGATAAACAGAATACAATTCACAGGATGTTTATTAATAAATGACATAATTGTTTATATCTATCAAAGATATCATCTTCCTGACCATGATGCAACTTACTTCTTGAACATTATGATTACTTCATCCAAAATGGCATTCTCTTCATTTCTTTTGGCTTTAGCTTCTTCAAAATCAGCTCTTTTTGATTCCAAATCAGCTTGAGCCTAGTCCAATGCATCTTATGATTCTTATAAAATGATCTTAGATTTAGCTTATTGAGCCAAAGCTGCTTAGATTTACTTTTTATAAATTAAAAATCAATAATTACAGTAGCAGTTCTATCAGCAAAGACTTGTTTTCTTTCATATTCAACTTCCAAAGAAGCAATTTCAGCTTCAGATAATGAAACCCAACCAGCTAATTCCCATGAGGCATTGATTTCATTTTATTTCAAATTTTCTAATGAGCCTTCTAATTCAGAATGTAATCCTTCCAAAACTGCTAACACTTTTTCAGCCAAGGTTGATCCATTTCCTGATGATTATTCCTTAATTTTATATTATAAAGATTACTTATTATTCCTAAGCTAAGGCCAAGAAAGTTTTGATTTGATGTTCTTAGAACAAATTGCTGTATTACTTCAATTTTTCAGCTACAGATTATGCTTAAACTTATGTGAATTCGAATGAATCTCCATTAATAATATAGCCAGCAACATCTTGTTTCAAAAGCTTGATAACTTCAAGGGCTTCTTAATTATGTTTGATGGATTTGACGAATAATTAATTGCTGAAACATTGGTTATCTTAGAGTGTTTCAATTTTTGCAGCAATAGAGTCTCTTCTGGCTTCATTCCATGCCAAATAGTTTTTGGTTTGTTATAAAACATTTTCATATTCAGCTCTGTTCTCAACTGCTTATTGGAATAACTTTTAGTTCAAGGCCTTGATTTTAGTAAATTATTCAATAGTTCTAAGGATTTGGAATATATTATTACTATGCTCCAATCCATTCATCTGTTTCATTCTTTTAATCAGCAGCAAATTATGCATCGATGTTTGATTATTTCAAATCATTCAACAATCCAAAAACTGTGTCAATTGCATCGCTTGCTTTTGTTCCTGTCTAATCTATTAATTATACTATTTACTTATAATAAGGCCAAAATTTAGTCTTAAGTTTTTGAGGCTGAGCTTGTAGCTGCGAAGGCCAGCAAAACAATCATGATGTATTTCATTTCTGATAAACTTAATAATGAAAAACGATTTATATTAAAAACGACTTAATAAGCTTATTTATTATAATTATGATTATTTCAATTTGCAATTTATTCCTCTTTTATCTGGAGGAACTACTCTCATGCTCCACTACAATTTGCTTTTCTATTTTAATTATTAATGTGAATGATTGACTAAAACAGTATTAATTAATTATCATTTGTAGATTATATTATGAATACTCATTTTACAATATATTAATTTTATTTAGTTTCATTGAATTTTCCAGCATTTCATATTTATCATTATTGAATTTAGTTATTTTTATAAATCTATTGTGTTATTAATTTAAATTTATTTTATTATCAATTTAAATCTATTAGACTATTAGTTAACTCTCTATTAACAAAAATATATGTAGTATTAGATTTAAAATACATTTGGTAGTTTATTTTATTTCACTTTAAAACATTGTAAATAATTTAAAAACAGTTTATATTTATTTAAATAAGATATTTTTGTGGATAATAATGATAAAATGATCAAATGTTAAATGTTAAAACAAATTATTTGGCAACCTTTCCCTTTTTCTACCTTAAAATATTAGTTATTTCATGTGGATATGCTCTCTCATTGACATTTCCCTTTCTATAAAAAAATACATAGTCGTGAGTAAAGGCAATATCCGTTTTTGGACATCTTTCTACTTAAACAACAAGTCCTGATAACTAAGACTTAATTCCATTTTAGTCTATCAATGGATGGATTTTAGCCTATTTAAATATTTCGCATGAGTACTTTAACTAAAGATTAAAATCCAGGAGGATAAATATGATCCTTAAGCAATGAAACAATGGTTTGTTAGATTTCTTGTTTTGTATTTGGTACTAACAATCCTTTTATCTTCATATCTTAACCTAACCCAATCAAACAAATTCCACCATCACTATTCAACATAGCACATACAGTTTCTCCAAAAGCTCTTGGATTTTACTTTAAGTTATCTAATGTAGCATAATCGAAACCAGCAACCCTAGGAGATACTGTAATTGGCTATCCTATCTAGGGCATCAAATCTAAGTGAACTTAAATTTTGTCATTTCCTCTTTGATGTTAATTAGCAACTTAAGCTATTGTAGCATTTGGAGGTAGTAGTTCAGCCTATATTAACATATTTTTAAGTACCTTTCCAAATTAGTTTTTAGATTGACCAGGTTTGATCTTTAATCCTCTTACAGCATTATAATTTATTAATGCTTATGAGCAAGCATTTCTCACTAAAGTATCAACATATTGGTTATCATCTATTGTCACTGTTACAGGGAAATTATTAAATAATGGCCAAGCATTGACAACAAATTACACCTCTTTATTGATTACGTAATATTTACATCTCAATTATGGTTATGGATATCCGGTTTATGCAGGATACCCGGTTTGTGGAGGATATCCAGGTTATGAAGGATATCCGGTTTGTGGAGGATATCCAGTTTAAGGGGGGTATCCTTGTTATGGTGGATAATTTGGTTATGGAGGATATCCTGGTTGTGGAGCATAACCAGGTTATGGAGGATAATTTGGTTAGGGAGGATATCCAGGTTGTGGAAGATAATTTGGTTAACCTTATTATCCTGGATAGCCTGGAGGTGGATAAGGAGGTTGATTCATTAATTAAATTAATTCATATAAATATCAGATGTTATTAAAAACAAATTTTATTAATATAGAAAATCTTTAAGGTTTATAGACTAAAATGATTGTTAACTTATTCTTAAAACAAACTTTTCCTTATTATGAAATATGATATTTTTAATTTTGCAATTTCTAATTCTCACTTTAAAAGTATTTGAATTTCTTTTTATTGGAATTCTTGTGAATTTCCAAGAATTATATTTTCTTTAAATATGGCTCTAACTTAAAAATCTACATTTCAATTTTTTCTCATAGAGAATTGTTTAAGGGACCAAACTATAAATTTTTAGTCAGAAAATACTATCTCTGGCTTGATTTCTAAGGAACTAAAAATTCCTTGTTCGTTAATTTTCTATGAAGTATTAAAAATAAAATAGATATTTTGAATATTTAACAAAAATTACATCAAGGGGAGTAACCTGGGCCTGAAAAACAATGTCATTTTAGCAAACTTAAAGTATCGATATAAATCAATTAATGCAATTGGACAAGAATATAAAAATACACTAAGTACATAATAGTATTTAAAATATGGTAATAGATGCATTTTATGAAATTCTATGTTATACTATGGCCTTAAAGTAGCAGAAGAATACCTATAAATTTCCGATGTCTAATATTAGAAAAAAAATTAAACATTGATATGCAATATATTAATAAGGTTTAATTTTTTAATTAGAGAGGTATGTAAAATCACTGAATTTAATTAATTTTTTATTCGCTTTCATTAACTAGAGGGTTAAAGTTTTGTAATAAAATGAGTTTGAAAGTTTAATAAATAATTTATTTTTAATTTTCTATCTTTCTAAACCCATATTTACTTGGGTTGATCGATTTTAAATGTAATAAAGAAAATTGGAAGATTTTATTATTTATTTTATAAAACAACTAAATCTTGTATCCGATGAATCAAAACGATTTATTTCTTATTGAAGGGCTAAAATTTTAGAGGAATAACAAATAAGAAATCTTTTTGATTCCTTATGGAAATGGATTAAAGATGATTGTAAGTATTAAATTAATTTAGAACACTCTCAATCATTCTTTGTTATTAAACATAGATTTTTGTGATGAAGGAGTAATTTTTGATTGGAGTGCTTACAAAGGTAACAAAGGCAATGAGAATTTGTATTTCATGGTACATTTTCATGGATAGTAATTCAAAGTTTTTGGAACTCCAAATTAATTAGATTCGATGTATGAATTTTCTGCAGGAAAATTCATTTTCAAAAGGAACGATATTTATTCTTTAGATTCTATAAATGAGTCTATGTCCGCATATCAAGTATATATAAGTTCTATAACAAGTTATTGACAATAATTAATAGACTTAATGGTAAAAAATATATTGAAAAAAGAATTAATTAAATATACTCTTAATAAATATCCAATTCAAGTATCACAGATTTTGGATACGAAAAAGTACCTGAAGAGATACGAGTCATCCAACTATTAAACATCCGACGGTGTCCTTACATCATGAAAATAGATTAACTCACTTATGACGGAGAATGCTATTCGATTATTTATTAAAGTTCAAATTAAATATCTCTAAGACAAATATTGAGAAAATACAAGAATCCACCAGTATCCTTTATAATTGAAATCCTAGAATAACTCCTATTAGGTATTAAGTATTCATAAGTTAGTGTTAAACATATTTGAGGAGCTAAAAATAATTCATAATGGAATTACTTTGGACAATATCTGTTATTCTCAAGAATTCAATTTAATATTTTTGTGTAATTTCTCATTTTCAATATTTGAAACTCACAACCAATAATAAATGTATTATTAATCTAAATTTTAGAAAAGGTAACTCGATTGGGTTCGTTCCACCAGAGCAATATCAAATTAATTAGCGAATCTCCACTTCAGCCAACATATATTAATTAGGAGTTCTTTTATACTATATGTATGTATAACTAACTATATTAGGCTATTTAATGAAAACCCATTTGGAAAAGATTAAAAAAATATATTCTTCAATAATATTGCTGGAAAATATTAAATTCCAAGTACAAAATAGGATAAGAATATTGTTGAAATAATGAAATCTATGCTTCAAAAGAATCCATAGAAAAGAAAAACCTCAAAGGAATATTTGACGTCAAAGATTTTTATGCCATCCTATCGATCAAAGATTTCAAAACATAGTTTCTTTACTTTTTTTTAAGAAAACTTTAAATAAAAAATTGATGAATATGAGGTTGGGGATGATCTTATCTATGTTTAAAGTGTGAAATCATTGTAAATAAATAAAGGGATTAAGAAATGAATTGAATTATATTATGTGGTAGAATTATCATCATTCAATTTAATGTTTATGCATATATATTTATAGATATTTATTATTAGCTATTAATTTATTTGTAATATATATTTTATAATGAAAACAAATAGAGATAAATAAATGAATGAAATGAGATCCAAAATTAAGTAATCTCTATTTACTAAAAAAGAGATAATAAGCAAAAATGTAGAGAACTCTAAAATGGTTAAAAGATCAACAAGCAATACTTAATTAAATATATAATCCTCAGCCAAACCAAACTAAAAATAAAAGCCTTGTATTTAGAATCGTTTTCAAGATTTATATTAAATTGGTTCTATCATTGGCTAAGGCTCAAATGGAATTGTTAAAGTTTGTTACAAAAAAACTTCATCAAGTCAACTCTTGAATTTTGGTCATATCCCAACCAAATATGCTGTCAAAATAATACCTAATGCTGATGATCCTGAATTAATTAACACTATCACTTAAACTTTTATTATAAACAGAGAGCTAAATACTTTACCATAAATAGTATAGGTTTTCGATCTATTTATAGATGAAAATGAAAAAGTTGCATATTTAGTTATGGAATATTGTGAATGGAAGAGTTTAGAATATTATCTTGAGAAAAACTAACTGACGATTAAATAAATTAGAGAAATTATTAGAAATTTAGCAATTTCTCTTAAAGCTATACATAATAAGGGAATCTGTCATCGAGATATTAAACCAGACAATATTTTAGTGAAATTATGTGATCAAACTGAAATTAAAATTATTGATTTTGGCGTATCCAAAAAATTCTTTAAGAAGAATAAAAATGGTATAATTATACATGAGATGTGGACAAGGACAGGAACTATTTTATTTTAGGCACCTGAAATCTTTCTATGTGGGATTTATAATGAAAAAAGTAAATAATTAATTAAATCATCATAGTTGATATATGGTCATGTGGAATCATTTTGTATCAATTATTATGCCACAAATTTCCGTTCTTGGCTGATACCATAATAGACACAATTGAAACTATTACTAATCCAAATTATAATCCATGGAGATAATAAGAATTTTTAGATTTGCATTATTTACAATAAGATTTGTTAAAACGTACACTCACCAAGGATCCAAAAAATCGATTGTCAGCAGAAGAATTATTGCTGCACCCATGGATTTCGATGAAAACAAATTAATGCGATAAAACTATGGATGACACTTAAATTTCTAAAAAAAAATCTAAACTTCGTGATTTTAAAATTGCAACCTGTCTCTAGCTAAGTGATATGTTCAATCCTTATAAAAATTCAAGTCCATTATATTTAAATCCAATGCAAAATGGCAACACTATTAATGACAACAATAATATGAATCATGTTTACTTTAACCATAACAACAATAAGAATAAAGTAGACTAAGGAAACTTTAAAATTAGTGATTTTATTGTTAGAAGTAAGTAAATTTTGAGTGGGAAGAGCAGTTTTTTATTTGCAATAGAGAGCTCTTAAGATAATTCACCTAAAATGAATATCGAGTAGTCTGAATTATACTTGGATGATAAATAATCAGATGAAGTCTTGTAATACAGATTAGAATCTAGATTTTTAGATTATGATTGCTAACATAGAAAATTTTCGAAATGAGTATGATAGTTTTGTTTATTTAATACAGAAGTTAACTATTTAAATAATTAATCAAAAATATAAAATATGAATTTAATTAGGTGTTTAGATTTATCATAAGTAAGTAAAAGCTGTTTTGATAGCTAAAATTTAGAATTTTTCTTCGTATTTAATAAATTTAAGGGTAAGTTAATTTGCGATATATTATAAAGGTGAAAGATTTTAATTAATTATTTTGGGTATTGTGTGACTGGTAGCAATACATTAAATGTCAAAATTTTGATTAATGGGATATAAAAAGAGTGACAATAAATTTGATTTCGAAAGATTTTTGGGAAGATTTATTAATTGTACAACAACAAATTACTACAGATTTTTATATAAATAGAATTTATAGAATAATTAAGAGATGTGATGAAAAATAATTTAGAAATAGTACTTATAGTTAATAAGATCACTTGTTGGCATACCAATTTCCAAACATCTAAGATACTTAGCCATTAGCGGCTATATATATTTTTAGAGGGTAGGTTAAAGCTAGCGATTATGAATTTCCATTTGATTCTTTACGATTGAAGTTTTTTGGGTTGTTTATGATATGGGCTTGAGAATAAATGTGTGAAAATACACTTAAAATTTTAATGTAAATTAAAAATGCGCTAACATTAGTTGAGAAATCTTATAGGCACCAGGCGATTTAAGGGATGGAATAAAATCATTATTGGTTGAATGGTAGTGCCATTGATAAGGTCTTTGATATCTCCTTTGTAATTCAATATTTAGATAGATTAGTTTGATATTCTGATTGTTTCATTCATTTTATATATTTTTTTCCTCGAAATTTCTCCTACATGACCATTAATATATATATTATCCCTATAAAACTAATAAGACCTGAATAAATTAAGTTATTAAACTTAAATTAATAATAATTTAATAAAATGATAACAGCAACTAGATCATTAAATGTTAGATTGCCGTAATTAAGCATGAAAAATCTTGAAAAATCTAGAGACAAGTCAAATAAGCCTACAATTAGATCCATAAATAACATTTACGATTATTCTAATTCCCCACCTAAAACAAGAACTGATAATATCTCAAGGGGTTCCCTTTCCACTCCTTTATAATATTGCAGATATTCCTGTTATAATATATGTAGAGTGGATTCCTCTTTTAATGACTAAGAAATCTTTAGTGCATAATAAAAAAGTGTTTAAAGAAATGAAAATAGTAAAAATACAAATAGCGATTAAATTGAAAAATTGTCTTAAAGAATTAAAAACCTTAGCAAAACAAAATAAAAAATGTAAGAATCTATTTCCACAAAATAATATAAAAAAACTGAACCTTATATTCAAAAATAATTTGATAAATATTAACCCAAAAGTCCCAAATTGATTCTCAAAACGGAAGAAAAAAATGAAGAAGTCAACATTGAATAAAAAAAATTAATATAAGAGAAAATGTAAGAAATTTATGCATAAGTACAATCCATACTGAAATCACATAAAGGATATGTTAGATAAGTAGAAAAAAAGAATGTTTATATTCAATTAGTCTAACTTAAAAAGGAATTTAAACTTGTTAACTAAGATTACAATGAGTTTTATGTTAATCAAACTAATGAATAATTTAAATGTAATATATAATACGTCTATGATTAGTGAATTTTGAATTAGTTGATCGAATTGAATAATTAAAAAAGTTATTTGAAAATAAGAAACCAACTAAACGTAATTGTGGTAGTCTTTTTGATGGTATGGATATATCAATTGTAATTCAAACAGAAGCAGATGAAAAACCTAATAATATTGAATTTAACGAAATCTCTGAAAAAGACTTTGAGCAATCTTAAGATCTAATTGGATAATTTGCTGACTAAATGACAGACTGCTCGCCAGCCAACAGTACCACAAGAAGAAGAACTACTAATTAAAGTAAAAGAGCAACCAAATAATATTCTATTTAGCCTATCCAAATTTAATAAGAAACTACCTAATAAACTCAAATTAGTAAAAGAAAGAGTAGCGCGCAATCAATTAATACTCCACTTACACCAAAAACTCCTGATTCTCCATCTTCTATGACTTCTAGAAATAACAAGTTTGCGGCATAATAAATTATTTAACAAAAATTAAAATTGCCAGCTACACCACCTAGAAGGTAAGACTCATAATAATTCTAAGAAGATTAGACTAATGTCCTAAAAAAAGAAATTTAAAAAAGGCAATCGAAGCTCATTTCTCGTAAGGCTACATTAGAAATGTCACATTAACAAAAATAAAAGTCGAGATTAAATTCAAGAAATAGTTTAGTAGAAGTAACTGAGCATTCTGAAAATGAGTAAAAGGTAATACCTAATAAAAATGCTACTAATTAATCTTAATCTAATATTAATATTGAAAATAATCCAGAAATCAATTACAATTTTCTAGATTAATTAGAAAATCACAAAGAATAAATAACTATTGAAATTTCAACATAAAAATAACCGCAAAATTAAATAGTGTCTAAAAAGGAATAATAAAATACTAAAAAATAAGAAATTAAGGAATCCAAAATCATTTAAGACCTGTATTAATCTACATTCATATATGATCATGATATCTTGAATAAACATAGAAAAAATAAACACAAAAATGAATGGTCTTAGGATATATAATCAGTTATGTCTAACTATTATTAATTTTTTTGATTAATTTTTGATTTATAAATTAATATGCTATTAGTTATATAATAAATATATTTGCAAAGTCAAAATCCATAGTCAAAACATTCTTTAGTTTATTATCCATTTTTTATAATCTCCTACTTTTTACCTGCAAATGGTATCCTATGTAACCAATCTGCAGGCACACCTTTATAATTCTTTGGATTGAGTTCAATAGGATCCAATTATTATAAATAGTTGGCTGGTGGATTTCTGATTATAATCAATAATCTTACTTGTCATCAAATGATTTAACTTCTTGCAAATCATTAGTTATTTATTTTTTTTACTCTTACTTTGGTGATGATTTCAATAGTGAAGGATTAATCTCATTGACCTTACAAGTAAGTCTGTTGGCTTTCTCCTTTTTGTGTTTTAATTCCTCAATAAATTTATTATTTGCCTTATCTGGAATAGCTAATTAATCATCTACCTATAATTTAGATTCTGATTATATTTAAACTTTTTTGTCTTTTTTCTTTTTAGATTCCTTTGTTTTCTAATCATTACTAATCTTTGATTTATTGTCTTCTTTATCCTTTTAAGAATGTTATGTACGATTATCAATAACAGACTAAGGTCTTTTGTCTCCTTTTTCTTTTCTCTATTATTTCACTGACTTTTCCTATATCTAAGATTCTCCTTAAACACTGCCTGCTTCTGATGCAAATCGTAACGTATTTGTTAAGTCTGGCTTTTTAATATTAAATTCAGGTATGGTTGATTTCCCTTTTGATTCCAATTACTTTTTCAATTCTGAATACGGTTAAGGAGTCAATTGGTTTCTTTATTTTTATGCCTCCACTTATTCAGGATTTAATCTATCTTCTTCTCTACAATTTCTAGGAGGTTCTGGTTCTACATTTGCTACTGCAGCTCCTTTTCTTAATGCATTCTGATAAGTTTAAATAAAAAAGGGATCATTTTTATTCCTGTGTGGTTAAACATTATGAGAAAGCATGTGTTAACCATAGACTATGCCTCCAACGGATGGATTGATATTATTGAATCCATAAGGACCCCAGGCCGGCTTACCAAAATAAGTAGTAAATGCACTATCAGCAATCCATCTGGTTTCTCCTTGAAATTTCTTAATTCTATCTTTCCTCCTTTGTAATTTGGCTGCATCTTCAGGATCATTTGGATCAAGGGTCTTGGCTTTCTTAATAAATTTAGTATTCATCTTTTTTTATTAATCTTCATCTTATTCATTTTCTAAATCCTCTTCTTCAGATGAGATGATTTCTTCTTCATCTTTCTTAGATTCTTCATAATAAAATCCACTAAATGGATGCTAAACTTTATATTCGCCTTTAAAATTTTTATTATTTTATTCTAACTAATACATTAATTCATTTGTATCCTTGATATCTTTGATTAGATAGTTATCCCTATAGGCAGTTTATACTTTAGGGTTCCATTAAACAGGTAATTTATATTGATTGTTTTGAACTTCTTATAATTGAATTGATGGATTAGGTTATTATTAAGGATTACGGCAATCACAAGATTTTGCAATATTTTTAATTGTTTTCTCATCTAATTCTAAATAATTGTAAGAAAGCTTATATACTTTGCACAAGGATTTATGAATCTTCTACTTTTAATTTTTCAATTTTTCTGAAATTATCTTTATTTTCAGTTAACCAAGGTTAATTCTCGTGATTTATTCTTGTTATTAACTTTTTAGTTTCAGGTTCTCTTTCAACTTATATTTTCTTTTTGAAATCCCATGGTTCATCTTACTCGACTGGCCATTTCATCATATCAAACATATTAGGTTCTTGGTTTCTCGGTTTATTTTTTTTTCCAAATACCTTATTTTCATCTTGATTAAAATTAATAAATTACTTTCATAGACTTATTTTAAGACTTATTCTTTATTTTTCATATGGCTGTTAAGAAGAGTAAAAAATAAATTTAATTTTAATATTATTTTGAAAACTACTGTTAAAAGGAAAATATTTCATTTTTATTATTATTCAATATCATCACTTTGTTCTTCTTAATATTACTTAACTTATCTTTCAATTTATGATTATATCTATTATTCAACAGATTCATCTTATCTAATAGTTTCAATCTAAGATTCCTCGTTTACTTATTGGATTTCTGATAATTATTGTTTAATTTATTAGTCTTTTAATTACTCAATTTCTTGTTATTATTCAACTTTGACTTTACTTTCCTTTAATTTATCTAAATCACAAGCTTCAACAGATTTTACTTTGTAACTATGGTTAATTTAATATTAATAATTACTTAATAATAGGCTACAACTAAAATTATAACTATTGTTTTTCTTTTTTTTTTGAAGATATTGAACTATTATTTGTAGAATCTCTATAAGAATATGTCATATTATTTCTAAAATTTATAATATGATTATTGTTACCTGATAATATTCATATAATTTTAGCACTGCTGATATCGTTGTAATCTCATCATCAACCTCTTATTTTCTTTATAAGAATGTGAAAATTCTTCTATTTTCAAGACTGGTTCTTATTTCATTAGACGATCAGCTATTTTAATATTTTCATTTTGTATTTATTAAGCTTGATTCTTACGAAAAGTTAAGTTTAGATTATGAGGGTGATGTAGATTTTCATCTTCATATTTATAGTAATCTTATTACATGGGTCTATTGCAAATTTCTGTTATTTTTTAATACAATTGGCTATTGCCCTTATTTATACGCTCAGATTATTCTATTGAAATAATGGATTCATGTGTACCATTTAAATCGAAACGTCTCCTTTGCTATCGCAAATTATTTCTTTTTTCGAGGATTTCGAAATGCTAGACTCTCTATTAAGATTATGTTTTTTTGCTTTTGATTTCATTCAACTTCTTCAAATGGAGATCGTATGACCTATTTACTATGAATAGTTACTTCTCTCTCTAAAATATTTAGTCTAATTTATAATTATAATTGTATTAATGATTAGATCTCATTTAATAAAATAAATAATATAATTAATAAGAATGTCACAACCGTCCGAAACGAAACAATCAATTTAAAGTGGCAGGATGGTCTTACATCCATCTCTAAAGTTAGATAAATCGGCTGCTTTTTTCAAAAATACAAGAGTTAGTTCATGCTCTTATGTAAGAATGAAATAAGGCAATCCAGAAGTAAGAGGTCAATTTTGATATCGCTAGGCTGTTCCCTTTTATGAAATAGCCAATAAAACGCCTGCTGAACATGAAACCAAATCTTCTTATACAACTTCATCTTATGCGTAATTCAATATTGTAATAGAACAGAGATGATTATAAAGTGAGACCTAATTTACATGTTGGATCTACTAACAAATTATTAGAACCTTACAATACAGGATCATTTAGATCCAGATTACCTGAACCAGACGCTCCAATATTAACTAAAAATGCCTCTCAAATTGAATTAGGAGATAGACAGTAAATTCATAATAAAGAGTTTTAGTTTCAATGTAAAAAGACATTTCTTAAGCACTGCTCATAATGTCTATGGAAATTTCGGAAAACCAGGGAATATCACAAATCCAGGAATATTATCAGAGAAAACAAAATGGCATCATCATTTATAATAAAAATGATAAATTCGAAGATAAAATATTATTTCATTAATCATCTTCATCATCTGTATCTTTTTTTGGGCAGCATTGTGGAATCAGAGAATTCATTTTAATATTATCTAAATTTAACATAGGGTTTGTGTCTTATTTTTCTGTTTTATTTTTAGTTCCATTGTCTTTTTGTGATTTATCTTTTTTATTAGTGAGATTTTATTGTTGTAATTCCTACTCCTATTTTTTATATTCTTTAATTAATTATTCAATCTTATCATTTTTAGGATCATTATCTTATTCATTCTATCTTTTGTTTTTTGTTTTTGGGTTCTATTTTTTATCGGTATCCTATTTAGCATCCTTGTTGTTTTTCTTATTGGATTTATTTTGCTTTTTGGTTTCAGGTTCACCTTAATTAAAATTGAAAATTGCTGTTTTCAATTTTTAGGCTTTCTTTTCCTTTTTAGCATTACTTGATGGCATCTCTAAAGAATTTAGATCAGAGTTTTTATTTTCGATAGATTATTCTTCAGATGATTAATTACTATTAATTTTCTTTTATTTTTTTGGTTTATTTTTTTTTGTAATTTTATTTTCAATTTATTAGAATTATTCATATTCTTCTTGATTATCATCATCATCTGATTCTGAATCCACAGTTCTTTTAGAAGATTTCTTTTTGGTAATTGTAATTTATTTTGATTACTTTTTGGTTGCAGTATAGATTTCTGAATTAGAATCTGATTCTGAATTTAATGGTTCTATTGGTCTTTTCTTTGATTACTTTCTATTATTATTACTTTTTTATTTAGTATCAATATTGTTTTGAGGGTTCTTTTTATTTTCTGAATGATTCAAATGAACATCATCTAAGGGCATGTTCATAGTTCCAAAGACATCATCAAAATTCTAATCATAATTGTTAAGGAATTCAGTCATAGATTTTTTAACTATTGGTTTCTTGTTAAATTGTTTAACTTGCGAATCTAAGGCAGTGAACAAGGAAGTTTAAAATAAGGATTAGGATTATGCGTTCAAAGATTTTCTTAATGTTTCCTCTTATTCAGATTCTGAAAAATCCTCAATGTTGGACTTTTGTTTAGTCTATTTTGAATGATTCATTTATTATTTTGCTGATAATCATTTTTAATTATATATTACAATATTTCAAAGGATTTTAATTTTAATTGGACCTCAATAATTATAATTTAAATGATATTAGAAAATCCGAGTAAAATCAAATGGAAATAATAATACATTAAAAAATACAGAGCTTTGTTGGGAATTTCAAAGTATAAATATATCAAACATAGTCTGAAAGTAATACCTCCAGAACCTACGGAAAATAATATCACTCCATTGCATCTAGATTATATTAACAGGTAGAGATCGAAATCGTTAAAATAAAATGACGAGAGTATCTTACAAAGTTCAGATAGAAGATCTTTACATACAAAAATTTACACTGCTTGCGAAATGAACTAAATTATTAATCATGCAAGAATTTGTGGATTATTGCATGATAAAAAAAGTTTGAATTCTTAAAATAAACAAAATGAAAGTTTATTAGAATAAAATAGAAAATATTTCTAAGATGTTCGAAATCTAGAAAACAGTTGGAATTACAAAAGAATACGTTAAGAAGAATAAAATCGAGTATTCAATTCTATACCTATGGAATAACATTATAAAATTAAACTGAAATAAAAAGAGACACATTTAAACATACAATAATTAATTTAAGAATAACGTACTTTGTTTTTAACTAATAACACACAGTAAAACCATGAAATATCAGGTTCTAGTTCCCAAGAATGAACACTTAGAATAAATTTGTTTATGATTTAATCACAATATAACTTATGTTAAACATATATTGAAAATGAAAATCACAAATATTAAAATTTAGAATTATAAAATTAAAATGACAAACAGGAAAACTAACCTCTCCTCAATTACTAAGAATTTATTCAATAATGATTATGATTAAGATACTTTATTCTCCTCTCCATTGAAATCACCTGATAAATCTAAGTCTAAAGTTTCCTCCAATCAGTCACCAATCAAATTAGACAGTATTGACAACTTAATTGAAAGCTAAAATACTTTAAGAACTCATATACCGTCAGAATTTAATCTTAGAAAAATGTTATCCAAAATGGATAATGTTGATACTATCCATCAAACACAATAACAATATAAAACCTGTAGATTCAGAAGAAAAGAAAATTTTTAATCTTAACCTTCCTTGAAAATAGAAGTGAAGAACGATGTTGAAGATTTCTTTAATAACAATACTCCAATTAATACTTAATTAAAATAACATAAAGAGAGTAAGTAATATTAATTAATTACATTCACTGATTATGTTGAAAACATTTATGGTAAAGATTGGTTTACAATACCATAACGAAGATTTAGAAGATAAACTACAATCTAAGAATTCTTTGATATCATCGAATGACTTCCAATTAAACTATTGATTATATCTTAACACATTTTTAATAATAAGAAATAAAATTTATATAAAATTATGCAGAAATACTCATCCCAAAGACTCTTATTAACTAATGAAGAACTTCTACGAATCTAAATTCTAGCCAAAAACTCTTTCAGACCCTCCTCCAAATAGAGAATCAAAGAAAAACCTCAACTTGAAAAATATCAATTCAAACCTGAGGTATTATCTCCATTTATTCTAGATTAATAAATAATCTGCAAATCTATAAAGATCCATAAATGATTTATTAAGGTGGAACTTAAATAAGCAAATGAAAAGACAACAGATATATGATGATGAAGTACTCAACCCTCATTTATTTCTAGTCAAGAGAATTTCTCAACAATGCCAATAGGTTAACTCACGAATTAACAAATACCTCAGTCTTTGATAGATTGTATTAGGTTCGAAAAAACAGTGAAAATGTTATATGTAATTACTCCATTCTCCATTTTTAGAACAATCTAAGAGGAACACTAGCAATTTTGGACCTTATTATACTAAAAATATGACTAGTTCCATGTATTAAGAATATCAACGCTAATAGTAATTAGATGTATCTTCATTTAAATCTAAAACAAATGCTACCGATAGCAAATATGAATTATCACATCAATAAACTCCAAATCCTAAATTTGTAGATTCAGAACAATTACCTATAGCTGTAAATGATGTAAATACGTTTACCTATAATTTTCAATAGCAAATCAAAACTTCATAACTTGTACATCAGTATGTAGACTTAACTGAATAATTGAGCAATTCTATGAATGAGCCTGATTCCCCTGCAAAGTCGCCATTGCACTAGAAGGATATTGAAGTAATGGTTGAAAGGTATAAAGTACATTGACTACCAAATAGATTAAACAATTGGTAGGCTAAGAAATAACAATAAGAACAATAAGGATAATAGGAGGATTAATATGCAAAATCCTAAATAAAACCGAATTTTATCAATTAAAATAGATAACCCTCGTTCGGAAGTCAATAATCTCAATCGAAATCTTATTCGAATATGTTCCTTAATAATAATCAAATCAATTGATATTTAGGATATATTATTATTATACTAATCATAATCATTTCATTGAAATTGCCATTGATTAGAAAATATGTATTCTTAACTGCAGAATTTCGAAATTTCTCTTAAATTTCACTTTTAAATTATGATCCTTATATTATTGTTTTACTTGCTCATAATTAATTAGTGTATTATGTGAATATTTCATTTTTCAAACATTTTTAAATAAAATGGTTATTAAAAAAGCTTTTCAGGATTTTTATATTCAAAAATTCTTACAAATCAGAGACTCATTCAAGCGAAATAAATATTTGAGTTTTGCATTAGTACTATTCTAAACCCTTCAAATATAAGGAATTTATATTAGTGGAAGCATTTTCGAATCAGATGAGTTGGGAAAGAAAAGAGGAATAATGGATGCGGTTATAATGATACTCAAATCTGCTAAGTACATTTTAATATTGATAAAGAGTATTCCCCTTATTCTAATCTTCAACGAGTATCAATAAAATAATTTTTATTGACTTCAGCTTCATCATTTTATTAATCGTATTTTCTTTTATCGGATTGCTAGCAATTTTAACAACAAGAAGTCAAAAATACATGAAAAATCATAAAGTCAATGGGTTATATCAATTAGTTTTTACTGATTCTGCTACTTAAGTAAATTTCATATATAATGATAGTTATAAACATAGTAAAATTTGTTAATGAAATTTATAAAATTTATAACCTATGTAGTTTCCGTCTTTTTGTAAACCTACAAATACTTGTTTCATTGGAGTATCATTTATTGTGCGCTAGATAATATCTACATATTTATCAAGAATCCATCTGAAAATAATGGTATAATTATATAATTGAATTAGATTGGATGCATACATTGGGAATAACAACATCAGTCATTGTGCTTTTGTTTTTCGTGTTGTTTGATAACTTTATGATGTTCCACTTTTTTGATTATAAGTTCAAGAATCCAGACTTTTTGGGTTAAAAGGAATCCAATCTTGAACTCTTGCTCAATTAATACATCTATTCCACAATAGCTATAGTGGTCTTTACCCAATAAGAATATCCAAATTTACAATTATTACTAGGATTGCTCTTCACAATTTATTAATTGTTTTTAAGTTCATTTCTATTTCTGAATCGCAAATAAATGATCAATTATATCAAATCTTTGATACTTGGGTAATTTATATTTCTCTATATTGCTCAATTTTGTTTTGTGAATGGAACATTTTCTATTGAATTCATAAATCTAATAGTATTCATAGCATCTCCAATAATCATTAAAATACAAAATAAGATCTAAGAATTGCAAGTTAAACAATATCTTTAATTAGATGATAAACACTTTCGATTTTTTGAATCAAAACTAAGGAAAATCTTTGATTTAATTAAAATCACTTACTAAAAGGAATGGAGAGCATTCAGATAACCAGTAATTAGAGCTTATGTATCTTTGTAATTACATAGTTTAGCTGCTAATCATTTAAGAAATTGTTATGGAAATTAAAGTGATTTTAATTATTAGAATAATGCAGTTAAGAAATGCTTTTGTAAATAGTATTTTTAATACAATGAAGAAAAATCAGTAAATTTTTGGAAAAGAGAATTAGATGCTGAAACAGAAAATAAATACTTTGCATTCAAAAGTGAAAAACAATTTAAATAATTTCTATTTGATTTAATAAAGGATAGTTTTGAAAGATATCTAACTCAAAAGTCAATATTAGAAACTAATGTATAGTTTTCATACATCTACTTCTTATTTTAAATTCAAAAGAAACCAACCAAAGCATTCTATGAGGCTATGAATTTGAAATTTAAAATCAAAAAGCTCTCCTAAAAGAAAATTATGATCATTGAATAACTTATTCAAGATGCTAAGTTTAATTTCAACTTAATGATAGAGAAAAAAGATTTAAAAAATTAGAAATATAATTTCAAACAGGTTTTTGATTATGATTAGAATTTGGATACTACTAAATTAAACTTTTAAATCATATTAACAAATTATAAGAAATGGTACAATCAATTGTTGAATTAATAGTTGTAATTATAAATGATCATCAAAAAGGGAATTGAACTTCAACAATAAATATAATAATTAGAGTAGTAAATATTCAGTTTATATTAATTGAATCCAGTTTCATCTGAATTAGATACAATAGTTTATCTTTTTTATAAATACATACATTTTAACCTCAAAAGACCAAAATCTATTAGAAGAAATTCCTCATATGCAAATTAATTTATTTAGTCAATTAATCAATAAGTATTTGAAAAGGAATCTTGTATCATTTATATATCACTCATGAATCAGAGAGGATCCATACAAAATTATACTAAATCTTTTAAATCTTTAATATTAGGAAATGATTAAGATATCAAAAATTAGAATATCAAACATTTTATGCCAGATTCTATTGCACAATATCATGACATGTATTTAGATAATTTCATTGAATTGGGTAGGATGAATATAGTAATGGCTGAATAAAGATTTTTGATTCTTAAAAATAAGTAATAGTTTATAATTCCAGTATATGCCAAAGTGAGATTGGAGAACTATTCTAACAGCGATTTTGGATCATCTGCTCTGATAACACAAATTAATTAATAGAATTATTACATTGTCATAAGTAGATATGGCATTTTGGAAGAAATGTCTTAGAATTTTTACTAAGAAATCATTCAAAAAACTTTGAATTATTATCCATATTAATTAAAAAACTTGAATTTGCTTAGATTAATGCCCTGTTTGTTGAAAGACTTGCAGAAGTTAGAAGTAAATTAGTAAAATAGCAATGAAATAGATTTCGAATTTTCTTAGTAAAATAAAGATCAAATCAATTATGATATTCTAATGGAAGGGCATATTCTAATTCCTAAGCAATAAACTTTGTTAGATTAGTTATAGATATCAAATAAAAATATTTTAAACGTTGATGTCGAAAATTACTTTTTCGTTTAATAATAGAAAAATCATTTATTCTACTAAAATGTTCAACATCTATTTATATTTTATGTTAAATACAAGATTCGATTAATGAAAACCATTAATTCATTACATAGAATACTAGAAATTTAGACGTTGAAAATGATCAAATCAGAGCATCAATAAAAGGCTATAAGAATAGTCCAGAATATTTGCAATATTGAATAGTCTTCTATTTTGAAGTTTTAATAAGCACCTAAAATACATTATTATTTGTAAGATTCGGATGGATATGACGCGTTTCAAAAAGAGTAAATTGAGGCATTCAGGAAATCGTAATCTTCTGAATTGTTCGATAGAAAATCATATGATTTAGAAAACAATTTAATAATGGAAGAGGACAATATGATAAGTCAGAAATAGAGGAATTTTGATGAGCATTACTCAACTAGAAGGGATTTAATATAGTAAACATTATTAAATACTTTGGATTCTCATGTGTACTAAAAAACAAAAGAAAATGTTCAACTACTGCAGAATGAATCTGATACTACAAAGTAATTAATGAGAAAGAATAGTTTTAATGTAGTAAGTAAGGGTCAGATTGATGATATGGAATTATCAAATAAATAATCAAAAGACTCAATTGATTAGGATTCAGGCTCAAATTATAAAAATCGTTAAGCAACAATTCATTAGAAAGATGGGAGTTCAATAGCTAGTTCCCAATAATAGAATGATTATATTAGTAAAAGGAGAATGATAAGAGATGTCTTATTTTCAGATCATTAATTTTAAAATACCGCTACAAAAACTAGCATTTTGATTTTTGGCTTAGTTTTACTTATCATCTTATACCTAGTAAATCTAATCTTTATAGTTATAACACAACACGTATATATTCTTTATATAATCCCTAGAAAGTAGAAGAGATCGAAGCCAACAAACATGTATCGATAAATATACAAAACTCTTTGAATCTATTTATCCTATCAAATCAGTTTGAACAAATTCAAATCTATCAAAATAATACATGGATTTGGTATTAACAGCTTTAGAATCTTTCAATTATAAACTATCAAATATATCTAAGATAAATTTTAAATGCTCAAAACTCAATTATAGAGCAATCAATGTTTAATTAATTAAGTATTTATTAATATACTAATCAATAGAAACCATATATTTTGAAGAAACAATTAAATATGAATTGGATTAACTTTTTATAATTAAATTAATAGGCGAATACATGATAGATTATAATAGTGACAAAGAAACACACAAGGATGGAATAACATTTCTAATTCGTAATTTTTAGGTCATTGTTTAGGAAATGCTAGTCGAATTTAATAATACTACCTATAGTAATATTCAATAGGAAATCGACATCATTGATTCCTAAATATAATTAACTATAATTCTATCTGAAGTTACATTGAGTTTAATAGTCATCATTCTTTTACCTGTATTTTTAATTATTAATCGATAAAAAAACACAATTTTGGAATTCTTTATGACATTCCCTTAAAATGAACTTCAATAGTAATATGATATTTATTAAATTCTGTTGGACAAGTTGGAAGAAACTAAATTTGCTTAACAGGAGACTAATCAATATGATATTGAAAGTTCTCATATTAAATAATTTGTAAAATCTATTCGCCTAGTCAAAGATTCCAATTAAAGTAAATAATAATATGGAAAATTGAAGAAAATGATTGGATCTAGTATTTTAATTTAATATTTTAGATGCAACTCCATTGATAATATTTAGTATCTTTTTAGTTTTACTCCTATTTTCTATAGTTTCTGCTTACTTTATAACTTCATTTATGATTAAATATCAATTTCTAAGTGATTATAAAAGAATTAATAATGATATCAAAATTTATGATTCTTTACAATGTGAAATTTTAAAAGAAAATGCTATTTAAAATTTAATTCTCAATTAAATATTAAATTAGAATGTAAGTGATGTAATTAAAAATACAGGTAATTTAATACTATATAAATAGTACTCGAATTATTTGAAGTAGAAAAAGCAAGTCAATATCCAACAATATTGTATTATCAATAAGAGCTTACCTAAAGATTTTCAGATTCAAGCAATGAAGAGTTCTATAATGTTTTATCAAATAACACATGCGATATTTTCAACTCTGATATAATTAAACACTTGGAATTGGAAGAATTTTTAGACTTTTATAGTTACCAAGGGTGTCAGACTATTGGCCAAGTTCAGCAAGGAATTAGCATTTCTATAATTAATTTTGTAAATTAATTGAAATAATTATATTCGACATTGTAGTTTTTTGAAAGTAACAATCTTAAGTATTAAAGATAATAATGGTTATGAATACAAAACTCTGTATGATAGTATCATATTCCTAAAAGACTAAGATATATAATAATCTTATCTATATACTGCTTTTGCACTTTAAGTGATAACAAACTATCAAGATTAGTAGATTAAGACCTTAGTCTAATAACATTACTTAACTCAAATTATAGCCTTTGTTGTTGGTGCCAGCTTTATTAGTGTATTCACTCTTATAACAGAGAAGTGCTTCAAAAGTCTGATTTCCAATTAGATAAATTAATCCAAACTGCTACTTACTTTAATCCCATTTGAAACCTTATAAACAAATGCTTATGTTATGACTTATGTATTGCAAGAATCGAAAAAAATATATTTATGATTTATATTAATATATTTATAAAATAATATTAATTATTAATGTTACTCACCCTTAAATATTTGAATAAGATTAAACAGATCAATTTGGATAAACGGGTAAATGTGTAATCTTTGCAAATACTTTTGGCGTAATTATTTAGTATCAAAAACAGAATAATAGGCTTGATAGATTAAGATGGTATCAATAATTGTTAATTATCAAGGCAATTTCTACGATTTATCATAATTTATCTAATAATTGTAATACACACGATGTAATGTGTACACTATTGTAAGTGAAGAAAATTATAATTAAGATGACAACAAATTATTATAAACATCTCTCAAATATAGTTAGATGTCAGATTACAACAATAAGCTTTCATTTATTGATTTCATTTATGATTTGGATGAATTCCAATAAATTCTAGGTGGAGATCAATATACTTGTATTTTTTTGATCGATGAAAAGGATTATCAAGGGTTAGATTTTCTATGCGCACTAGAACCCTTGATAAATAACTTTAATAATTGGATTAACTTTTTCTATTCCTTTAGTAACATACTACAAGATCAAGCCAGGGAGAATGATTTATATGTTAAGTTACTGTGGATCTACAAAGGATCTAAGAAAATTGTTTCCATTTAATTGAATAATGATAAAAAAATGAGATAAATGGATGAAATTATACAAAAATTAGTTTAAGCTAAATTACAAGGCACTAGCACAAGAACTTCAAATATCAAACAACAATCTCAAATCTCATTTCAATAATCTCCTAATAACAGAAGAAGCAAATCTATTCGTAAATTAGTTGAAGAATCTTAGACTTCTAATAACAATGTATATATGAATTCTAATGTTGGGCCTTCAAAATTAATCACTAGAGTATAAGCCAAACTCATCCAAAGGGATCCTTCAAGAGGCAGTGAAAATTTTGAAGATTATCGATAATAATAATAAAATTCATCATAATTTTAATAATAAAGTAATATCTATCAAAACGAATCAATGATCATTTAATAAGATATCCTATTTGCTTTGGTGGGAGATCTAGAAGAAAAGGAAATATTAGATGTCACGATGGCAAGATTAGTAAAGCGTTTGCTAATAGAAGAAAACAAAGAACTTATTCAAGTCTTATAAAAATATTTGTAGAATCATATAAACATTCAATAATTATGTGAAAAATTGAACATAATTATTGAGAATTGCACGTATTAAGAGAGACCAACATCTCCTTTCTAAACTCTTAAATAAACAAAGCCTAAAATGGTATCCTAATAAATGAATTCTTAAGACTTTAATCGTTCTGCATAATAAGATTCAATTCAAAATCATTAGACATAACGATTAGAAGATATTAAAAATAAAGTTATTGAAAGAAACAATTACAATTATACTTCTGAGTAATTTGGAATTATGAATGCCTTATGGGATCAATAGGATCAAGTCTTAATACAATTATGTACCGATATATATAATAAGATGCAAAAAGGTGAATAACCCTCTCTAAAACCATTATAGATTTATTCTGGTTCCAAATTTAATAAATTATTGTAGTAAAATTTCAAATTATCGGAAATTACAATGATTCACGAGCATAATAATAGCCATTCAGGGTCAATCTATGCAGTTCTACAACATTTTAGATACTAAAGCAATATAGAATAGTTTATTAATGATTTAAGAAAAGCTATCAATTCGGTTTAAAGTTAAAATCAACAGCTTAATTAACCTTAAAAATAGTAAGCCTAAGAATCTAAAGTAATCCTGTTATTTAAATAAATTCCCAAAGCTCCATCGCCTTATAGTGTTTTAATGCCCAATTTTTAATTCTAAGAAAATACATTGACTTAAGCTACTACTACTACAATATAATAGGAATAATAATAATAATAATAATAATAATAATAATAATAACTTAAACGATAAAATGAGAATTAAATCATGCTCACGAACTAAACTTTGCCTATTCCATATAAAATTGATAAACGTATTGAAGAATAATAAGTTATCTAAACATCAGTTTAAGAATAGCCAATCTTAAAAAAAAATGACATTATGAGTCGATCTGAGTAAATTTCTCCATAATAGAGAATAAGTACACAGCAAGTTGCTGCTAAAGATATTATTTTTAATGAAGAAAACTTTATGTAAACTAAAAAAGAAAAAAGACTTGCCAATAAGGGAAAGATCGATTAATTTTATTCATGTCAAATTGAAAAGGAGCTATAGCAAATATTTGAAGATATGCTTTGGTATATGGATTTAGATGAACCAAATGTTAGCTAAGTGTAATTGTTATTATCAGACCATAATCAGAAGCTATATGAAATTTTATAAGGTTGGCAATCTTCTAGGAATATTTAGAATACAAAAACAAAACTTATGTATTATTTAATTATATGATAGAAAATTATTATCTGAATAATAAGTGAAAAAAGATGATTATAGAAAAATAAAGATGTATAATTTATTTATGAATTAAGTGAGATAATTTACATTATAAAATCATCTATAAGATAATGAGAAAAACTTTTTATTAAAAATGTTTATGGATAATGATTTATAGGTTTTAGGAACTTTTGAAACTTATTTGTAGAATCAAGATGCTGAAGATATGTTAGAAAATTTAAAGTTGATAATCAAATAATATTCGAAATTCACAAATGTATAATAATATAACCATTATTAAAAGATCAATTCGCCTAATACAGATGTGGATCAATAACCTATTATAGAGCCGATACAGAACTAATTAACTGCAAAAGAGATTTTATGGCAAATTAGAATGTATTTTTCAGCCGAGGAGAAAAATAGATTAGATAATATGCCATAAGAATAGAGAGATATGAAAATTGTTTAATTATATTAAGAGTATCAGTAAGATTTAGATTTAAATGGATTTATTTCTGCTGTAAAAAAGTTATGTCAATAAGATTAAGATCTAAATGGATTTATTTCAGCTGATAAAAAATTAAGTCAATAAGATGAATTAAAAAAATAATTTGAGGACTTATTAAAGAAGTTACAAAAAGAAGGATAATTAAAGATAGATGATTACATGATATCTGTTATTAATTAGAGAAGAAATGAATAAAGAATAAAGGGTGTTTTTGAATTATATCTATTTAACAAAAACATCGAAGATTTTGTTGAAAGTATAAGAAGCATAACTAAAATATTGTAATAAGGTAAAACATTTGAATTTTTAGTTTAGAATTGATTCTTTAGACCTTGAATTAATTTGAGAAAGAAAAACTATTGGATGAAAGAAAGATATCAATTTTAAAAGAGAAAGCATATGATTATCACAAGGATTATCCAAAATTACTGGGTGCATTTGCATTATACTTTGAATAAGCTTCTATAGATTAAGAGGAAGCAAAAAAAGAAATATTGGAAACTCTAAGTCTTTTCAGCTCATGAATAAATATATTATGTTTCTTATAAATGTGACAATAATATTTATTAATTAAATTATGTTTACGACAGTCTCAGTTTCTGTCTAAGAATTTAGAGGAATTCGAACTGCTTCAACTACTGGCACATCAAGTTATAGAGATTTCTAAAGATTGCCAGCAACTAAAACTAATTACAAAAGGTAATATTTGAAAGGAGCTTCGAATCGTGTAAAATCATTAAAAGAGGAATCTCACTTTGTTTAATTATGCAGTGACAGAAAAAGCAATGAAAAATTATTTAAATTTAACAGATAAGATTAACTCTTAAACTATAGAAATCTTCATTTAAATAAGTTATAGCCAATTTCAAATCAAGAACAAAATCTCGAAAATTAATTACATTAAGAATAGTAAAATAAATCGTAGATAAACTCTCCAAATAATAATGTAAGAAGTTCTGGCATCTAATTAATTACTGATAAAAAGAATTAACTGATCGAACTAATTTACAACTCACAATCAGTGATATAGAAATAGAAGAAATCGTATTCTAATTAATAAAAGACTGAATATTTGCAAAATGGGAAAACACCTACATAGATAACAATTTCATCACCTTTAAAAAATTAACCTTAGATTCTAGGTCAAATAATAGCATCAAGCAGAAATAATGGTGATCTTTTTGTAAAAAGTACTTAACTAACATCTTATGGTTCGCTGAAAATAACTACATAAGAAGAAAAATTAAGCTTTACTCCAAAACCAAAGATACCTACTTCTTTGGATGGGGCTAAGAAATTCTTAAAATAATTTATTTGAGTCAAGCAATATTCATGTTAATTCTCTTTTTTAATAAATATTAATTTATAGAATCAACAACAAAAATTGGACTTTGTATGCTAGTGTGTTGATTCCAGTTTAATATTTTATACTTTTTCTTCTAATGACATGACATCTTTAATTTATTTTGAAATGCATTAGAAGGAATCAATTATGTTTATGCCTTCTTTGGCAGATGTCTCAAAAAATTTAATGCCATAAGAATCTGCTAAATTTTTTCCTTATTCATATTGAACTGCTCTGTCATTTAGATCAGATTTGTTGGCCACTAATAAAATAATTACACTTTCTGATGCATTCTGTCTTATTTAATTCATCCAATTTTAAATGTTTTGAAAACTTTCAAGATTATTTACAGCATAGACCAATATAATACCCATTGCTCCTTTGTAATATGTTGAAGTAATAGTTCTGAATCTCTCTTAACCAGCTGTGTCCCAAATTTACAATCGCATTAGTTTTCCTTCGACTTCTAAATCTCTAAATTTGAAATCTATGCCTGTTCTAAATTTAAATTCATTAATCTACCAATAGTTGAAACAAAGCTTGGGGTGTATTAATTTTCACAGAATCTTTTTAAAATGTTTGTTTTGCCAACAGCTGAATCTCCAATTATCAGTAATTTTATTATTGGTTTATCACATGTATTCATTATAATTTAATATAATAATTTATAATAACAGATATTAATTTTTATTCAATATGTTCATTTTATATAGAGAGTGTTAGACTTTAAAAAAGTATTTATATAAAATTTCATTTTCTGATATCAGCAATTCACAGGATGTTTATTATTAATCCAAATACTTATTAATGCAGTATGTAGTTATGAGTTATTTATATAAATATTAATTGAATTGATATTTTATAATTTAATTCTGACTACTACGCCATTTGAATGAGTTATTTCGAAATAAAAAAGATATTTAATTTTACATCTAATTTTTTTTTAAATCATCTTATGCTTCCTTTATTATATGCCCCATAGTATATGAATTATCCATAACTCAATCTTTAATAGTTCTATATGCTTCCAACTACCACGTATGCATTACAAACTCCTAAAAAAGAAACTTGTGATTAATCCTGCTAATTCCCAGAGCCTTGCTTAATAGAATCATAACTTTCGTGTAACACTGTGAAATTCGAAGAAGCAGCCGAGAAAGAATTAACAATCCTCCTCAAATACTTATCCAAACATATTTCATTATTAAAAGACAGTGTATTTGATGAGTTTGTGTTTGAAAATTTAAAAGTATTTCACCTTGAATAAACTCTAGACCTTGTCATCTTTATCAAAAGACCTTCCAAACATGATTAAAAAACGATATATCTTAGTCAATAAAACAAAAGAGGAAATGACAAAGTTTATCATCAGAAGATGTTTTCTCTTTATCAAAAGTTAAATTGACTATGAAGAAAAGGAGGGAGTCTCTGCTGAAGAGAGGGATAGAATATTTTATAATTCTTTCTTTTCTGATGATAAAGAATTTATGAAATCTCTTCAAAATCAATCCATTGATGATATGATCCCATTTAGAAAAGATTCTAAAGTGAAAACCATGAATGACAATTATTTAAAAAGACTATTTGAGTCAGAAAGATTCTCCAAATATTTTTCTTTGTATTTAAGTATTTATTCTTTTAATAAAATAGATCAATTCAAGGATATATGCTAAAATGAAAACGAAGAAAAGATAGACAACATGACCAAATAATTGATCAAAATCATCATGACTAGAGATTATGGAGTACTATTTAATACTAATCATTTTAGAAAATCAAAACTTATAGGAGATTTCCTTGGAAAGACCATGAATTAATCAAATGTGAAGAAAGAGCCAAGGAATTGTATTCCAAGTATTCAAGTTCTCACATTAAAAGTATTTTATTCATTCAACTTAGAACAAAAAAAATATAGTTCAAAATGTGATTCGCATACGTCTGATATTTTGGAAAAGTACTCTGAATCTTAAAATTGATATTGCTATCATTAATATCATATTATCTTTGTTAAAACATATCAATTTTATAAATAAATTAACATGAGTTTACTTATTTTATTTTCTATATTTCTAAACTTACATTAATACCATCCACCTTCTTCAATTCTCCAATATTTAAAGTACAAATTCATAGCATTAAAAATTAAGTCTAAATAGTTTACACAATGAAGCATTCAGTAAATAATTAATTCATTATTAATAAAATATGAATTAGTGCAATTTTTAAATTATGAAAATTAATAAATATAATAGTTTTATTAATTCTGATTTATAAAATATAAAATAAATTATCTTAAAATAATGATTATAATTTTAATAGAACCATTAAATCGATCATATAAGCTAATTTTAAGAGAGAATCATTCTATTCCATAATATTAATATCTATTTAAATATCAATTTATCTAACCACATACGATTAATTCGAATAATCATAGATTGTATTAAGAATAGCAAAAAAGCTTGATAAATTAGGAGTAGTAATTTCTTATTGCTACATGGATTTATGAATAACATATATGGGAAGTAATTTATTTATAGGAAATTCATTTGATAGATCAAAATTATTGAGATTAACAAGCAGTCGTCATAATAAACAATTGGATGAGAGGTATTATTTATCAGAACTGTATAAATAAAAGATAGTAAAATATATGCTTATAGTTTACTAATAGATCTAATAGCAATAATATTCAAAAAAACAAGGAATTAAGATATCTGTCTAATACACTGATTGAAATAGAGATATATTTTTTCAGATGATAGATACAATAGTATTAATGAAACCAATGGAAGATATTAATAGAAATTTAAAGAATTCTCAGATTTATAATCACCTAGATACTCATAATTTAGCCTTTTCACGAATGAATAAAATTTAAGATAATTTAAATATTATGAATGGCACTTAGAATTTAATAAATGTTAGAGTTTCAATAATTCTTAAGAATAAGTAGAGAATCGTTTCATTTATTAAAGTAATTACAGTAATTAAATACAAAATTGCCTTGAATTTGGGGAGATATTTAAGAAATTACTGAAGGTGTTTTGAATGATTATAATAAAAGTGGACTAATTTTGATTGTTTGTTTATGAATTGATGAATTAACGATAGTAAAAACTTGAATATCTATTTAATTTAATTTTTGCTAAAATACATAAATAAATAAAATGTTTAAAAATTTACTAAGAACAGGTGTCACTCTTTCATTATTTAATACAACATATGTTTTATGTAAGTCAAATAGGGATGAAAAACTTCCTCATTATCATTTTCTTAATGAATAGGATTTAAATAAAGTATTAAAGAAACATTAGAATTTGTCAATAATTGACAGAAGTTACACTGAACACATATTATCTATAATAAGAGATGTAGAGACTGATACTGTGGTAATGTGATAAATAAAGGTTAGGAATTCCGAAAAAATTCAGATCGTTTAATTAGAATACTTATTGAATAAGCAATTTCATAAATTGAAAAGAAAAAGCATATTAAGCAGTCTCCTTTAGGATATTATGATGCTCATGAAGTGAAATTTGAAGATGAAGAGTAAGTTTATTTCTAAAATTAGAATATGTTTTGTGAGTATTTTAAGATCAGGAAATGCATTTTTATTTGAAGGATTGAAAGCAGTATCTGGAGCATCGATAGGTTAAATATTGATACAAAGGAATGAAGACACAGCTTTACCATCATATTTGTTTTAGAAATTACCTGCTAATATTAAGGATTAGCAGGTAATATTAATGGATCCGATGTTGGCTACAGGTAATAGTGCTACATTGGCTTTGAGGATCCTGAAAAATCAAGGAGTGAAATAGGAAAACATAACATTTTTAACTTTAGTGAGTTGTGAGTAGGGCATAGAGAAATTATTTAGAGAATTTCCAAAAATGAAAATAATCACAGCCCAAGTGGACCCAATATTATTAAAAGATTTCAATTATCTGGCACCAGGAATTGGAAATTTTGGTGATAGATACTTTGGAACGGTGAAAAGGAGCTAATAATCGGCATAGCAATAATGATAAAAACTATTGCATTATATCTTATTAATTAATTATATTAATTAAAAAAACAAAATATATCAAATATATTATTCAAAGCTACTACTACTACTACTAATGTTATTGTAATTTATTATAAAATTTGAAAGCTGAATTTTTTTTAAGTGGAGTAGTTTCAAATTTTAGTTTGCTCAAACTTAAATTATCTTTAAATTAAGAATGCTAAATAAAGCTTTTGTTTTCTGATTTGAGATTTGGTGTTTTCTTATTCGATTAATGCATAGCCTAATGTTTAGGAGTAAGTAGATTTAGTAATTTGGAGGGCGATTCAATTTGATGTTGAAAGTGATCGTCATATTTTACTTCTAAGCAGAGATTGCTGGGACTGTTGGTATCATTGTTTGCATTGTTATTGTTATTATTACTATTATTATGTTGATGTGGATCAACCTTTTCTTTCAAGGGAGTTTTGAATTGATTCAGAGAAGGCAATTAATATTCATCACTATTATTGGTTTATTCATAAATTCTACTTAAATTCTTCGAAACTTGATTTGCGCTGTCCTACTTGTATTTATGCAAATAATTATAGTAAAAGGAGGGTCTTTGTGATAAAAAGTCTTTAATAACTGAAACAGTAAAAACGTCTTAACACATAATCCAAAAGTTTTTTATCCATCTGTCTACTTTTTCATCCTGGTCATATCCATGAGCACCAACTTTTTCTTGAATATACTCGTATAAATTATTTTAGATATCATCTACCTTGTCTTCATTCCAAAAAATGGAATCTGCAATTTTAGCGGTTTTCTTTAGCATTTTATTTTCCATATTAAAACTCTCAACTCCGTCAATTTTGATTTCATTCATCATTTTAGAAATATAAGAATTTACTGAGTTAGGATTTAAATAGTTTTATTGTTTATTGGTTCTTCTTCTAGGGATATTATTGGGAGAATAGGATCTAGGTGTCATTTATCCATTCTATTAAGATGATAGCAGTTTTTGTAATAGTTATCTTTCAAGAGAAGTAAAAGAGTTCATTAATTCTGAATTGGACATGCCTCAAAATTATTTATATCTATTTACCTCCTCTTTTGCGAATATCCTTCAATCTCTCCTCCATTTCAGGGATACGTTTTTTCATAGCTGAATTCCAATGATTTTTAATGGAATTATCTGTTCGCCCAATTAATTATTTAGCCATCTCAGCCCATCTATTACCCATCACTCTATGTGATAGGAAGAGAATCCATTCCTCATAATCACCCCAATGTGATTTCTTGATTTATGGATTCAAATGATTATGCCAACGCTCTCTGCATTATTTGCCAATTCTTCCAGGTAAGTGCTCAGCAATGAATGTCCATTTCTGTGGACCATGCATTTATACCAATTTGATAAGCAAATTATCCTCTTACTCCGACCAAGGTCTTTTTTTACCTTTAGACTATAAGATTAATAGAGGGGATTACATGAAATAGAATATCCTCATCATCATCATAATCTCTCTCTTAAGCATATTTCGGTGTAACTGTCAAGGCGAAATTGGTCAAGCTCTTTTATTTGGTCGCTGCAATATCTTATAAGAGATGCTATTTCTTTTTATCGGTGGGCTCTATAATTTCGCTGTACTCATTCTTATTTCTTAACCTTCTTTTGATGATGGGAGGAGAAATAGATAAATGATTTTATGATTTCATTCTCAACCTCTAACTTCTATACATTTTATTAATTAAAATAATATTTTTTGAATTTGAATTTCAAAATATAAATATATATTTTATGTCTCATTATAATATTAATAAAATAATTAAGAGTATATATAATCTGTTTGAGTTGATGCCCCAATAATCATCAGTATAAATCTTCTGAATGCATTCATCATTAAACATGATTTATGATTAGAGTTCATAAAACTTCACAGCCTTCTGATAATCGATATACTCGTCTAGATAAAGAGAAGAGCAAGGCCCATATCTCAAAATAGTATGGCAATATTGATTAACCTACAATAACCATTAGAATAATTCCAGTATCTTCAAATACTCAGGATCTCCTTCAGCCAAACTGCAATAAGAAAACCCGCCAGCATTGAATCCACATTGACATTCAGAATATCCATATAACTTCTCATTGCTGTCCAATAAAATACAATCAGTGTCAGTTTCACATGGTTTACTCTTGGTCAAACTATGAGGTCCATTTTGGCAAGTTCCATTGTTTGGATTTATATATCCATAATAGCATGCCTTTGGGTTATCAGCTTTGATATTGTTTTCTAGAGAATAGTAATATGCACATTTCCCCAAATTACACACACAATTGTTAGTACATTAATAATCATTTGAGCATGACTATTCGAATTAAACTTACTCTTTACAATATGTATCACAATAAAAACCCACATCACAATATTGATGTCCTGAACATTATTGGTTCAATTTCAGTCCCAGACATATTCCACCTATACAACTATTCGATAAACAATCACTGTCCCCACCACAACCTTCTCCTGGTAGAATCTTATCTTTAGCTGGCTTGTCTGTACAGTATATAGGTTTTTAATAGGCAGCATCTTGCCATAAACATGTCTTATCATCAGCACATGGTGACAATTCATGAACCTTACCTCTATATTCTGACACATTTACACAGACCTTGTCCTGATTCTCTTCTCCACATTTATATCTTTTACCTCCACATTTTGTATTTGCAAATGCATATACCAAAATGATAAAGTATAATAATAATAAAAGTTCTTTAATCATTATAAATTATTATTAACTTTTTTTAATTTTTATTGATTTAAGATAACAAGCATTGCTTGAACTCTTCTTCTCAAGTTTATCAATTCCATATTATTGGGGAGTTATTTGATACTTCACTTATGTTGTTTAACCCATATTTTAGATGAAATGAGAGAAAACAAAGAAATAGATAATTTTTCATTATCAACCTAATATATTAAAATTGAAAAGGATATTTGTCCCTTCAAATTAGAGTTGATATCAAGAATGATATATGGAATTTAAAGGTAAATAACTGCATTATATTTATAGAAATATTTTGATAGTTAATAAAAATAACATGATTAAATTAAGTGATATTTCTTTATATTCTTCAATTATTCTATATCAAACGGGTACAGACTACATGTCTTGGGATTTAACAAATTAATTTATGATGAATAATTGAAATGAAATTATTACTATGAACAGCATTACTTTAATAATATTTGAAATTGTCAATTATTTATACAGATTTATTAAGTTTGTATTGATTGTTTATTCTCTATGATATGATTCCTTTTGGAGCATTTAAATCCATCTGAAATCTGAATCTATTTAATTTAAATTCATCTTTGTTTATAGCATATCATTCTTTGATGCATAACTTTTATCAATTCCTAAAATGTCAAAATCGAACTCAACCAAGGTCTTGCTTAATCCATTATTTTTAAAACAAATCCTATACTTTCCAGTGTAGAGCGCCTTGAGTTGTTGTTCATTACTCTCAAAATCATATTAAATATTATAAGGATCAAAAAAAAATATCTAAACATCCTTTGGAACGCCTTCAACCACTAAATATTTAATTGTTATATAATCATCTTTCTTAGCATTCATGTAAACACACTTAGGCTTCTTGTCTATCAACTCTATTCCTAAGCAATCAATTTATTCGATAAATATTGCTAAAATTAATATCAAATACATTATAAATAATATTCATAGTAATCAATATATTTCTGATGAAAATGACTTGGTAAAATATAGAACTTTATTTGAATTGTGTAATATTTAGATTTAGTTTATTTTTATTTTATAAAAATGGCTTAAGTATTTAATTCAAAGGTCAGCATTATCACCAAATCGGAAATCAGATATGAAGGTACAATTTATTAAATTAATCCTCAATAACAAACTATTGCATTGAAAGATGTACGTTCATTTGGAACGGAGGGAAGAAGACCTGGTATTATTTTTAAATAATTATTTAAGATCATGAAATACCCCCCAATTAATAAAGTTACGATATTTTGGTGTTCAAGGCAGCTGAAATTAAAGGCTTCAAGACTTTGGAAGAGAACAAGCCAGAGGATATCAAATTAGAGAATGTCAAATAAGAAAACCAATCCCAATAAGTATAGCATTTCCAACCACCTTAAAATATTGAATAAATAGAGCAGTAACAAGAATAAAAAGGGTAATTTCAAAATAATTTCCTATAAAATCAATAAATAAAATCAAATGGAACAAATCCCAGAGCTTTTAATTTTGAAGAAATGCTTCAAAAAGCCAATGAAATTGAGAAAATTAAAAAGTAAGAGGTGAAACCTAAGTATAATCCTACTTCATTTTTCGATTCTCTTTCAACCAGTACTCAAAAATAAGAGAGATAAACTCAATAAAGAAACCAAAATCAGATTGACACTGATACTTTCGGTAATTTTTATAAATAAAGATAACATAATAACAATAATAATAACAATGGGTAAAGGAGAAATAACAACAACAATAATCATAATAATAATTATAATAATAAAAATAATAATAAAAATTATAGAAGGAATAATAATAATGATTAATAAAGAGTTGTTTATGTAGAAAAACAATCTTTAGAATAATATTAATAATAATCACAATAACCACAATAATAATAATAGCAATGAATATCAAATTTGTTATTATTTAAATAAAATATACAAATCAGTACTAAACTTTAAATTGCCTATAAATTTTTCATATTTTAATCAATATATAATTTAAATAAATGGTAAAATATTGCTAAAGTTGTAATACACAAAAGGCCTTTATGGTAAGACCAAAGACTGGAAACCTTATTTGCCAAAATTGCTTTTTTTAAGCATTTGAGGATGAGATTCATCATACAATCATATCTACATAAATGTTTTAGCCTGGTGAAAAGATCGCCATAGGTGCTTCAGGAGGCAAAGATTCCACAGTTTTAGTTCATGTCATTACTTTGCTAAATAAGAAATATAATTATGGATTGCATTTATACTTATTATCAATTGATGAAGGAATTAAGGGATATAGAGATGATTCTCTTGAAACAGTTAAATAGAACTAAATCACCTATGAATTGGAATTAAAGATCTTATCATATAAAGAACTCTTTAATTGGTCTATGGATGAAGTTGTAGCACAAATAGGTCTAAATAATAATTGCACATATTGCGGAGTTTTTAGGAGATAAGCATTAGACAGAGGTGCAATATAATTGGGAGTTGATAAAATTATAACAGGTCATAATGCAGATGATATGGCAGAGACATTTCTTATGAATCTATTAAGAGGTGATATATTTCGATTGCCAAAATCTACTGCCATAATCACAGGAGATGATGGAGACAATGGAATTGCAACATTGCCAAGATGCAAACCTTTCAAATACACTTATGAAAAGGAGATTGTAATGTATGCACATTATAAAAAACTCATTTATTTCAGTACTGAATGCACTTACTCTCCTAATGCTTTTAGAGGACATGTTCGAGAATTAATTAAGAATTTAGAAGCTATAAGGTACCTGTTTTATTATATATTTTATAGACCTAGTGCAGTAATTGATTTAATTCACTCTTGTGAATAATTAGATGCTCCACATCAAAACTAAAAATTACCTTAAAAACAATTGTGTTAAAAATGCAATTTACTATCATCAAATAAAATATGTAAGGCATGCACATTGCTTGAATCATTAAATTAAGGAAGAGCTAAATAAATATTGTAAATTTAGGAGTGACTTTATATTTAATTTTCAATTGAATTATATTTATACTTAATTATAAGCAAAAAATATTATAATTTATCCAAGTAATGTAAAAGTAATAAGAACATAATTATTTTAATCAAAATTTTGTTATTTTAATAGAAAATCGCTCAAGATGGATTAATTTAACGTATAAGATTTATGCTATGATAACATTAAATGTCACGATTGGCAATGTTAGAAAAAACATCCTAGATGTTTTGCAGGGATTTGTATTTAAGGTTTAAATGATGATGAAGAATGTACTAATTAAAATTGTTAATTATTTCATGTGTCCACAGACACACTTTTTAATGAAATTTAGATAAATGGGTATTATAGATACAATATGTGTAAAAAAAAAAATTGTGAAATAAACACTTGTAGATATTTACATCCGACCTGGATTCAGGATTATTGCGTAGATTTTTTTTAGAGTAAATGTAAATAAAATTGTAATAATCATCTAAGATGGGCCTAGATGAAAAACTAAATATACGAAAAATATAATATTTAAAATCTAAACCCAGAAGTGATCTGCAAAAAAGATAAGTGTAAATGTTAAAATCATTTGGCAAATATTGATGATTTCTGCATAGATTATTTTTAAGGTATATGTCCTTTAATTGAATGCTCTAAGAAACATGTATTTTGGGAGGAACTTAAATCTAATCGAAAATTGTAATTTGAGGAACCAAAATTAAAGCCATGCAATAAAAGGAATTACAGATTTCAATAAGAAACCATTGAGAACAACTCCTAAATTAAAGTTATGATTGATGAATAGGAATTAAAAAGAATGCATAAAGCATTATAACAATAAAATATTATCGACATTATATTTATAATGGATTGTACAAAAACCATGGATCGTTGGATTTAATAATGCCATTCACAAATGGCTAATATAATTGAAAAATTTCAAAATTAAAACAACAAATACATTACTCGAATTGGATTTGTAGGATATCGTGATATAGTTGTTAAAAAAAAATAGAGTGTTATTTAGTTTGATAGAAAGAGTGTGATTTCTTCTGAAGAAAGTGATTAAGTCAATTAGAACGATTTTGAGATTGTAGACAAAAATCATGTGGTTTTTCATGACTTAACTGATAAAATTGCTTCAATTAAGGAATTTATTAAGTAATAAAAGGCATGTGGTGGAGGAGATGAAGCTGAAGATGTTGTAGCTGGAATAGAGAAAGCATCATAATTAAATATTTCCAAACATCAAGACACTGTATTGATAACATTTTTATTTGCTGATTCTCCTTGTCATGGTAAATAATATCATGATATTGACGATGATGATTTTATGGATAAAGTTCCCCTAGGTACTTTAGAGAATGTAATGAGAAGATACAGAAAAATTAAGAATAATAATTTTTTCTTTTGTTCAAGAATTTCATAAAAAACAGATAAAATGTTTTCTATTATGAAATCCGTATTTCCAGAAGTTTCAATAACTGATCATATTACCCCAGAAGATTTTCCTAATTTGATAAGTTTTTCATTGTAGGATAGCTTTTCAAAAATAAGCAAGAGCCAAATATTGAAACCAATAGAGATCAAAGCATAATCCATAAAATCAAAGTATATTGAATATGATTGTAAAACAACAGAAGATAAGAAACAATTTTGGGGGAATTTTGTTTAGATTTGTTAATAACAAGAGAGAATTAATGAGACAATTATAAAAATTAATTAAAATCCAGAAAAAATATTAGAAAATGAAGATGGAGTTAATTCATATATATTTAAAGTATTTGATGTAATAAACAATCAAAATTTAGTCGCTAAAATTCCTAAAAAGATAGTTCAAGAATATCAAAAAAAGGAGTAAATTTTGAAGTAAAATAATTCAAATGAACGAGTATAATTATCAGAGGAATTAATATAAGAAGCTAAAAAGTTCGCCTAATCAAGATTTATTTCATAAACTATAGCAAAGCAATTAGCAAAAATTTATAGGGAAAAAATATAAAATTTAAATGGGGCACCTCCCATCTTTTATGTATCACCCATGATATATAGTCTTTCCTCTCCCTTTTATGGTTTGGACTATATCTACGCAGAATCCTACATCAATCTACCAAACATTTAATGGAAAAAATATTCAAATAACTTATAATATATAAGCCCAGATCATTATTATTATTCTTCATTCAGTCATTTTACTTATGAAGAAACAGGTAAATAGTTTTTGATTGCAGATTTATAAGGTAAATTAAATATATTTAGCGATCCATCAATTTAGAGTCTCGGAAACTATAATTAAAATTTAAATTACGATACAACAAATCTAAATCAAGAAGGTATTGCCAACTTTTTTTACAACGCTCATGATAAATGTAGCTTCATTTGCCAGGAATTATAATTGATAAATACAGCAGCTATAACATAATTTGATGAGACAAAATGGGAATTCAATGAGACCTAAGAATTATCAATCATATGTGAGACGTGCGATGAATATCAGCAAATTCAGCTTATAGATTTTTTCAATAATTGCCATAAAAAATGCCAATAATGCAAGGAACTCGAACAAGCTATTCATGAAATATAATGTTGCTGTTGCTTTGAAAATTTTAAAACTCCAATCAATTAGTAATTGAGAATAGGAACAGTACTAGGAAAATGCGAGAGTTGTAAAGTAAGCTGTAGATAACAAAATCTAATTTGTTTCTATTGTAAAATGCATTGCAAATTAAAGGTTTCATCTGAGAACATTGAAGGTTAATAGATTTAAATCTGTAAGGAAGGAAAGAAATATTTATCCTCTTTAAAATGTAGAGTATGCAATTCTTTGTATTCCTTTGACAGAGTCTTAACTGATACATATTATGAATAAGGTATATATAAATGCAAAAAGTGCAGTTGATGTTTTTTATAATCATTATAAAAAATTATGATTTGTATTATATCTTATAATTCGTATTTATTTTAAAGACATCTGAAAAGAATTACATGTCACCCTAACAAAACTTTCTCTATTGAATGATTTAGTTATTTTTATTTGTAATAAAGTAATAGAGAGAATCAATACAGATGAATTATACAATTACATTGAATAGTCTCAATTCAAAGGATGATTATCATATATGATGTTTTCATCTGAATCCTCTTCGTATCTCTTATTGTTTTATAGAAATAGTAATGTGAAGATGGGTTTGAGATTTATACTTTAAATAACACACTGTTATAAATATTATATATAAAATGTCTTATTCATAAAAAAACTTTCTAAATTAACCATTCTACTCTCCAGCGAAATTTGAGAATGATTAAAAGGATTTGATGATTTCATAATTGAAGGCCGAAAACTTTGAACTTAAGCAAAACGATAGAGACTACTAAGAATTAGCTACTCATTTGAAATCGTTAGAACATAGGTGAAATCACATTTAATTGTAGATATAATATGTTACATGAAGAAAAGATGAGAAATGAAGTAGAATATCGAAATAGAAGTGATTAGACATTGAAGACGATTGCTAATTTGAGAAATGAAATTGATAATTTGAAATCCTAGTTAACTGAAAAGCATATAGAAAATTAGGAAATGAAGGCAGAGAATTTGGCATTTAAGGAGATAACAGAACATAGATCTTAAGAAAATCAGAGAGTGAAAAATGATATGGCTTTATTGTAAGAAAACAATAGAAAATTGTATGAAGAGAAGCTTAGATTAGAAACAGAATTATAAGCAGCTAAAGATGAAAGAAAGAGGTAAAGAATAAGAAATATTATATGGTAGACTGTTGCATGATAGAGAGTTATTGAATAATACGTATGAAGATGTATTGGATAAATTGAATGAGAAAGAAAAGCAATTTTCTTAATTACAAACTGAATTTGATAATCTTGAAAAGCAAGCCCTTATTTATAAAGCAGATGTCGAAAACGTATTTATTTATTGGATTATCAAGATCAATAATGAGGTTAAATCTAAGAGTGAAAACCTGAAATATACAAGGATGCAATATTAAGAAGCTCAGAATTATATTTCACAATTGCAAAATGATCTTGAAGAACTACATAAGCAGAAGGAGAAGTTTAAATAGGAGAGCTTGCTCTATCAAAAAAATTATTAGCAAGAGGCTGATACTTGCATGGAATTAAATGCCTAAGTGATTCAATTAGATCAAACAGTGAAACATTAGGAAAAGACAATAATCGATTAGAGGAATGAGATTGAGAGGTTGAAGTCGATACATATGGAATGTCTGGAAACAACAGAAGAGTTGAGTCATGAATTAGATCAGGCCAAAAGGATTAATGATTAATTGGAACATCAACATAGAGATGTATTTGATTGTGCTTATGAATAGGTTATGGAGGAGTTGGATAAGTTGTCATTGACAGAGGAGTAAGCTGCGATGGCTAGGGCTAGTAAATACAAGGAATTAAAGACGAAATTGATTATGGGAACTAAGCAATTATAGTAGTTCTAATCTCCATTTAAGAGATTTTCTACAAACAAAAAACCTTTGCTCAAATAATATGATTTTTGAAAGCGATTAATTACTATAAATATTTTAATTTTTAACAGCTTTTGAATATGATTGAAATAAGAAGACCACTCTCAGAAAAGAATTTGGGAAATAGATCAAGCAAAGACTTGTAAAGACCTAATTCATCCAATTCATAATAAAAATAGAATTTGTAAACGATGAAAAGTTCAATATAATTACAAAAACAAAATCAAAACTTTTATTCCAAATATTTTAGTAGTAAGGATTAAAAAGAGAATATGGAGATTCGTTCGAATGTTGAACGAAATCCATCAGCCAAATCAAAATAGACACCTTAGGATTATAAAAAATTGTAAGATAAACTCCTCTATTTGGAAAATAAAATTTCATCAATCAAATCTCACATTGATAATAGTTAGAGACAATCAAAAAATAGTATAGCTTCTAAGTTTTTCTCATAAAACACACAAAATAACCAGAATTCCCAATCTGTCTAAAAATGTGTGTAAATTGATTTCACCAATAGAGGGTAGAAAGAATAAAGGGAATTCACTCCTTAATAATAAAATAAATTAAAGTCAAGTACTCTAGTTAATAATAACAATGAATACAAACCTTCCATTGAAGGAACAATAATTAAGAAACCAAGCTTATCAACATTTGTTACTTAGGTCAAAGCCCCATTGACTGACAATAAAAGTAATTTTAAAAACCTTAAGCCAGATTCTGCCAAGGCTGGTAGTTCAATTAAGACGAATTTTAAAAGGAAGAACTCTCAAGAAAAAACAGTAGATTCCTCATTTTTATATTATATCTCTTCCATAATTAAAGGATATATGCAACCTGAGATAACAAGACCAATTGAATTGATTAGAGAACATTTGCTTTAAACAATGTAGGCGTCCTTGTTCTAGAAATCTGTTAAAATAGTTTCAAGTGTTGAGGATAAGAAAGTCAATTTACCCTCCACAAATAAGAAAACTATAGTTTTTGATTTAGATGAAACTCTCATCCATTGCAATGAATCAATTCAGGTTCCAGGTGATGTAATTCTACCAATTAAATTCCCATCCGGAGAGATTATTGAGGTATTGTATATAAAGAGACTTTTAGGCTTCAATCAATATTAGACCTTATGCTCAACAAGTTCTATAGACTTTACATAAACATTTTGAGATCATAGTATTTACTGCATCGCATTCTTGCTATGCAAATGTAGTCATTGATTACTTGGACCCTCATAAAAATGTTATTGCTCATCGATTTTTCAGAGACAGTTGCATGCAAACTGAAGAAGGAGCATACATAAAGGATTTAAGAGTAATTGGAAATAGATCCTTGAGTGAAATGGTTTTAGTGGATAATGCAGCCTATTCTTTTTGTCTTCAACCACTGAATGGCATCCCAATTATTAATTATTATGACAATAAAATGGATTAAGTATGTTTTTGTAGTGATTGTAGGAATTACTATATTTACAAAACTATTTGATGTCATTAAGAACAGTCAGAGATGTTAGATAATACAATAGTTAAAATCTTAAGTTAGACAAATTTGCACAATTCAGCGATCCTATTGATTTATTACAATCTCTTCATAAGGATTATATCCCTTGATTAATATTAAAAATATATAAATTTAATTAAAGATCTATGTAACTCGTAAATCGAATAACGTTTATCGTTAAAATGTGAATTGATGGGACTTGGTGATAATTTTATTACAAATTAAATTGTTGATTCAATCTTCAAAGTCTGTTTTGTACATTCGAATCGCTGGTCTCAATAATTGCATTTTGCATCAATAACCAGTTGATTTGAATGTGATCAAAATGGATTCAGCGTTCAAGATCAAAATGATATGTTTATTGGATGTATTAATAAAAATATTTATTGTAAAAATGGAAGAGTTCGAGATATTAGATTTTAATGAACTGTAGTAGGAAGAGAAAGGAATAGACAAGGCAGCAAAATTTTTGTAGAAGAAGATATAGAATGGGTTTAAAATCAGTATAGTGATTAAAAAATAACATAATTTTGCATTGCCTCCTTTGCAATAAAAGAAAAATGATTTATTCTCTAAGCAACACTAACCTATGGACATAGTATAATTTACCTTAATAATAGATTAGTTAAAGTTCTGAGTAAACCGAGAACATTGATAAATAAGGTTCTTCAACATCTTCCCATTCTAGTATCAAAATGAATAAAAAATTAACTGTTCCACCAACTTAACATGAAACACCCCAATAAGATTAAGATGAATAGAAAAGTGAAAAATCTGAAGATGACTAGATTTCCTTCTATTAGAACAAAAATAACAGTTTTGAACATTGTCTCAAGGATAATTTATTAAGTCAAAAGATTCAAACAGGATTGCTATTCATGAGAGATGGTAATTCAAAATTAGCGCTGGAGAAGATGATGGATGTGTATAAAGAAGGAAATGAGTAATTAAAATAATGTTAGGATTAATAATAAATTTCAGTATTAATAATAATTTGCATTTAATCACTTTGCTATGCATCCCAAGTATTTAGGGAGTTGGGATAATTTAGTGAGGCATAAAAGTATTAATTCATATTTGAATTCTAGATGTTTGGATAAATGTTTAAACTAATTTGAGATCAATGACTTTGATTTACTATGCTAAATATATATTGCAAAGGCTCAATGTTGTTTGTTCAACAATTAATATTTATCATCCCTAGATTATTACACCAAAGCATTAATTCAATATGAATAAGTTAATTGGAAGTTGGAAATAGCAAAGTTATTAGTTAAAATCTCTTTTGTCTATGCTTTGTTAAGTAAAGTTATGTTCTTATAAAATAGATGATTTTGCAGATGCAAAGAAGATTTGTTATGAGGGATTGTCCATTTTATAAGGGAAACTCTCAAATTCCGACCCAAGAATATATGAAACTTACTATACTTTGGGATGTATCTATTATCTTGAGAAGGAATACGACTTCGCCTTGGAATACTTAGATTAATCGAAAGAAGGACTTATTAAATTGTAACAAATTCAGACCTTATGTAGATATGGTGAAAAACATATAAGCATCATTAAGATTCTCAATTTACAGGGTGTGATCAACCATTTGTAAGGAAACAGTAGTAGTGCCATGGAACTCTATGAATAGATTGTTTGTTTATATGGGTACAATACATTATAAAATATATAGCGACTCCTAAAATATTGGATTAGCATTAGTATTGAACAATCTAGCCTTGGCGTATTTGGATAGAATGAAATTTAAAAGTGCAAAGTTGTCTTTTGAAAAAGCAACAGCTATTTTGAAATTATATCTCAATGAATAGCATCCTACTTTTTAGAGAATAGAGAAGAATAAGAAACTCGTCGTAGCGGCTACTTTATCTTATATATGATTTTAATGATTCTAATTTCGTAATTTTTTCAAAAATTATATTAAAAGATTTTCATTAACTATGGTATATATATTCATCTATTGTATAAAAGCCAAAAGCCCCAAAGACAAATAAATCAAAGAAAATTTCCAAGAAGATTGCAGACAGAAAGAAGAATCCTCTCTTTGTTAAGGAAGCTAAGAATTTTAGAATTGGAAATGATGTTCAACCAAAACGTGATTTATCAAGATATGTGAGATGGCCTCGTTACATCCTCCTCCATAGATAAAAAAAGATTTTATTACAAAGAATCAAAGTACCTGCAGCTATCCATTAATTCAGCAAAACTCTTGATAAAAACTAAAGTAAACTTCATAATCAATTTTAATAATAGGTTCCAAAGTTTACTCTTTGTTAAAAAAATACTCTCCAGAGACAAAGACCGAAAAAAAGCAAAGATTAATCAAAGCAGCAGAATAAAAAACCTAAAATTAAAAACCTGATTCCAAAAAAGTAAATGTTCTTAAATTTGGATTAAATCATGTGACAACCCTTGTCGAAACCAAAAAAGCTAAATTAGTTCTCATTGCCTATGATGTCGATCCAATTGAATTAGTAGTTTGGTTGCCACAATTATGCAGAAGGTAAGAAGTACCATTTGCATTTGTTAAAAGTAAAAATATGTTTTTCTATATTTTCTAGATAAGGCTAGATTGGGGGCCTTGGTTCATTAAAAAACTGCCACTTGTGTAGCATTGACTGAAGTGAGAAAGGAAGATTAAGCTGAATTTGATAACTTAGTATACGATTATATAATATGTTAAGGCTAGAGACTTAAGATAACACTATAACGAGAATCATGAATTATTGAGAACCATAGGAGGTGGTCAAGTCGGAATCAAGTCTAGACATTAATAAGAGGCTTTGAAGAAGGCTTTCGAGATAGAGGAACTCAAAAAAACAAGTTAATGATGTGTATTATTAAAATATAGAAAAATAATTTAAATGTATAGATATCATTGTTACTTCTTACTCCTGGTTACTTAGAGATCATTGAGGTCTTCTGCAAAGTCATCGAATCTGCTCTCCTTAAAGAAATCTACAGGGATTTTTAACTTTTGTTATTTTAGACAATCTTAAACAAATGAATTAGTCATAAATGTTTGATCATATTGATTAAAGAATATTTCGTCGTTGGTTTTTGGAGCATAATTTCTAAACAGTCTTGAATTCTTAAGTAAACCTTTTTGTATTATGCTCTTCAGGAGATGTTGTGGCATATCTATTTGTATTTATTTAGAAATAAAATAATTTATTTTTTAATAGAAATGAATAGTTTTTCTTAAGATGACAAATCATAACTCACTAAATTAATTCGTATTGTAATATGTGTTTTTTCTTAAACGAAAAGTCAGGTTTCTTTTTCTGTTACCATTTAGCTTCGCAGTCAAAATAGAAGAAAGGACCTTTGATAACTTTCTCGTTTTCCTCATCCTTCTAATATATACTCATTAAATTACATATTAATAATGCTTGTCTTTCTTCATCCAGTATCCGTGTTTTGTGTTGTAGATCCACTGATTTTTAATTAATTCTCTTGCTGCCATTAATTATTCAGTCGGTTCTTTATGATAATAAAATACATAGAACAAAGTGTCGCAGCTTAATTAACTGAATACTGAATGGGGTAGCATTTTGTATTTAGGTAGCAAACTATTTAAATTCAATTTTTCTTTGAAAGTTGGAGGCTAATAATAATCATTTTTCTAGGGCCTATCATTGTAGCTAAAGTCCATCATTTTGATTTTATATGCAGCAGAATTTTAATCTACCAATTAAGCCTGTTGAGTTGCAGCTTTTTAATCAAAAGGCTCAATTATTGATCTATTGGATTACAAGATTCTATCATTCCATGCAATTTGCACGCTTTTAGTTTAGTACAATTGACTGATTAACTAATTAATGGTAATTCTATGTACTTGATTGATCTCTTATTCATGTTCTGGATTATCCAAGTTTTAGTACATGATGTCAAGGAGGATCATCAATTTTTACCATTTCTAATCCTAAAATAGAATTAGAAACATGTAATTACATCAATGACTAAGTTCTAAAGATCTTCACTCAACTATTTCATTTTATCAATTTGATTTTGAAGAGTTTTTAATTTGATTTGCCTGTCCTGACTTCCTTGAGTTTTCCTTTTCTATTATTGAAATGTTTTTATACTTTCTTAATGTCTTGATTTATTTCTTATGCTCTCTATTCGAGCATGACGATGTGATCTTTCAATTAAGTTTGTCGACCTTAAAATGAAATGCCAGATTATTAAATCATTAATAAATATTATGAATATATCAGAATTGTATCGAATGCACTTTCTTTTTGAATACAAATTTTGGTACAGCAATCTTTTCATATATGAATGTAAAAATAGCATTAATGATAGCTATGATTCCTAATAGCAAGGTCCAAGATTCAGGCATTACATTTTGATCATCGTAACTCTAAAAGATAAACTAGATGTTTTATAAATGCATAATTTACTCCCATGATATCGTCTATGTAATCAACTCTCAACATAAGAAACACAAGGGCGAGTATGAACAGGAATATTGTACTACCTATGAAGTAGAAATTGGTATAGAATGGCTTTCTGAAAGGTTTTCCATTTGAATATGCCAAGGCAATCATCAAGTACTAGAAATTACCAAATATAAACAAGGTAGTATTTTCAAAACAAATCTTCATAGAATCATCGTTAAGATCCTCTTAATTCAGTTATTCATTTGGAATAAACCACGATTATTTTAACAACAAGAGATAGACTCCTAATTGAAAGGCCAATTGAATAATTGTTTATCCAATGACTGAACCCAATACAGAGAAACTGATAAGGGAAGATCCGGGCACGTATTTATTAATTTTAGCTGCCTACACCAATCCCATAGTCATACTTAAAGGGAAGATTGTAAATAGATCATTGTAAAGATATTGATTATCAGTTAGATTTGATTATTTTAGATATAGGATAGTTACTTAGATGAATTGAATCATCGAATATAATGCCATGAATTTGAAACAACAAAAGGAAGTAGTTAAAGCCGCTCTGCCTTAGGATAATAAGATTGGAACACATGAAATGTCTTAGATTTGACTAGTGAATGGTGCAGCAATAGATGCTTCTGCTAAGGACAATGAAATTCCTGCATCAGCTGTTTTCAAGGCTCCACAATCATTAGCACCATCTCCACAGAATCCAACTAAAGGTGTTGATTTATGTTTCTATAACTATAAAATTAGATTGGCTTTTTCTTCCGGTCTCATTCTAGCATAGACAATTGTTTTTTCAAGGATATTATTAAGAGTTGCTTAAGATCCATATTTATTCAAATGCATAAATGCACCACCAGAAATAGCTAATACATAATTTTCATGATCTTTCCATGGTTGTTCTTCCATGAAATCTCCGTCAGTATAAATTTCACTAATGTTATCAAGTTAAATGTTAACAGGAGGCGGATCTTCCAGCAAAGATTTATTTTTAACTAAATTCTTAGAGAATGATCTCTAATTTAAATATTCGAAATCCTACTGAACATCTACATCTTTTTCGATTTCATCAAGATTACTAATGATTTATTGTTGTGGTTCCAAAGTGTCTTCATTCAATTCATTCTAATTGTATTCAAAATCTTTCCATGATACATAATATTTCCCATTGTATTTCTTCTCACTCAATTCTCCCAAATACACTCTCTAATTTTCAATTAATCCACATTGTCTTGCCACACTAATAGCAGTCAAAACATTGTCACCTGTTACCATAATTGATCTGATGTGAGAATCCTTCAACTCCTTAATTATTTAGTTAGTAATTGGTTTCAACTTGTTTTCCATTATAATGAATCCAATGAAATTTAAATCAGATTCAACCTCATTTCTATCCAAATCTATTTATTATACTGATTTCTACGCCATTCCTAGTACTCTAAATCCATTCAAAGCATAGAAATCCAATACTTAATGAAAATTAAAGGGTATTGACTTATTGTTGCATAATTATCTTAACTTCTCAGGGGATCCCTTCATATAAACTATGTATTATCCATTCTCTTTAATTATCACTGACATTCTCTGCAATTTAGAGGAGAATTCGAATCTCTTTATGATTTCCACATTGATTCTATCATTATTTCTAATCCTTATTCCACCTTCCTTCTCTTCTATCAATTCACAATTTGTGGATTCAAACATCTTCAATTCCAATGGATCACCCACTAACTTACCTTTCACTTATGATAAACCATGACAAGTGGCCATTCCTTTGATAAAATTAACATCAGTATTTGCATCTATTGATGTAACAATCTTTGAAAATCTCTGATTCTCTATAATCCTAATACCATACATATCTAATCCTTCTTCAGTTAGAGTACCTGTCTTATCAAAACACATTATGGTTACCTTTCCACTTATATTGACTTTTTAGGGTGATATACAAAATATTTTAGAATTCTTCAATCTCGCCAATGCTATACTTATACCTATTTGTAAACAGGTTGGCAATGCTGGTGGCACTGTTATTGTAATCAAATCCAGACCTTCATTGATGAATTCCCAAGTTGAAATTGAACCATCCAAGAGATAATCAATCTTATTAGGAACTGTTATTATGAACCCTATTATTGCTAAAATTGCCATTATCCCTACAAATTTCATAGAATCTGCATAAAATTTAAATGAATTCTAAACTGGGAACATTATAGATCTAATCAATTATCCTTTCTGAGTATTAAAAGCTGTTTGAGTAACTAAAGCAATTACATCTGATCCTTTGGTTTCCATACAAGTCGTTCCTGCAAACAGTGTAAATTGTTTGCCTGAATCCAAGGGATCATAAACTTCTTTGTTATTGGGAAGCTCTGTCTTTAAAACAGGGATGGATTCTCCTGTTAACATTGCTTCGTTAAATATAACCTAACCATTTAATAGAATCGCATCACAAGGCATAATCATACCATCCTTTATTACCAACCTATCACCAGGCACTAAGCTTATTGATTCGATTTCCTTCACTTACCCTTCATCTAGGATTTGAATTGGAATGTTAAATTTGGACAATTACTATAAGCGATAGAAACTTTTTCTTTATTCATAGAGTGTTATAAATATTGAAATCAATGATGTAATTAAAATTACTGTTGCATATCGCTGATATGATGCCCAAAACCACAATAGCACAGAACAAAACTACAATTGCATTAATGCTTACTTGAAATATGTAAAAGGGGCTTAGAACTTCCTCAATTAGAGTTTTTACAATTCCTTTGTCTGGTATTTCTGTATTATTATATCCAAATGTGTCCAGCTGCTAGTTCCGATTTATTGACTACTGTCTGATATCCATCTAGACCATGGTCTAATATTTTGTTTCTATAGGGTCGAAACCATATTCGGTGTAATAGTACCTATATAATCTGTACTCGATAAAAAGATTTCCATCTTTGGAACAATTCGATTTAACCAGAGTTTGGGATTTGTCTAAAATCAATTAACGAATGTTCTTACCTTGTCCTATAATTAAAAAGTGAGTGGCCGACTAAGGGACACACTTCTTGGCACGGAAAAATAGGAAAATTCTTAAGTCCCACCTTGTAACTAAATAGAGTAAGCCACACGTTATTAAGGAGAGAAAGGCAAATACAATGGTTTTGAAAAGGGATATGCGACAAGATATTATTTCCGATATTAGACCTTCTTACTGGATGTTGATAGGATGCTTAAATTAAACCCTATAATTGTGATTTATAAATGGTTATTTCATTTAATTAAAAATGTTTAACTTAAAATAACTTTTAATTGCACTACATCACATCACAATAATACTTTATTTTAATCGATTGCAATACTCAATTTAAGAAATCTTACAAAATAAGAGTGACTACTCTTACAAACTAGTAAATGATTTTTCTGCTCAATCCATTAAAATGGTTTACCAATCTACTGGCATATCGTTGGCATTTTATATGATAGTTACGGCATCCTATGTAATCCAATTAATAGTGTTGTTTTTCAGAAGTAATAAAAACTTGAATCGATACATATATTATCACATTTATTTATTAATACTCCTTTATGGTGTGGGCTAATTAGTATAAATTTATTATTACAATTTTTAAGAAGAATTGACTAAGTTAACAGCATATTAAAATGAAGAGAACAAACAAGATGCTTTAAAAGACTTGCAAGAAGAAGGTCAATTGGCATAAACTATATGGTAACTGTATTTCATGTGTACTGTGATAATAATAGTGGTATTGAAGATATCTTATTTGTATTTTGGATTGCATCAATTTTCCAAATTCTTGAAGATCGAACTATGAATTTATTTATATATAATAGATGATTATAAATAGGCTAACTTATATAATATTCAAATACATCAGCAATCAAACAAGTCTGTAATAAATTACATGTTATTTAATATAGAATAATTATTCAATCATTAATTTGTCTCCAATCTTCACCTCTCCAACAAGCTTCCACTTACTTTATACTTCGAGGTACATCATTAAGTATCTCTGGACCATTGGCTGTCAGTAAGATATCATCTTCCAATCTTACACCTCCTACATGCATGAATTCTTCGATTCTTTCTTTATTCAAATACTTCATCTTATTAGGGTCTTTATATGCTTCTTGTAGGATGAACTCAATGAAGTAAATTCCAGGTTCATTTGTAAATACCATTCCTACATCCAAATCTCTTCGAAACTGTAATTAAGATAGTTCTAATTAATTAGATAAATCATATTACCTGGTAATTTGGGTGGAGTACCTTTATTATATCCTCCAACATCATGAGTTCTTAACCCCAACATATGACCTAATCCATGTGTGAAGAATAATCTACAAATATTATTTTTAATAAGATCTTCCATCGATCCCTTAATTAATCCTGCGTTAAACAGATGTTTGGTGATGGTTCTTTCAGCCAATAATTACATGTCTCCCCAATTGACTCCTACCTTTAAGGATTTATGGACTTATCTTTGAGCATCAAGGACAGCATTGTAAATAATAGCTTATTTTTAGGTGAATCTTCCATCACTAGGGAAAGTGACTGTAATGTCACTGCAATATCCATAGAACTTGCCTCCCATGTCATTTAGTATTAGCTCTTTTTCCTTTATGGTTTTTGAATTTTCTTCATAGTGCAATACAGAACCATTTGTACCAGAAGCACAGATACATTCATAAGGCGTAAAACGACAGCCATGATTTATAAAGGTGTGATATTGATAGAGTGCTTCCATCTAATATTCTTTGTTGCCTTTTCTTATGTTCTTAATAACCAATTCATGGGCTTCACTGCTAATTTTACAAATGTATCTCATGATATCTTATTCTTATGGGGTCTTTCTGACTCTACTCTCCGTAAGTATATAGTATAACTCATCATAATCAGAATCATAATTTTGTAAGAATGGTTATTCAGGTATGGGTAATGAGTGATGAGAATAATCATCAATTCCATAAAAATAATAAATTAATGATGGTTTACGATTGCTCAACCAGGATTCTATGTCATCATTATATAACACTTCATCTAATTTAAATTTTTATTTAATTTCGTCATTGTTCAAAACAACATTCCACATCTTATAATTGGAATCATATTAGGGCACAAATACAATTGCTTTCCCATTGTCTACATCTATTATTCCGTAACAATTGAGAAAGTCTACTCCAAACAAATAGTGGAAATTACTCTCCTATTCCACTCTATATTATTAATCTACAATGTCACTAATGAGTTACCTTCATCATGCTTGTTCATTTTGATGGCTCCCATTAGCATAATTATGCTGTTCCTTGCTTTATCGCCCACAGTATAGCGAAAGAAGTTTAGGAATCTGGTTCTAATGTTCTGATGAAAGTCCTCGGGTATCACGTATTCTCTGGGAAAGGGTATTGGATCAGAGTTCATTTGATAATTAATATTATGTCATCCTCATTAATTTATAGTGTAATTTCAATTTCATTTATAAATATCAGTGCATAACAAGTGTTTAGGTTTCTTTGGTTTTCTCATTTCTATTTAATTCTCACTAAGACAATTCTACTTTAATATTTTAAATTATATGAAATAAAGACCTACAACTGCCAAAGTTCCAGTAACCATAGATACCAAGGATATCCATCAACTATATGAGCTTGATAGTAATTCACTTTGTCTCCAACTAGGTCGTTAATATTAATTAATTGGTAGTAATCTATCGCATTTCATCATTTTGAACGAATTGGGCAAGGGTTCCTTTGGCGTTGTCTATAAGGTCAAGTCCACCTATGATGGCCTCATCTACGTCCTAAAGAAGATCAACCTCACTCATCTCAAGCCAAAATAACAAGGTATTACTATTTCAGATTTCTAAGCCGAAGCGCTGAAGGAAGCATAACTTCTACGTACTCTCAAACATCCAAATATCATAAGCTATTATGTGAGTTTCATTGAATAGGACAATCTTTGCATAGTAATGGAATATGCTGAAGGAGGAGATCTCTAGAAAGTACATAACACTCTAAAATAGTTACTCAAAGATTACAAGGAAAAAAGAAAATGCTTGAAAGAACCTACTATTTGGGAAATGAGTAGAGAATTGACTCAAGCCATATAACATTTGCATGAAAGCAATATCATTCATAGGGACATTAAGACTCTTAATGTGTTCCTTACCAAAGACAAGCATGTTAAATTGGGTGATTTGGGAGTTTCTAAAATATTCAATTCTGAAACTGCCTTAGATGGTACACGTGTTGGCACTCCTCTATATCTTGCCCCAGAGCTGGTCCAACATCAACCTTATGACTACAAAGTGGACATTTGGGCCCTGGGTTGTATTGTCTTTTAGTTGGCTACTCTGGAACCACCATTTTAAGGTGAAAATCTAATCACTTTGGGGTATAGCATCGTCAACCATTCACCCAAACCTTTGCCATCACAATATTCGATTTGTAAATTTCTTAAACATACTTTAAGAATTATCCTAATTCATTTCTAAATTATTAGAGAAAATTCCAGCATTAAGACCTAGTATATAATAAATTAATAGTCAATACTTTGAAAAGAAATGCTCCGAATCAAAAACCTCATAGTATTAAATATAAATAAAAAAGCCAAATTGAAGATCGTACTTCATCTAATCCAAATCAAAATTAGCATCATTATCAGAGACCTTAAACAGGCAATCTTAACAAATAACTTGCTCCATCTATAGAAATTGATAAAGTCAATAAAATTAAATAATCAATTTTATTAGTTGAAGGCAACTTGGATCATATTCTAAATGGTGAGTCGAATTCAAAAGTTTATAAATAGATTGAAGCTGATAAAATTATAAAAGCATAGCAATATTAATAGATGATGAGAGAGTAATCAGAAAAACTGGAAAAAGAGAAATTGGAAAAAGAAAGATTAGATAAGTAAAGAGAGGAGAGAATGGAAAACGAGAAATAACTCAGATTGGAAAAACAACTATCCTCTTAACAAAAAGAGAAGTCAAATAGATTAGATAGGTTAATCTAATAGAATTAAATTCAACTTGATTCTAATCACAATGAATACCAATTACAAAAACCAATATAAAAAATACAAAATAATAAAGTCAATCTTTACATTGAAGATTTTGATAATAAGTAATCTTGTGATGATTAAAAGAGTGCATTCTCAGCAGAAAAACATCTTTAAATTAAATTCAAATACCAAAAGCCCATCAATACATATCAATCTAATATTTAAATTAGACCCTTATCTGCATAAGCAAGAAGTTCCTTTGTTAATATTTCTTCCAAATCAAAATTAATTCCAGTCTTGCATCACAATTAATCAGCCCAAGAAACTAAGAAGTTTACAGTACTAGATTTGAATCCAGATTTGAATGAACATTCCTTTCATCAAGAAATACCTAAATCCTAACCATCCTTAATTATATAACCTGATACAAACGAATACTAACACATCAATAATAAAGAGATTTCACTCAATAAAGCAAAAGAGAATATACGTATCAAAAGTGTATTTACTTTACAAAAAACAAATAAACCATTTTAAAATAAATCCTAAGAACAGACTAATAAAATTATAAAGCATTACACCTTAAAAGATTTGGAAGAGTGAAGAAATGAGTGTAATTTGTGTTGTTTTTTCTTTAAAACCTACATTTTTGTAATATTTAATGATTAATACTCATATTAGATAGGCAATCAAACAAATAGTTACTTTTCTTAATCAATCTATGAGATTAGTTGAAATACCAAATAATTTACATATATATATTAATATTTATTATTATTGAGTAATGTCCAAATCATCTAAGTCCAGTCGTAATTTTATTATAACTACATCATAGGGAGCAGTCCATCCAAGAGCTAACATCAGAGTCCAAGTCCAAAATCGAAATCAAATTCACATCCCAATTAAGGTTAATCACACATCATATATCAACATTCAAAATACCTCACTATCAACTACTTCAACATTATCAACATATAGAAAAATTATGCCTCCATGTCTCCAATTTGTCCAAGAGAGTTACCGATGCCGAGTTGAAGGAAACCTTCGAGAAGTATGGCCAAATTGAGTATGCCTCTGTCTGCATGGAGCCCCGAAGCAAGGGGTAGTAATTTCCCTATCTCTAATTTACCCTAGCCCTGGCAAAGTATCTAGAGGTTTTGGATTCGTTAAATTTGCCAAAAAGGAAAGCGTCCAAATAGCTCTAGAGGCAATGCAAGACAAAGAATTGCATGGATCGAAAATTAAAGTCGAAGTTTCTAAAAGAGCTGAGCCAAGAAGAAAGACCCCAGGTCGATATGCTGGATATGCCTACCGTCGCTCTCGATCTAGATCACACAGAAGAAGAAGATCTATATCGTCTGACTCTTACTCAAGCAGTCGTAGAAGACACCATAGGCATTAAATTATTATATAATATTAGTCGTCGACGACATTATAAAAGAAGATCATATTCAAAATCCCCTTCTAGAAGTCCAAGTTAGAGTCACAGAAGGAGAAGAAGATGAACAATTAGATAATATTTCAAATTATCACAAAATAATTTTACCTCTTATATTTGTACTCCTCTTCCAATATTTTAAATATTTAGATGAGTTTGTTAGTTCTGTACTATTGTTTTTGAAGATACCTTCACAAAAAACATAGAAAGAAACTTTCGCTTTTCATTTTATAATTAGACCTTTTTATCATTATTTTCCTATATAATCAAAATTCACTATAAACAAATAAAATTCAAATTAAATATTTAAAAATTTATTAATAATCTGTAATACGAAATCATTTTAACATTATTCATAAACAAAAAGCCTTTGTTCTTCATTTTTTATTAATATTCTTAGATTTACAACATAGATGACAACAGAGAAGAAGCATTCCATACATATTTTAGAATTTCAATAATTTCTATGAGATGAATATTAGAAACTGGTTTGCAATATAATTTTACGTTGAGGATGGCTTTGATAAGAAGTTTATCATGCTAACACATATCGTTATTAATTCTAATATCAACACAATAAATAGTTTTTGTTTTAACAAAATATTAATAGTCTAAATTTCCATTAAAATGAAATATAAAAATTATAATAAAAATTTTGAAAATATCTTGTTTATTTCTTGCTTGTTTTTGATTATTTACAAAAAAAACTGGGTGGGTAGTTATGGTTGCATCTTGTAGAGTAGAGATTCAGTGATATTATAAAAAAAGTAGTATTTTCAAAGGGATGGAGAGTGAAGAGTTTCAACCAACATACGACTACAAGGTTGTAGTTGCATACAGATTGTAAATATTGGCTTTTGGAGGTTTGGGAGTGGATTAAGGGGGGACTTGAAAAGAGGAAATAAATTTAAATATTATAAAAATTTTATAAAAAATAGTTAATTTTTATAATAAATTAGAGTAAAAGTGCATCATTTTTTAATGACACACTATTTGTTTGTACTATGATATTTGAGTTTATGAGGTTTTATAATAATTAGCAATAAGATATATTTTTTTCAAATAAAACATTATAAAAAAAATGGAGTAACAAGATGCATCATCAATTGCATAAAATAACTTGACTGGACTGGCAACAGTGCATGGAGCAAACGAACAAAACAAATTACTTCATAAATTGAGTGATTAAAGCAGTCCTATGAAAACAGACATCTAGATAAATCTCAATAAAGAGATTTATTCAGAGGAGGAAATGAGGAACTTTACAAAAAGAGGAATAATTTCATTGATAGGAGGTGTAATTCTACACATAGAATTGGGAACATTTTATGTTTGGGGATCAATTAGTAATAAATTAAAAATAATTTTTTTTAGGTCCATATGTTTGCGCTTGGATGAGAGAGAAAGACAAGGATGTCACACTAAATTTCATGGCTATCATATTTCCAATCCTCGGAATCATAACAATGTCAGTCCTTTCATTTGGTATAAAGATTGCTGAAAAAATTGGATTTAAAGTTACAATAGGGATAGGATCATTCACTATTGCATTGGCCTTCTTGATTATATCATTTATCCAACAAATAGGAGGATTTATAGCGGTGTATTGTATAATGGTTGGCATTTCTGGAGGGTTATTATATATGCTACCAATTATTTGTGGATGGAGATACTTCCCAAACAGAAGAGGTTTAGTATCAGGAATGACAATCGGGGGTTATGGATTTGGATCATTCATCTTCAATTTCGTATGCAAAGCAGTAGCAAATCCCAACAATTTGAAGCCATCAGTAATAGAAGTGGAGGATGGCAAAGATGTGAAATACTTCGACAGTGAAGTAGGAGACAAAGTTCCATTGATGTTGTAAGTTCTTGCTGCAAGCTATTTGGGATTGGGAATTATAGCAACAATAATGGTTAGATACCCAGCTGAAATCGATCCAGATAAAATGTTAGCTACCTTAGAAGCTGAAGAAAAGAAGAAAAGAAAAGAAGGTGCTCCTGCCCCTCCTCCTCCAGTTTTACCAGCTCATAAAGAATGCGTTGAAATGTAAGACATCATATTTATATGTTTAGTAAACGAGGAATGAAACATCCATCTTTTGTGATTCTCCAATTAATTGTATTGATGTCCTGCACTTTTGGTATGTTGATATCCAATTGCTATAAATACTATGGGTTAGAATTGGGAATTGATGATGCAACACTAACAGCCACTGGTTCAGTTGCAGGTGTAATGAATGGATCATCAAGATTCTTCTGGGCAACTCTAACAGATAAGACTTCATACAAATTCACATTTACGATCATATCAATTCTCAATCTCATCACAACTGCCATATTGCCATACAATAAAGATGGAATTGGCTATCTCTTACTGATTGCTGTAGTCTATCTTGCAGAAGGTGGACTATTGGCTACATATCCAGTTATTTGTGCTAAAATCTATGGAAAGAAAATCGGAGGTCTCATGTATGGGTTCATGTTCTTCTTTGTTGGAGTAGCTAATATGATTGGATACATACTATATGCTTTTGCAAGAAAGAAGATCAAATGGGAAGGTGTGTTTTGGATTTGTTTCGCATTGAATGTCATTGGAATCATTTTGGGTTTGGTTCTTAAGGAGGTGGGCTATGATTGGAGAGATTAGGCAGTGATCGATGCAGAGAAGGAAAAGGAGAAGGAATTACAAAACAAAGGATAGTTGGCTGCATTTTAAAATTGAATTAGTATTATTTTTGGTTTCTTTTTATTTAAGACTACTTATGTCTAAATGTTTGTTGTTCAAACTAATTTACATATTAAATAATTATTTTCAATCCTATATAAAAAAATCGCAAATGGATAAAAATGGAGAATCAATCTTCACTTCAGAGTTCTGGAGAGAGATAAATGAACAATATTTCATCGTCTAATCTCCAGTTTAAATCGCAGATATTGATATTCTAAAAAGCAAATGTATTGTTATTCTCAATCAAAGTAGCTTGGAATTGCAAAAAATCAAAATGTCTAAAACTTCTAAATAAGTTAATTAGGTAGAACAATCGAACAAAGCTGTTCCAAGCAAACCTGAATAATGTAAAAACGAGAGTGCAATTGCTATTCCTGCAGAGACAATCAATATAGGAACCCATTTAAAATTTAATGGATGAAATGATAGACTAGGTTTGTTTCTCTCATTTGACAGCTGGATTATAGCAAGCCGAAGAATTAATAAAAAATATATCTCAATCTTCAGAATCATAGCAATTGTAGATTTACAATAAAGAAGCAAGTTTATTATCAAATCTGATGCATCAAATTGATTGGCCGGATGAGTTAAGTATTTCTATAGAGCAACATCAGCAATAACTCAATGAACTGACCAGCATTAATAAGGATGCATTGCAGAGGTATTCAAAATACAATCTATTTTAGTCTGGAATAACACACTCATTAGATAAACTTAACTGTATTATACACATACAATAGCCAACAAATTGGAGAACAAAAATTGAAATTGACTAGATAAAGAATGCCAAATTATCAACACGAATTGAATTTGTTAAAATCACAAATCATATCATTGCAAGATTATTAATTGGCTGAAAGTGTTGCCAAGGCAATCTTCAATGAATATAGTAATTATCAAATTATACTCCTCAGATAATACCATTACTGTCATCTTAGATAAATACTTGACATCAATTCCAATTACTTTAAGCTTAGAGGAATTTGGTAATCTCCAGAAATTAAGAGAGCAACCATATGATTTATCAACTTAGCAGTGCGGACTCAGGTCAGATGTATATCAAAGAGTATGATTGTAGGATGTATTTGAAATGTAAATGTGCCATTATTGTAAAGAGATGGTCGAAATCAAAAATCTGAAATAGTGTCAATATAATCATTTTTCAATGGGACTCCATGAATACAATGAAGATTTTTTGGTTTGCTAAAGATATTAAATAAATAGCAAATAAACGCAATAATATTTTCTAGATCTGTATTCTGAAAATTACGTCATTGAAGGTAATGGGATCATAAACTATCCTAGATTAACAAATTATGTGCCAAAGATACTTTTGCTTAAAATGTTTAAAGTATGATTTTGATTCCTATGAAATTACATCTTATCTATGGATTTGTCCCCTTTGCAAAGTATTATTTCATCTATGCATTTAGGGTTTGTGCACTTGCACACGATGTGAAAGAAATGACATGATTTATAAGTTAAAAAGACAATTCTTAGAGTTAAATGGAGATTTGGAGGAAATTTACAAATCATCATACTTCGAGAGTTTGGTCAAAGAGAAAAGAAAATAATTGTCAGAAATCCCTTTGGAGTTCTTAAAAGTTTATAAGAACGAGTAAGAAGAAACACTATCATAAAAGAGTAATAAAAGATAATTTCAAGTAAATTCAATAAGGAGGAAGATTAAAAAAGAGGATTCCCATCTAGTTAATAAATGTCATAAACTATATTAATTAGAAAGCTCATCCTCTTCACTGAAAATAAAGAGATCAAAAGAAACAACATATAATACAATTAGTAGTATAGATTCAATCCATTCACAATTGTATATTTAATGATTTGTAAATTTATTTGTAATTACTTTTGATATACAATTTAATTTTCTATTCAATATTTCTTAAATTAAAAATTGCAAATTGAAATATCACTATTTCAAAAATAATCCAAACTTATATAATTACAAGAAATCGTAATAGCTCGTTAGAAACCCTCGTTACTGATGACAAAAATGCTGTAGGCTATTCAATATCTGAAGGACATTTTACATAAATATGATCTAAATTACGATTACAGAAATATAACAAATGATTTGAAGATATCAGAAATTAGGTTTTGTGAGATCTGTATTAAAGTGTGTATATTAGAAAAATATACTATTTTTATGACGTTTAGTCTCTTAGTTGAAAATGTATAATTAATAATAAAGATATGCAATTAGAATGAGGACCATTCTCGAGTTGCCAGATTGCACTATGTCTCATATCTTACTTCAAATAATATAAGAATTATAATGTAGTAGTTTCCACTGTAATTTTAGGCTTACTGTGAATGAAAAGCCAAACTTGAGTTATCAAAAGAAAGAAAGTATTTAATACTTATACTGGAAATAAGAATGAAACAACTATTACATAGTGAAATATGCATTTTCTGCAGTTCTTTGAATGTCAATCAATTTACATAGTTTTAATTTGGAAATTGATTATTGATTGCATTTAATAAACTAATGGCTATTTATATTGATTATTCAACCTTTAAAATAAAAGCAAGTATATTAGAATATCAAGTAAAATTTGTATATAATATTAATACAAAATGAAATTTTAATGGATCAAAAAAGGGAAAGAAGATTTAGTCAATATTATTCAGTGAAATCATACAAAGAATTCTAATTGATCCAAAGAAAAACTCTTTATAATACCACCTAACAAAGACTAATAGCTCGTTTAGTAAATGTTATGGTTTGAATGTATGAGAAGCTGAGATGAAAGCTTATTTGTTTCATAAAATCTTTATTAATAGTTAATATAGCCATTTTATTATTTATATAACTTATAAGAAAAATGTTATAATGAATCAGTCAATTAATGATTTTATTTAATGTGTTATTTTCTCTATTTCTGAGTCCAATCGTTCAATTTAATTAAGCAATCTATAATCATAATCTTTCTCTTTTCCTTTTATCTTCTTTTACATTTTGCATAAATTTTTTTATTTCTCTCTTATTTTCTTCTCTATCTCTTTAACTCTCTCTGCATTTTTTTACTATCTTTTTTAAATGAAATTTGAATTAATTTCATAATCGTTTTCTTAATCATATTCAAATGATTAATTTTATGAACTAGTATGAGATTGTTCTTTAACTAATTTGTTTATGAGTTAATTTTAACGTCTGATCTAATATGATAAATCATAGGAGTACTTCTTAAATTTGTTATTTGTAATCATTAACTAAATTTATGTTATCCTTTAACTAAGTCATTAAGAGATGATGATCTTGATCATCCAATGAGACTGATTGAGACATCTCTTGATATCCTCCAATTTCCATCTCAGTATTTCTGATCATAACCAATTACTCTAATTCTGCTATCATTCCCAAAGATTCTTAATATGCTTTTTATTTTGACAAAATTATTTCATAATTGTATTCCAATTCCAACTCTAATCGTTTCAAGGCTTTTTATAGGCTTCCGAATATTTTTTCTGCTTAATCTTGAAAAGTCATAGCTGTTAAAATGAGAAAAATTAAAATTATTTAAATTTCCTTTTTTTGTTGCTTTTATTTTAATATATAAATATTAATTAAGTAATATCTTCTCCTCAGTATTGAATTGTGTTCAAACCTGCCTATATCATACTTTTTTTCCTCTCGTTCTACTTTGAATAGGAACCCTGACTCAGTATTTAAGATTTTATGAGAGGATTAACTTTTTATTGATCCAACGATTGAGATTTCTAGCAATAATATCTTTGTTATATCTATTGCAGTGGTTCTTTGTTTTAGAAATGATATTCAGTATTTTCCATTTTATATTGACCTAATTATCATATTAATTATCTTACATAGCGCCTCTTTTGGGATGATAATCAATTAGTAATCATTTAGATTAAAATTTGTTGACCCTGTCTTTGATAAGGTCTGTATTTAATTGTTATTAAGGTCTATTTATGATTTTGACATATTGAGATTAGAGCTTGGAGTTAGAGGAGATGCTAAAGAAGACTTTCTATTGTGAAATGAGTTGATATTTGTTATTATCTTAGGATCCTTGTTCTTAGGTGTAAAATCATTAGAATAGGGGGACTGTTTCTCAGAATCAGAAATTGTATGACTTGCAGTTGTAGCTAGCAATGAGCTACAACTCTAGAAGGCATGTAACTTTTCTATAGGATTGCCACTTGTTTTAATAATTCCAGTTATCCCTTCTTTATTCATAGTTTATGTCCTGCCTTTGAATCGAGTTAAAAAATCCATTGATTATTTAATTATGAATGAGTAAAAGAGATAAATCATATATTTATAGCCATCAAAATTATTTTATCTCAAAGATATAATTTCGGACTATTTCATGATGTTTTACATATAAAATTAAGCATTACTTTTTAATATATTTTTATGTAATTTATAAAAAATTTAGTTAATAAGTCTGCGGATTAATTAATCTCTATTGAAGGAAAAGTAATTGGTCTTGAACATTAGAAATGGAACTAAATTAATTTAATCATAATAACAATATCCATCGAGAAAGAGTAATTTAAGGTATATGGTTTCATATAAATATAAAAATTGGATTTGTAGATTGGGTTTAAGTATGAATTCACAAAAGTACAAGTAGGCACTATGAACAACCAATTTTGCGGCTTACTTTCTACTCAATCTAGGATCTATTGTGATAGGCAAGATATCTTGGAGATGGAAAAGTATAAGTCTGAAATATTTGATAAACATCCGAAGTAATCAATAGAAATTGAGAAATCTGATAGATATATCACCAATCCTTATGTGATCAATTTGAATGATTATTTGTCATAAGAGGAATTTCAACTTGAGGGAACAATGCTATATAAAATCAAATAAAAATTACATAATTTAAAAATATCCACTTTAGTAGGTTATATTTACAAAGTGAATACAGATCAAAAGAGGATATTAAATTTAGGGATTGTAGATGATGTGACTCACTCTCCTTGTGAGATTGATCTGCAATATAATGATTAATCATAATTAGCTAATTATAAATTGGGCTAGAAAATCAGCTTTACGAATTTATAAAAGCAGAGTAGAGTAATATAAAATTAGTTTAAGGGATTCATAGAGGATTAGCAGGTCGTGTAATTCGATATAATAACTATGGAGAACTAATAAATTAATCTATTATCATTGCTAAGGAAATTAAAAACATTCAGCATATTACCATATTCTCAATTGAGTGACATAAAACCATATACAATAGATAGAAAATTAAGAAAATTTAAAGTAGACACAGTCAAAATATATTCAGTACTTTTCCAATATACATGTACTATTTGCAAAGGGAGTGTGAAATTGTAGCAAAATCAAGTTTATTAATGTGAAAGTTGTTTATCTTTTGTGGATTTGAAAGATTGCGCTTGGGAAATTCTAGCTTTAGTATAAATAAGAGTGGGTACTCAGATGGCCTTATTAAAATTGCGGGATCGTCTGGTTTTTGAATTTTTCGAAATATCTCCATTTTATGAATAGTTTTTATAGAATTACAGTCTCACAACAGGTACTTCTTTTGTTAATGGTTAGAAAATAATGCTTTGAAATAGGAACTGACAGAAGATGACGAGAAGTTAAGATATCTATACGATGCTTTTTATAAGTCGTTTGCTTGTAAGGAGATTTTGGGATAGGCATATTGTGATTTTATAAAGACAGCCAAGACAAAGTATGAAAGTCATTTAAATATTCTTAGGGAGAAGTGGAAATAGATAAATAAATTAAAAAAGTAATAATTGTAAACAATGAATTTTGACTTTGAATGCAAATTTTTGGATTACTAGGTCTGGATTGAGAAGAATGAATATGAAAAGCTAATAATTTTTCCAAATGGTGCGTATGAATAAGTTTTGAGAAACAACAACTCAGAAAAATGGTATGAGAATAGGGTGCTGGAGCCTTTGATATGTTTAGAGTGTTATGGAGTTTAAAATGTCAGTATCAACTATTATAAATACATAGCATCTGCTATATAATGATTTTAATCGATTTAATTTATTTAGTATTTTTCGTTATGAATTAATGTTTGAATAATAAGAGCAAGGCCATTATAATCAAATAACCTGATCCCACCTTTATGAGAGCTTTAAATTTAGGCAAGCACACCAAATCAAATAACTAAATACCAAAAGAGCAGTAATAAATAGCTACTCAAAGAACTTAAAGAACCATCATACCTTCAATGTATGGGAGAATGTTAATATTTAAATAGAAAATCAATCTCAAATAAAAACAGCTAAGAAAAGATTAGAGTTTACGATGTGTTCAAATAGATTCCAAGGAATAAGAGCCAATCTTATCATAATCACATTAATAAAATGGATGAGTCAAGGGAAATTCTAAGTAAACTAAATTAGCAGAAATAAATTAATGTTGGTAAATATTTTAAGTTTAAATGAAGTAAAGATTGTTAAAAAACATCTAGATTTATAGAACCAGTCATAACAACTCATAGAGTTGAACTCCCTCCTTCAAACAAAAAAAGATCATACAGCAATGCTTAGACTATAGATAAGTTATTTAAGATGAATGACAATTCAATATCCTATATTAAACCACCTCTAGAAACTCAAAGGAAAATCTCTAAAATTAAGACTAATTTAAAATTACAAAGAGATGATAATATATTAGATTTGTTACTATTAAACACTTGTGAATTAAAAAAAAAATTGTCAAATAAATCTAGTAACAACAACAGTTTTATTTGTGTAAGACCTGGAAAGCTGCCAAAAGACTTCTTTATTTATAATTAATGATATATAATTAATAATAATATACGAAATTATAAAGAATGTAATTAGTTTAAAATGTTAAATAATGAATTAAATTTGTTGGTTAAGAAAGCATACAAGCACAATTTGTTAAGTACTTCATTTATATCGATTCAGATCCTTTAATATCTCAGTTCAGGAAATAAATGACAATTAACTCCAGATACTCAACTCGTAAAAAAAACAAGAAGGAAACAATCAGACAGGCATCAACAATAAATGCGATCTAATAAATGAACAGCATTGATCAATTTACAGGGAGGAGTAGTTCAAAGTTGACAAGCTCTATGTTAATTGTTAAATAGGAAAGAAGAAATACAGCATCACCAACAAAAATTATGCGTATTCTATCCCTTTGTTAGGATGATAACATGTAATAATTGGCTGAAGTCTTGGGAGAAATCAGTAGAATAGAATTAGAGACTGATCTCAAATAAAAGAGTTAAACCTTGTTATTGAGAAATATCAGAATTAATAAACAACAATTCATCAAGTTTTTAGAAAGAACTTATCCAATAATCATTTGCCAATAAATTGCTAAGGCATTTAAAGTTCCTTAAGTCATGAGTGTTTAAGAATATAAATAGATGATTGAAAAATTGGAAAATTTAGATCTGAAATCTTAGATTCGACTATGCTTTCTAATTTATGATTATAACAATTAAGGATACATAACTACCCATGATTTAGTTGAAATACTTAAACATAACAATAATTAAGCGGTCGAAAAGGATTTACTACATATGATCAATTCTACCAAAACTTAAATATCAAACTAAATCAATAATGACATTTAGTAAAACAATTCCCTACTTCTCCCAACAAGTTTACTGAGAGTCAAATTAGATAGAAGTGTCATTTTAAATTAAAGAAGACAGTCAATAATATCATATGATGGAAGAGGTCGTTGTATTAGTAGAATTAGCCAAAAGAATTCTCCTGATTTAAGTGTGGAACTTGAATAGGATAATAATTAATAAACTAAGAATGCAACAGCAATGAAAAAAGTGTTATTAATAACATAAATTCATAAAATGGAATAAAATACTAATTCCACAAATAATTTAATTCAAGGATTAAAAAATTATAAAACAGAGGACTAAAAAAAAAAGAATAAAACTGTTAAGGATGAAAATAAAATTAGTACAGACTTGAGTGGATTTATTAACATATGGTTTCCGAATAAGCCAAATATATTTTATGATATTATAAGAACTTTAACTGAAAAGCGTTGATAAATTCATTTATTCGATTATGAATATTCTTATTTTTTCTAAACACCTTACAAACAATACTAGATTCATTGTGATAATTTTTATTGTTTCCCTAATTCATTGTGATAATTGTATTGTTTCCCTAATTCATTGATGCTTTATTGAATTATATATTTTACATATAAGTATCATATAAAAGATATAATATCATTGTATTTAGGATAAAAGTGAATGATCTTTTGAAATTTATGTTAACATTATTGGATATATATAATCCTCTAAATTATTGTAGATTTGTGGAAATAATATATATGCATTTATATAAAGAATCTATTTTATAATATTATTGATTAAAATCATGAGATCAAGTCGAAATCATTTAGAAATATGTTATGAAAATATCAGAAACTTGAATGATTCTTGATTTTAAGCTAGAAATTTTATTGGACTAATATAATTAACTAAAATTCATTATTATCATAAATCTTATTGTTGACTTTTAGAATAAATTTTCCTTGAATTTGACTAAACAGATATTTCATTTTTGCTGGAATTAGAAATTCCTAATTCTTATTCTAGTTCATTCAGAGAAACTTCTTATTTCTAATCCATCTCTAAAATTAAATAAAGATCAGGTACACTCTTTATTTTCATCTTCATTTTCCTCATCCATATCAGGATAAAATGAAAAAGGAACGTCGTGAAAGTGAATTCCTGGAGCATTCTCAATATGGGACAAATAGTCATAAACTGTAGCCACAATTTTGTTTAAATCTTCAGTTTTATTTCTATTTTCCACATTCTATTTTATTGGAAAATGCAATAAATAGTCAGGCGAATAATAATCATAATAAATATCATTTGATGGAATTGCCTAAATACTAATTGCTAAGTTACTTAATCAATTTATTGGCCAAGAGCAATTCCTGTTTCATATGCCCAGCACCTTGAAACATTTTAAATTGTGTAACCTCCACCACCAAGTAGTATCATCGGAATTCCAAATGATTTCATGTATTCTACACAAGCCCCATGACCTCTATAATTAAATTGAATAGATAATTTACTTAATTGATAAATTAAATCCTCCTAGCTTATCCAATGATAAAGAATCAGCCCCACATTACATAACAATACAATCTGGTCTATAAACTTGCATAACTCTGCTTGTAATTTTTTTGAACATCTCTATATATGGTTGATCAGACATTCCAGGTTTCATTGGCACATTGACTGAATAGTATCTACCAACTCCTACTCCAACAGAATTTAATTGTCCTGTTCCTGGGTAGAAGTCATCTCCATATTAATGAAATGATAATGTCATCACTCTATTTGTTAAATAGAATGCTTCTTCTACACCGTCTCCGTGATGACAATCAATATCCACATATAATACTCTCACATATACTCTTAGTAATTCTAAAATGCATAAGACGATGTCATTTATATAGCAAAATCCACTTGCTTCTTTCTTTTTGGCATGATGCAATCCGCCAGACCAATTAATTGCAATGTCAGCCTAGCCAGTTAGAATGGAATGGGCACAATCTATACTGGCTCCTGAACTTAGTTAACAATAAGAAAACAATCCAGAGAAGGTTGGATTGTCAGGTGAATCACCTACTTTGAATTCAGAATTTTCAGTCTTTACTTTTTATTATTGACTCCACTTAATTATCAATTTGAATTCTTCCAATAGATTTTCAGGTATTACAGATTCATTATTGGCTGAGCAATACTCTTTAACAAAATTTATCTTGTTTTAACTCATGAATTAGCTTAGATAAATGATATAATCAGGATCATGAAATTTTCCAATTTCTTATAGTTAAGCTTCCCGTATTAAATAAACATCCATCTATCGAAAAAGGCTTATTTTTATTGGTTAATATCTACCCATAATTGACGATCAGATTATGCGCCATAATGATTCGCTTTGGCTTCATTGGATGCTCTTTGCCATATTGAAATTTTCCGATAAATCGATTATAAAAGTAAGCCACTCTTTTGCTAGAATCTGAATCAGTCTATATCATTAATTAAAATAATTTATTATTAATAATAATATCTATAATCTTGGCTTTAATTCGCATATCTAATTACGTAATAGGAACAAATCATGATTTAATAATATATTGGATGTTACATTCTTAATAATATTAAAATAGAAAAGATTAGAAAAAGCATTTATATCTTGATTAAAATTTAAAAGATATCTATTTTTAAAATTGTCATTAAAAAAAATTGAAAACAACAAACTTTTAATCAACTTTGCATTTCATTATTTACAATAGCTTTTTTCGAGATGTTCATAAGATATTCTAAAAATATTGAATGATTTTTACCAATTTCCAAATAGTTTATGATGTTCATTCCTTTGATATAAGTTTTCTTGAAATCTGCTTGATTCTTAAGTATGTCAATCTCTTGATACTTTGAATCTAAGATGGCTTATTGAATTTTCTCTGAAACACTCAATTGCTATTGTTTTTATCTAGTTAACATGATTCTATCTTGAACTTTAGGAGTGCTGATGATCGGATCCGAACTCTTCCTATTTAGAATGGTGTTAACTTCGGATTTGCCTGAATCTGAATACGTATCTGTCTTGATTGTCACTATATTTTGTGGTTACTAAAAAGAACTATTAAAAGTGGACCCAGTTTCGATATTGCTGTTTGATTTATTATTCATTATCAAGTCTACTATATCGATATTTGTATCTTCGCCTAAACATTTTTCTTTAATCTGCTCTAGAATTATTGTGGAGGCCATGTTGGTTTCTTGACAACCTAACATTTTGAATTTTCTATTTTCTGGAGCATACAAATCCACTTTTGGTTATGGTTTAACTAGTTTTTATTCTATGATTTAGGTTTATTGCATCTTTTAGACAGCAGATATCTCGTTTTTGTTTTGAATGACTGAAATAAATGCTTTAAATGGGATTGAATTGAGGCACTGTATGATGTAATTTCCAACTTTGGTGAACTAATAAACAAATGTTTGATTTTCATATAGAGGAGGTGTTTCTATTTCTTCTTCATTTTCTTTTTGATCAGTTTATGAAATTGCTAAAATAAAATATCTGTCTTAACAATAGATTTGACTGTTTGATTAAATTTTGAGAACTTTGATAGTTAGAACATTGTCTAGTGAGATTATTAATGATTAAGGAATAAATTAGAAATTTTTGATTTCTAATAACATTAAATTAAATATATAATCAATTCTTGAATTGAGGTGATTCTGATGGAAACAAACTCTTTTAACAATTTAAACCCTTCTTTAATAATTAAGTAAACTACGAAGTCTTGTCTGGAATTCTCACCACTTGTTAATCTTTCATAATCACCTAGTCTTCATCAATTGAATTATTGGTTTCGCATGTTTGGAACAGGTTTTCTTGAAAGTTATTAATAAATTGGGTTTGTTATTGAATCTTAGTGAGTTCCTTCATTTCGTAAAAATCTTCCTTGTTTTAGAATGATATATATAATGATAAGTAGTTTTACAAAGATTGTTATAATTGCTTACATAACAAATGATTTTGTTGAGTAAAGTTGTCATGCAACTATTTGAACTGATGCATCACCATATCTTATTAATTTAACTACTAAACAAAGATGGAGTGTTCCTTGAATCTTTTCTGATAGATCAACATAATTTCATTGAATGGACCCATAGCCATATATTCTATAATGTTGAACTCATTTGAGAGGATGTCCTCCTCCATCTTCTTTAAAGATTCAATGGTAGAACGTATTTGATATTGTTCAGCATTGATACACTTTTCAATTTGTTTCAGCACTTCACTCTAATCACTAAGTGTCTAAAACATACCTTTAATTAAAGTAATGGCTAAATGGTTTGATCAAATACTCTCTCAATACATTGTTGCATATCTGAGATACTAATGCTCTCCAAACTCTACTTCGTTTAGGTAATCAATTATTTAAACTACGATATCTATTCATGTCTGATCTCCTTCTCTCTTAATTCAGGACTCTGAGTACTCTAATAAGGAGGTTAATTCATGTTATACTGTGTAAGTTGATATTGAAATGGTCTTGACTTTTGGAGAAGGATGTATTGTCTAATTCAATGAATTATATTGATTAGTGTTCACCCTTTTTTCTTCATTGCCTTCCTTTTAATGATCTTCAATACCTAGACAAGTGTTGAAATTCAGTTTCACTCCTGCATAGCAATTCTATTATGCTAATATTGGATTAGTTCTATTTTATATTTTCATTAAAGATTTCAGTATTTAACTTTCTTGATATTAATATCTAATGTACAATTATGCAGTTTCTAATCCGAAGCCTAAGTTGAAATGTTTTTCTTTGGTTGGTTTGGTGTCTAATGTTGCATCTCATTTAACAGAGATCGGTTCGAGTATGAATTTTTTTCCAAAGAGGATGTCTTTTACTTACTCTTGTTCAAATATGAAAATTTTTAATTGTGAACTGCTTTCATGTTTTCTTTCATTAATGGACTCTTCCGCATTAAAATATATATTTTTAACAACTTTTTTTATTAATTAATTATGTAATAAGAAATTTATAAAGATAGAACAGCAGCAAATGAAAATACTTAATAAATCAAAGCCGCAGAAACATTACAATCCCTTGTACAATATGTGAATGACCTCACTGAAATCGTTAATGAAGTCAAACTCAAGAATCAGGCAGAGTTCATCCTTGCATATTAAAGTCATATGAAAAAAATCAAGGCTGAATTAGAAGAATTAAAATACAAAACTGAAGAACAGAAAAATAGTATGGTCTTAAATAAAGTTAAGGCAACTTCAAATGAAAATGAATTGGTAAATTAGTATGTTCATTTAGACACTGTTTCGATAAGAATGTCTTAAACTATATGAAAAAATAGAGTAAAAAAACAAAGAAAATTAAGAACTCAAATTTACATTGCAGGAATCCAAAAAGACAAATGAGTTTCTTGAATCCTAAATTAAAGGCTTGATGAAAAAACTCAAATTGCAAGAAATTGAGAAATAACAATAACCAACACCTTCAGTAGATTAAATCTTTTGTACCACTGCTCCTACTAATCAATTTAGTAATGAATTCAATTATCTTCAGAGGTTCTTAAAAGGAAATTAACAGACTACCAATCAAAATTAGACATATCTTCATCATTATCAAAACATCATTATGCTTCTATTAGAGAATTATTTGATTCTGAATATCATTAGAAGGATGAAGAATTAATTGAAAAAATTTCTAAGTATTTACTTACATTATGATTTAAGATATGTTACTTAAATAGAACAGAAATACTAAAAGCAAATATCAGCATTGAATTAAAAAGCTAATAATTTATTGATCTCTCAAAATAAGAAAAGCGTCATTCGAAGTGATCTTGAATCATTCTTTTTAGACTGTGTAGAGACTGTCAGAAGAGATATTTTAAAGAAAAAAAGACCCTTTGGAACAAATTAATAGTTGCAGGCTTCAATTGAACATATTTCTGATTTTTCTCAATTTCATAAGGAGGACAAATTAAAAATACTTGAACTAGTAGTTAGTAATGAAAAAATCTTAGTCTTCTTATACTAAAAATTATTCCCTAATCACGTTAATTTAGTCATAAAATCAATAAGAGAAGATATTCATATCAATAACTTCTTGGATGAAAGTGTTAAGTGTGATTCCTCAAACAATAATCATAGATCTGGAGATTACAAAACTGATTTCCCAAAAACAACTAGGGAAGTTCGTTCAGCTTCATTGAATAAATAATTGGAAGTCAAAAAAGGGAAACTATTATTTAAATAATATTGATTGATTATATATTAATTATCTATATTACAATCATAATTTATGCCTTCTGTTAATATGGATTTGTAATTCCATTTAAGTCTTAAATTTTCTGCCGCAATTGGGTTACATGCATGAATAGCCTTCCTCTGGAATATTATTGATAATCTAATTGATTAACTGTCTTGTATTATTAAGTTCATTATTTTCCTTTGATTATAGAACCTGATCACATACATTTCCAAATGATGAGACTGCAGTTTCAATTTTTTTTGCATATTCTTAATTTAAATTTGAGTCTAATAATAAGATTAAGCACTTTAATCCAAGATTGGCAATATCATTTTCATTTGTTGTGCAATCATTCAAAACTTAGGTTATATAATCGATTATATTCATATTTTCCTTTTTTCTAAAGATACATAAGATTCTTACTTAAAGTCTTAATCTTATAACAGATTTAGTATCACTCCTAAACAATAATATACAACTTCTCTTGAATTAGAATCTAATAATACAATAACTCCTTCTGAGATTCTTGATTTCATAATTTATTTGATTAAATCCTTCTACCTTGATAAATTTGATAACACTCTTAAACCATCACAACAAATTTCTTGATCTTCATTTTAAATAATAAAATGTCCAAGAGTGGTTATCAATTCAAATTTAACATTTTTGTATTCAAAATCATTTAAAAAGGTTTGTTTCTCATAAAATGTTAAATTGGATAAGCAACTTAAAGTACAAGAAATGATTTCCTTATTTTAAATTAAAGTTTACTTGTTGTTTAGAAATTACTGTATTCTTTTGTAACAATTTCAATAATTTTGATATTAATACTCTATATTCATTTGAATAATTCTTTAAGATATCCAAACCAATTTATTCAATAGTCAATATGTTTGCAATTAATCTTATGATTCTAATAAGAGCATCAATATCTTTTCTATGGAATAAATAATGAAATATTACTCTGATTATAATATTTAGAAATCCCAGGCTGCTCTACTTTATGAAAATTAATCGATTTGATTCAACTATTATGGACTTATTTCTTTAGTCCAAAAATAATCAAAGCATTTGAGGATATCACCAAATTGATTGAATTTATAATAAATTAATTATCTAATTCCTTCAAAATATGTGGTCATATTGGCTAATAAAAAGGAAGCTCTGATGATGATGTAGATATTGGTTTAATAGGTTTTAAAGAAACTTGAAATATTTTGCATAGCTTCAGTACTTTACAAGAAGTATTCACAACATTCCTTACTCAATGACATCTTTGACATTATTCTTAATGTATTTAAAATCAATTCATAATTGTTACTATAACTAACCATACTAATGACTAGCTTTTTAATAATTCCATTCTGTAGATATATTTCTACACTATTATTCTCATTAGCCAAGTTTCTCAGAGTTGCAGTTATTGTAGTGTATAAATTTAGTAAGTCTTTCTCATATGTTTGATCACATGGGAATGAATGCAAATGACCATCTATTAATTATATATAAATGGGCGATAATAATTTTTGTGCTTCCTTTTGGTTATTGGCTATATTCTTAATGATAATGAAAATTAAATTGAGATAGGGTAATTATTATGAGGTCGTTGCTTGGTCCTTTGGTAATTGAGCAAAGAGTTTCAAAATTCGAAACAAAACAAAACTTAATGAATTGTCATTTATTAAATTCAAGAATACATTCTCATTACTTAATTATGCAGTCTTCTATAAAATGGCTAAGAACTATTAAGGTTGATAAAGCAAAGAGGGCAATTATTCTTGAATTTTGGATCCACTTTTTGGTCTTCTTAGAAGTGGTTTAGCTTATTTTTAAAATAATAGTTCTAATAAATTTAAGGTGGTGAATCCAAACAATGCTGCTTTGATTGCATATAATCTAACTTGCAGATCGTTAAAGTCTATTAATTAAATACTCTATTTTAAAATTGATTCCTTGCCCTAATCATTGCATTCTGTGTTTTAGGTCCAATCTTTAAAAAAGACGAAACATTTTTATATCCATTCCAACTTACTTAGATTAATTGTTTTAATAAATATACTTCTCTTATTAAATATTATCGACTAGCCAATTTATATTAGCAGGTTGAATATCAATTTTTGAACTTTAAGGTCTTGAATCAAGTTGTTTATTGAGGGTGATTTTTGGTGGTAATCCAATCTTTTGTGGAGGTCGATTTAATGTTATTTTGGTGAGTGTCAATTTCTTTTCGGGGTTCATGAATTCGAAAATTGTATATAATTAAATACAGAATTATTACAATAAATACAACTGCTTAATGAATTATTATGAATGCATTGGAAATAAATTAGATTATAAAATCATCATTAATTAAGGGGAGTATTCTAAAGATTCTCATCTACTTTTTTTCTCTTGACTTCAGGTCCATCTTAAATAATTACGCATTTTGTAATCTCTTCAAGAGGTTCCTCATTTGAAATGGATTATTTAAATTTCTTTTTGCTACTGGTTATTTGTTCTGACTATTCTTTATAGCCGATTATGCTAGTCAATTGATCTAGAAAGGATTGGAGTCGACTTTGGAATTCCTTCTATTCTCGACTCTTATGTATTTGAAACAACTATTAACCTAGATTCATTTTAACAATCGACAACAATTCATTACTCGTAATATTATTCAAGTATTGCACAATCTATATATATACAGCAACAATTACATCTTCCATCGAATAGTCCTTTCTCATTAAATCATTCAATTTAATTACAAGACTCTTAAGCACATGCCCATTCAGATTTTCAAAGCTCGGCAATATGTTTTTATATTATCCAGTCTGAATTTGAATAGCTAATTCGATTGCTTCCTTCAATTTCTTAGTTTCTGTCTGAGTTGGCCTATCATTCCATTTTTTCACTTTCTCAAGACGACAATCAGCACTATACTATTATTAAAACAAATACTGTGTTCCATCCGCTAAAAAATTCACCCTGAATGATTAGTTTGTACCTGTCTTCCCATTCGAAATTGAGGAGATCTATTTATGATTATTCTATAATTTACTTATGCTGGCCACCATGGATCTAAAGCTTAAAAAACTACTTACAGCCTAAGACTTTAGCCCAAACTACTTCGTTTATCTCAAATTTCACATCACAGCCCTATTACATCCCTTCACTTTTCGTTCTGTAAAACAAATAATTAATTACAAGATATTATAGGATTTTTTAAAATTCGTTAATCATCATCATCATAATTAATTATTATATATGCATAATTTTTCAGAAATCATTAGAATGTCTCATCCATTTATAACATTATCCCAATCAGACAAAATAATCCAACTGCATCATGCTCATGATCACCTATTCTCCTCATTTAATCAACTTTGATAATTTAAATAAGGCCAAGTCTAAACTTTACAATTTTTAGATTTTAAAAAGTTTAATCGTGAAAATTTGAAAACAATTAAAGTGAGTCATTGGGTCTCCTCCAAATATTTCTATTTGAAGATGAAGTTTTGATTAAAAATAATGAGTTAAAAAACACGATAAAAGAGAATTTTTTAATCTTTCAATTCCCATAAATTTTCTGAAAACTACATTGAAATATCTTAAATGAATTCGAACAAATCAAATAATTCAGGTAAAGCTTAAAAATTGAGTTACTTATTAAAGAAGTTCTATTAGATATTCTCTTCTGGTAATTACTCTTAAAATAATAATTATAATGGTTAACATACCAATTTTACAGCTTCTTTAAGGTCTGTTATTATTTGAAACTCCTAGGTTATAGAGAAGAAAAGGAATAACAGAATTAGGATACCAAATACTCAATAAATTTACAATAAAATAACTATAAAACATATAACCATGTAAAGTAAAAGCCTTAATAAAATTTCAAAAAGAGTTCAGTTAAATCACTTGAATGTGGTTGTTTATTTTTTTAAAAATATTGAACAATTTAAATCGTTATTTTATGATTTCTATTTCAATATATATTAGTTTTACATTTATCACTTAGAAATTCCAAAAGCCGTATTAATATGTAGATATAATCTACTATATTTGATGAAGATCTGATAACATCTATATTGATATTGGAATCTAATTCAATAATCTTATACAAAATTATTTAAACTATATATAGTCTTTTATGATCTGAGCAAATTAATTACATCAGATTTATTTATAATATAATGATGTCCTTAGATATTTAAAATGACTACTTAGAATTTGCGTCAGTTTTGGATGACAAATACTTTATAATTGATACAATTGGATTTGGAAGATATGCAAAGTAAAGTGAATTGAATAACAATCTAGAGTAAAGTTGGCAATTGATAAGGAGGATAAACAAAAATATGCAATCAAAATCATGAAAACAGATCCAACTACAAGTTAATGCAGATCTGAAACATTTATAAATGAAATTTCAACACAAGCTGAATTCGATCATAAACACATAATTAGAATCATATATGTATTAATACTATATTCAACCCTCATAGTGTAGAATTAATGGTAATTATAAAAAGATTGATGGGAGAGTTCAACAGGTTTCTTATTTTGTAATGGAATTAGCCAATCAAGGAGAATTGTTCTAATTATTAGAACAGACTTAGCAATTTTCTGAAAAATTTGCAAGAAACATTTTTTCATAATTAATAAAAGGTAAAAAGCATCCTTTATTGCTAGCATAGGAATTGAGCATCTGCATGAACGCGGTGTTGTTCATAGAGACGTCAAAGCTGAAAATATACTCTTTAGTAATGGTGTACTAAAGCTGGCTGATTTTGGATTTAGCACTAAAACAATAGATGAGAAAGGATCCAGAGTCCAATTTGAAATATCTCAGCATATTGGATCTCCTGAATACAATCCTCCAGAATTATATAATATCGGTAATCAATATCATTATTATAATGTAGGAAAATAAAAGTTTTACAATCCAGAGCAGGCTGACATCTTTGCTGCTGGTGTAATCCTATTTACAATGGTTATCAGATCTGCTCCTTTCAAAACATCCAAATCCACTGATCCTTACTATTCCTTATTAAAAAACAACAAACAGTCCTTCTGGAAGATCTATAGTGAGATTGCAGATTCATCTGCTCAATTTAAAGATCTGATTGAAAAAATGTTGGATGAAAACCCACTAAAGAGAATTACAATTGAATAAATTAAGCAGCATCCCTGGATGTAAGGTAGTTATTCATTTATTATTAAGAATAAATGCTGGGTTAGACTGAATTTTATAAAGAATTAAAGAACAGACATGATATGATATTTAGTTAACAAATCGTAAAGATTACTAATAAGAGGGATACAAAATTTTCAACAAGAAAATCAATTAAAAAAGTTGAAACAGAAACAATCAGCAATAGCATCTCAAAATGTTCATATGAGAATCTAGAATTGATTGACATGGTAATTTTATTCATAAATAATATAGATAAATGCTAAGTTATAAATCAAATGGAATTCGCCAAAAGAACAATTTAAATAGTAATCTAATAAGAGTGACAAATTAAAAGTTGGAATCTAATAAAAATAATAAAATTTACACTGTTCTAGAACAAATCAGGAATCGAAAAGATCAAGTCCTGTTTCCCCCTAGAATGATTCTGACAATTGATACAAACCAATTATATATATATATATATATTATATTGTAATTATTAAAATCTGTAAAGTTTTAAATTGTTATTCTTTTTAAAAATATTTTTGTTAAGAAAAAGAGAATAATTTTAATTCTTTATATTCTTACAAATTCATTTTTGTATATATCCTTTTATAAATCATGGGATCAACTTAAAAATTATTATTTAGCTTAAATTATTCCTAAAATAAATCTATAAATCTTTGATTTGGTTGCCATTAGATTATTTTCCCTATTTATTAATGATAAATTGAAAGTAAGTATAGAAATTCTATTCAATTTTTCGCCTTTTCCTTCAGAATAGTAAATATGTTATTTTGATGATTTGCAGTTAATTTGAGTGAACTGAAACAAATAAGTAAACTACTCAAATTAAATAGAGTAAAACTATTACTGGATTTTAAGACTTAAATCAATATTTATATGAATAGGAATAATAATAATATAATAATATAGATAATCATTTCTAGCACTATTAATCTATTGATAGAGTTTTTGGTATAATCATTTTTTTCTTTTTTCCATCTTGGGTCTCTTTATACTCAACTCTTTATTCAGTTATAATTTCTTGTTTTTTGGATTCTTCATTCTTTTTTGAAACATCCTCTTCCTCTATCTTATCGTTATTATATAACACTTTAATATATTCAGGTAGTTCTAATTTAAATACTATTGTTACATTCAATAGGAACTTCCTAACCAAAGTATCCTTCTTCAATCTATACAAAAGAGCAAAATCCATCACAGGAACTAATTGCTATCAAATTGGAACCTTAATTAATGAATACTTAAAATACCTCTAAAACAAATGTCAGTAATTGAAGCATAATGAAGATTTCCAAAGATAGCCAGGGGAGTAGGACTATCAGTTGAATAGAGAAGTAAGGAATCAACAGTACCTATAGCAAAAATCATTTTATAAGGTAAATCTATTAATGGTTACTAAATATCAGGATTTCTAGTAAAGTATTTAGGACAAAATCTAATAACTAAGGCAGGAGTATTTGTAGGTAAAAAGAAGCATGGAACTTGAGGAGATTGTCTTAAGAATCCATAAGCACCCATAATGGGTTTATTATCAACCCAGAATTCAGCTGCAGGTAGAATATAAAATGATCCATCAGGACTCCAATCTGGTCGTCTAACAAAAGTGAATAAACTGGTTTCACCCAAAAATATTCCATTTTGTTTTTTCTCTTCTGTTTATTATTATTAAGATTATTATTGTTAGTCTTATGAATTGGATTATAATTATGAATCAGCCTTTTATGCATTTTCTAATTTTCTGACTACATGCTATGGATAAAATTGCAGATTATTTAAGTTTTTTCTTTGAGCTTTCAATAGTTTCCACACTCTGGCTGTTCTATCTTGACTCAAGGATACTATAGTTTTAAGTCTTGGATCAATTGTAACTCCTTAAACATAAGATGTATGTCCATCTAAGGTTTGTAATTGTTTTTATTTCTTAACATTCCAAACAATGACATATTTATCAAGTCCGCCTGAGACTAAAATTTCACCATTTTTTGACCATTAAAGATCATAGATTTCTTTGCAATGTCCAGTTAAAACTGCAAATGGCCACCATTATAATCTAGGCTCAGATTGACCAAAAGTTTATCTCACTTGTTAGCTCCAGATTATAATTTTATAATCATCCGAACCAGATGCAAAGTTTCTACCAGATGGTGAAAATTTCAAACAATTAACAGTCTATTCATGACCAGAATTAATAGCTCCTGCAAATTCAACCATCTTAGTAGAATTTTCTAATATTGTCCACATTTTAATGACTCCAACATCTTCACTCATATTATCTTTTTCAACTATTTTAGAATCTGAACCTCCTGTCAATAATAAATTCTATGTTGGATGAATTGCTATTGCCATTATTCGTTCTTTTTCTCCATGCCAAATTATATTCGGAATGACTAATTTCATGTTTAATTAATTAAATATTAGGCGCGTAAATTCATTATTTACATATATATAGATCATTCTAAATCAGGTATATCATCATCAATTTGTTATGTTAATTTTGCTTACGCTTTTTATATTAACATATCTAAATTCTATTTCTCTTATTTCTACTTCATCTCTTATTGTTTTATCTACTCTTATTGTTTTTACTACTCCTCCTTTTTCTTTCTTTCAGCTATTTATTTCAATATTTCATTAGGACTCACTTTCGGCATAGTAATAACCAACTCTCCTGTAATTTCTGATCTTTAAATCTTAGACTTTTCAGCAAACACTTCCTCATCCAATCTAATCTATGTGAGCTTGCCCTTCACTCTTACAGACACATAGGTTGGATTCACGTTTACTTAAATCAATGAAGTGTCCAGATATTTAGGAATGTTCATCTTAAATGTGACATTCTCTGGATCTTCCCAGTTATTTACAATAGGCTTATAACCTCCCTCGTCGCATTGTCTTATTCTTCCATCATTCATATACAATGGGGTTTCTTATTTTACTTTAAACTTATCTGGATTTCTTTATCTTTCTTTGTCCTCTCTAACTCTGTAATTGAACTTAATTACTTTTCTTTTGCTTATCTCAAACACATCTCCTTGCGTGTTTCTGGAGTATATGCTACCTTATCTTCACTGTCAGGATTCATTTCTTTTCTGATCTTCTCCTCATGCATTCTCTACTCTTCTTTAATCTTCTCTTCTTCAATTGCGTATATTAATTCCTTTTGCAATTAGGGCAATAGTTATTTCGCCTTTATCCTCTCCGTATGTGTTATTTCTTTGCCATCCAAGGAATGAAGCGAATCTACTTATCCAATCACATAGTCTCTATACCCCTTCCAACTATATATATTATTTTAAGTATTTACTCAGTGCAAGGATTCCCTGTTAAGTATAATTCTTTTAATCTGCATTTCTGCAGACACTAGATAGATTTTTCTAAATTTTAGAGATCCACAAAATTGACTGTCAAGTCCAGTTTCATTAAAGATTCGCAATTCTCAATGCCTTCTATAAGTTTGATATTGTTTAATGCTAAATTTAGATATTCCAATTCTCTCAATTTATTTAGGTTTTCAATCTTCTCGATTATATTGTTTTGTAACAATAATATTTTCAAGTGTCTACAGTACACATCCAAATTCTCAATCTTCACTATTTCCTCCTGATGAATCGATATCTCTTCTAGATTTGTTAACATCATCTCATTATGCTCTGCTCTTTTCCTTAATAATTCCTGTGTAATTCTAGACATTTTTTAATTAATTTTATAAATGATTAGAATCAAATACTATTCCTTATCTTAACTTTTCAAATAAATGTTCTTTTAATATCACCATTTTGCAAATAACATTTATGGCTATATAAGATGTAGAATGCTAGTTTAAAATATTAATCATATTATTAATCATTATTTAATCACAATTTTTCTATGAGTTATAAATTAATCTCTGTCTTATTGTTGTTAGCTATGTCTTTCTGTAAGAAAATTCAGACGTTTATTTTCTAAATAAATTGCTATAATTACAAAAATCATCTTCGACATGTGGTTCATTATTATTTAAATTTTAAAGATTCAATTTGAAATCAAATTTTTTATGATTCTATATGGATTAAGTAGCCATCTGAATGTATTTTTTGACTATGTCATCTGTTTTTTATGAATTAATATTCAGAACCTTAGATTAACTATGATTTGCTTGTTTCTGATGCTAGGACTTTGTGCCCAAGTCAACTGCAGTGGTTTTCTTAGAATATTAAGATTTGGCTTTTGAATTACTATTCATCTTCAAGGTGGTTAGAGTATTATATTATGAAGGTAACATATAGTTGAATTCTGGTTTCTTTTGTTAATCTGCATTTTAAGAGCTCCTAATTTTCAAGTCATGCAATCTATGAAACAAATCTTCAGCAATAGGCAATTACTTTGAATTCCTATCAGTAAGCGAGCCGCCTTTAGTAATTTTATCCAGTTGATTTTAATTTATCTTTTTTTATTAAATATTAATTGGCTAATACGCTTTTTTTAATTACTCTTATCGTTAAGATATGTTTTGTATACTGCCATTATTGTTATTGTTTTGATCCTATTTAATACTCTTTTAAGACCCTTAGAATCCTTGGATTACAGTAGAGGTGCTTGCCACAATGAGATCTTAAGAAATAGTCTATCTTAATTAGCGGTTGTGATTCCCTTAATACTCTCTAAGCATCTTCTGGATGACAAAATTATTTTCAAATTTCTAGGTTTTGTTTTTATCCTCTTGATCGATAGGTTCATTGTGACCAGGTACTCCTTCCTAGAATTACTCCACTTATTGATCGACTGAATCTTTGATTTTTGACATTTTAAAACTGGATTAAGAGTGTTTGGATTCACTTTTGGAATTGGCAAGTATAGCTAACCTTTTATATACAAGAAAATACCTTTCTTTTCTCGTAAATCAATGTGATTAGTTCTACGTTTAACACTTTTAGTGGTATGTAAATCCTTGATGATATTATTGGTGGGTATAAGTTACTAACTTGGAAGAGGGGATTTCAAATAGAAATGCGATGGTAATTTTTTGAGTGAGTTACTCATTTGATTTATAATGAGATAATGCCTATCTAGCATTTCATTTAATTGTTAAGTTTCTTCTTGAAGGTTAATGAGGTTTAAGCCTTTAAAATCGAGGCGAGTGAGTTTATTTGGTTTGTCTTGTGATGAATAGATGTCGTGTTGTTCGGTTTCATAACTGATTTATGAATTGGAGGATAGTTTTGAATTGAGAACGTTGTTAATTACAATTTGGTTATTTGATTTATTTGAATGTTGGCTTTGTTAAACTCTCTGATAATAAAGTTTATCGATTCGCTTATTCCTCTTAATCATCAGTTGATGTTAATCGACAATCAAAAGATAGGGATGCACATCTTTGTAATTGGTAACATAAAATTCTGTCAAAATATCAAGTCTCGGTTTGACTTCATCCTATTTATACTATCTACAATTTAAGGAAGTTCAACTACCTTTTCATGTATTCTTATTGCTCATCTAATATCAGATAATCCTTATAATAGATTACATGAGGAGTGCTCGTAATTTAAGACAGGATTTCATTAATAGGTTTGGCAAAATAGAAATTGAATGCTTCAAAGTATTTGGTTTGCAATTTATCCAATATGAGTTACTTAGTACTTTATCGGCACAAATTACAATTATTCTTCATTACTCAAATTATCTATAAAATTAATATGAAAAAGCTGAAAAGTAAATTGGAAAGCACGAATACAGACAGTTTTGGAGTTTCTGGTAGTGATTTCACAAGAACTCAAAAGTCACATCGTCAATTTTTGGTTATGAGTACAATGAAAATGCAAACTGAATCAGCAGATCAGCTGAAATTGGATTTGCCTCCTGTTGTGAATCTCCCTTTTTAAAATAAGATACGATCACAGAAGCGATCTAGAAATCAGATACGAACTAGCGATTTATTCAACGTTTATAGGGCACCTTAGACATTGGCAACAAATCCTGAATCATTGCTTAAAAAGAAGAGATAATATCAGATATCATAGAGCATTATTAAGTATTATTCTGATGAAATTACGACTTTAAAGGATCAGTAGAGTTTAGATGACTAGGAAATAGAAAACTCAATTTCCAAATATTTAAATGAAGCAATCCAAAGTCTCGATGTCTTAATCAAAAAGATATAGAATTTATTACAATACAAACAAAACAGGGAGAAGAGTGAGTAGGAAATGAAAGAAATTATGTAGGAGTGTTTTAAATAGAAAAATTTGTGTATACAACAAAGGTTCTGTTATATATTTGGTAAGATGGAGTAGTTGTTCTTTAATCCTTTGTCAGGGGCAATCTACTTTAAATTATGCAAACGTCTGTCAGACAATGAAGTATTCTACAGGAATAAGATGAAAGCTTATAGAGGATTGGGTGAGTGCCTACTCAGAGTGAGACCTAAATTGAGCCAGCTATATTTTACTAAATATTTGATGTCAGCATGGAAGTTGAACGAGAAGAATCACGAACTATATGCGTATGATCTATTAGGAAAATATTATTTTTATGTTGGGCAAATTGAAAAGGCAAAGCTATTCCATGAGAAGATGATAGGAGGCTATTGTGAAGTATGTAATATCAATTATCACTGTAGGTTCCTGAGTCCAGAGTTAGGATATTGGCTTAGAGTCGTTTAGAACAGGGGAGCCTATCAAATAGAATTAATAGGGAACATCAGGTTGTCGACATAGATGTTGTAACATCTGATGACGAATGCTATGAAATTGTGTTGACTCAACCTTAATAAATTAAAGTAGCCACAGTTAGTTCAGTTAAATATTTCCAAAGAAAGATTCCTGATCCCAAATCAGTCAAAGAAGAAGCCAATACAAATATTAGACAGAAGAAACCTAAATATAATTCACAACTGTTGGAAATTGGGGGGGAATTCGACATGTCGAAATTAGTTATCTCAAATCCTCATCTCAATATAGGGGCGATTAAGGACAGAGTTTTGTTGAGTCACATGAGTCCAAACAGAAAATTAGAAATGTATTAATATCTCTGTTTGGCCAGTGATAAGAACGCTTTCAATAATGTTAATCTACTCTCTGGGTTGTATGACAGATTCGAAATCAGCAAAATCAACAAGTATCTAACTAAACTGATCTCCCTTTTGAGCACAGTATAACAATGGTTGACGAGTTAATAAAAGCATAAGCATGTTACTCGCAGGTTCGCATTGGTTTGAATGTTATATGTATATTTAGTTTATATACTAACTTATATTTATATTTTATTATGTCCAACCGAAATACGAAATCTAAGAGCCCTAACCTTAAGAAACCATAAAATTTTGACAAAGATCTAATGAAATATCTTATTTTACAAAAGATAACCAAACCTTCCGCACCTGTTGAAATGCTAACCAAAACTTAACCTGATGAGGATTCAGAGGTTGATGATTTTAAGTAAGAAATAGAAATCAAGTATTCTATAATATTCTAAACCTATTTCTAGATTCAAGAAATGCAAAATCAATCACTCATTCAAGTTTCCCAAAGAAAGTTATGACTCTTCATCTGATAATTCTCTTTAATCTCTCAAAGATGTCACTCTCTATGAATTGAACCGAGACAACATATAACATATCACAGATGCAACATAGCCCTAATTCATCAAACTACTTAATGAAAGATTGATCAAATTAACCGATTAGATTTAAGAGGACCTTTCCATTCAAAAACCTAACCCAAATCCTAAATCTTCAAGGTTGATCTCCTAATAAATATCAAGATTATAGAAAGTGCGTGGTCAGAACCTATCCAACTCCTCCTTAACCAAATAGATTGATCAAACAGTCGCTAGTCAAGGACGTGAAAGTGTGACCAACAAGCAGAATTCCAATCTGGGCTTCAGAGCCACTCCAACCTTGTCCTCTGAAAAGAAGAATCAATCCAAACATATCCAACAAATATTGAAAATTGTACAATAAAAGTAGTTAAATAACAATATCAAGTAATTAAAATAATGATAAACTTAGCGATGCATTCTATAAAAGAACTTTATAAGGCAACAGTAGTTACATTAATAAAAATACAGGTGCTAACGATAAACGAAATATAGAAAACATTAGAATCAAAACAGAATACGATGATCAAGATGGAAATTTAACCCAATTTCACATACTGCCAAAATCAAGGTATTTATTAATTTTATTGTTTTCTATCCGTTTAGAACCAAAAATAGAGAGTCCAGCACAAAATTAAAAAAGCAAGACACATCTTAAAATCATAAAATCTTAAATTACACTATTGATAGTCACATTTTAGAATAAATGAGAGGCACTAGGAACGCTAAGAGTTAAAACAAAAATTATAAAAATTGATTTTAATTATTTATTTATAATATGTGCTGCTTTTCTTATAAATTCGTACTCTTGATTTAAAATCGTCATTATATAAGAGGATATTTATAATATAATAGTAAAATATCAAGAAAGGTGTTTATAAAAACGGATTTGTGATTAATTAATATTTAATGAAAACTTTCATCGGGTTTACATTGTTGTATTTGATATTGGCAAAGTATATTATACCTACAACATCATAGTCAAGGAATTTCATCAATTTAGTAAGATAAATTGCATCCCATCTCTAAAATCATACTTGGATTGTCAGAAGTATAAACTAAGGATTTCAATTATCAATAATTGTTTGTTGCTCTAGATGAACTGGCAGAATCTTTCTAAACAAGAATAAACGATGAGAATAGTTCTTATGAACTTGATTAGCAATCATATGTTTCAGATGTCTAATTCTATGAGAATTAAATTAATGACTTTAAGAACAAAGTTTATTTTCATCAATATCACATAGATTGCACAATTGGAAATCGAAATCAAAGAATTAGGCGATGAAGGAACACGCTTATAAGCATTCCTAGCTGAAGCTAATTAGGATTTAAATGATGCAATTAAATTATTGGCCTAAAAAGAATAGCAAATCAACTCTGATAATTCAGTTTTTGAATCACAAAATCAAGAATATGCTGATACCATCAATGTTCTTGATCAAGCAATTGCCTTACTCAATGAAATCAAAGATGAGGCCTCATTAATCTAAAAGAAAGAACACATCAAGGAGGTATCCTAAAATATGCATAAAAGGTATTAACCTACATATTACAACATCTAGCATGAAGAAATTGTCATCAAAAAGAGTGTTCTATTAACCTCTAGTAAATGTGTTGACTTAAATGACATAAAGCAACTATGTAGATTAAGAGAATCTTAATAAAGTCATCAGTTTTATGAACTAACTTAGACAAAATCTTATTGATGCATAACAATCACTATAAAATCAACATGAATCATAATCTAAATTATAATAAGATATTTTATCTGAAACTCAAGCCAAGGTCAGTGGAATTCAGGATGTTTTAATCCCACTATTGGGAACTGAAATTTCAATTAAACAATCTGAAATTAGAACATTAAGCTCTATTTTGTAAGATGCCTAAAGTAATTTAGCTGATGCTTAAGAAAACCTTGTTGCAACATAAAACAGATGGATTGAAAGGTATAATAGAAATCTTAGTAATTTAGAACTTCAACCCATAATAATTTATTGCAACAATTTAATAATGAGTTATTAGCAATTAAGGACGCAGAAAATGCATTAAAGAAAGGCGGTATCTTTAGATAATGATTTTTGTTTTAATCAAAAACAATTATTAATAATGTAGAATTCAGCTTTAAAAGTTTTATGTTAATTAAACAATATTTTACAAATTATCATCCAATTGTTTTTTACATCTCCTTTTTCTACTTTTTCCTTTTACCATTTTTATTTTCTTCATTCTCTTATTCTTCTTATTTTTTATCTTCGCTCTGATTTTTATCCAGCAAATCCCTCTCTAGAATTTCTTCAATATCTATCATTGTTTATCTTCGCAATTTATTATCCTTATATGACATTTATATTGTGCTTAGTGATGGAATACAATTTCCATATTTGTCATATCCGGTTGGAATAGCATTTGTTAGCATTTTAACAAAAAAGGGGAATATAAAACAAACAAATGGAATGCTAAGTAAGGCATAAACAGTTCTTGTAAAAAATAACAAATCTCCAAATGACTAGGTAGTACTATCTTTTATTTTAAAAAGATATAAGAATACTAATTTAATACTGAATCATTACCTGACATTATTATCGAAATAATCAAACAAATTAGATCATAAACTAGAAAGTATTTTAGTCTGCCTCCTTTTGTATCTTAAGTAATTGTTAATTCTTCTTTTAAAAATGCTCCTCTAGAATAGGATCTGCTTAATAAGAGATAAGCTATCCATACAGTTAATACTTAAATGGTTAAAGTAAAGATAAGGATATACACTTAATGATGATTTCCAGGACCACAATCAAAAAATAAATAATGAAAATAAGCCAGAAAGCATGGAAATAATCCATTAGTAATAAATTGCATAGATTTATAATCAGCTATATAATTGACTAATTAGAATTCTTCATCCTAGGATTATAATGTATTCATACTTTATTAATACAAAGCAGAATTATACAAAACATCAGTGGTTGGATTCCCATATATGGAAGCAATTAACAAACTTTCATAAATTGATATGAAACTCTTCTCATGTGATCACGATTAGTGAGATCTGCAGGGTAAAGAGAATAGAGTATAAAATTTCTGATATGTTAAATCACTCCTTTTGTCTCCTTCTTTCTAATTTCTACTTATTTTTTCTCCAATTTGGCCCTGAGTTCCAATCTGATTAAATCAGTGAAATCCTTCCATAAATTAGTTGCAGTATCTTACACAAAACCTTACATAAAATCATAAGGGACAGATTTCTAGACACTTTCAGTTATTTTCGGTTCAATACTACTCATCAAACTGACAACTTATGCATCAACCTATCCTGCAATCCAAAAATTGATATGTTATTTTTTTTCAAGTATTTTATTTTTTATATGAGTGTCTAATTTTTTTAATTATTTCTAAAAAATGGAGTTATAATTAATTACTTTCACTGAGTTTTATGCAGTAGTAGCTTGTGTTGCTACATATGTTTTCAATTAATACAATGTACTATTTTATTCTTTTGCCTTTTTGGCTGCCACTTCGTAATAGTTATCACCATTTTCATCTAAACATATTTTTTTATTGAGAAAATCTGGAAGGTCATCATTTTATTTTTGTTTAGTATATTTTTTATTAGCCTACTCTTCAGCAATCTGTTGAATTTCTTATTCTTGCATTTGCTAAATTAGTTCTTCTGGTATTATGGCCTTGCTAAAATCTAATTAAGGAGCATCAGACACATTTTTTTCAAAATTTTGATTTTCTATTTAAATAGTATTTAGATACAATTAGATTAATCACTCTTATCAATTTATTCATCTGACTTGAATTAATTTGGAAGACTTAGTGGTGACTTGGAAAAATCTTAATTGTTATTGGACTCTTCATCTTTCATTTCTTTGTATTTATCCTACCCAAAATGTTTATTATAAGCATCCTTAGTTTGCTATTTCAATTTTTTTAGCATGCTTAGTATTATTTTTTAATTTAACCAATAAATTTAAAGTCGTTCAAAAAGTTTAAATAGTATCAAAATAAAGTTTAATTCAACAAATGTCATTTCTAATAAACATCGTAGTCTATTTTAAAGATATTTATTGCTTAGACAGTTATTCTTGATATTACTTCACAAATAATTGTTTAGATAGTTAAAGTCATTTATGAATTCTTTAAATAATAATACTTAAGAATTTGCACTTTAATGGACTACATACTACATTGTTTACAATAAAAACAGGAATCAAATACATAGGCTGTAGAAAGTTCCAAGAAAATTATTCATCACATGACACTTACTCCAATAAATAGATTCTATCAAGTAAAGGATTATGCAACTAAAAGAATGAAATTTAATTAGGGAAACTATTTGGTTCTGAATGACAAAGTTAAGTTTACTAATTTATCAAAATGGACACATGTGAGATTGTTTTATTTAAAAAAATAATAAATAACCTAGAAGATCAGTAATATTAGATGCAAAATACATAGGGTATTAAAAGGTTGTACTATTTTAATCAGACCGAATTGGCTTTTATAGGTTCTTTTATATAAAAATATCATAAAATAATTTTTTCATGGAACTAAAAAAGATAGCTTCCTAATTTATTAAGAATTTGATGCCAATTTGTATGTTTACCTTATAATTCTTATGGTCGATATTTCAATTATTCAGTGATTTTGTGGCAATAAAAGAATAGGCTGTGAAAAGATATACTCAGTAAATGCTGACTCTTTGGAGTATTTACTTCAAATAGATTTAGAGGTACCTGAAGCAGCGAGATGAGAACGAGTTGGGACAGTCTTAGATATTGTATGTTAGAATCTTTTGATGATTACAAGTAGACTTTGATTAAGAGAATAAATTAATTTTTATAATCCAGAAAATAGGTTATTAAGCATACGATTATAAATAGAGAACAGCTTTGAATAGCTAGAACAATATTAAATGAGATAAAGGAGTTGCTTTAAATGTGTTTGGTTTAGGTAGTGAAACTTTAAGTAGAGTGGTTTTTTATAATGATTTCGTTTTTAATAAATTTATGGTTTAGAAATGGATTACCAACAAATTAAATTTAGTATTAGTTTTATGATTCTAAATGATAATTTAATGATTATATATTTAATCAAAAGATAAAAATTATCAATCACTTATGAATCGATAATAAGAACAAATTATTTCTCAGGAAATGGAAAAAGAAGTTAAGTTATTGATTAATTCTTTAGTTTACAAATGAAGTTATGAGAATTTGCGTTTTTAATTGTGCTTGCTAATTTTACATGTTAATCTTTAGTTGTAAATTAATATGGCTATTTGATTCTAAATACATAATAATATTTGCTTGGTTCATGGATTTGATCACCTTCGTTATAGTAATGCTTGATAGGAACATAGGGAAAGTGTTGTCTGTGGTTCATTTTTTGGAGAAAGTGCTGACCATATCGTTTAAGGTAAAATCATGTTTTTAAAGATTATATTAGATTACTATAGTTATTCACTTTGAAGTCAAGGAAATTAAACTCTACTATATTCCAGCAGTTCAATTATTCATCACCATTGGATTATTTCTTTTTTAGGTACTCCATCACGATTAATCCAAACGAAAACATATAATAGTAAGATGCTGTTCATTATTAGATCGCTCATTCGTATTCAGTTCTCTATGTGATCTAACTCCTTCTATTAACCTTAAAATGGAACAACCTATTCGGATACACCTATTATTAAACATTCATAATAGCCTGGACAGCACTTGGAATCAACACCTTCTTGATTATATTACTATTGATAACCATGGTTGAGAATTGCTTCCTCAGACACTTGCCACAAATAAATGGTAACAAATATTATTATTAAGGAACTATAATATTTTGGTTTGTGTTTTACATATTTGGATTAACCATAATTCCATTCTTTCTATTAAAAACTATTTGTGAATATTATGAAAATGACACTCTCTACACTAATATCCAATTGTCATCGATTGCTGTATTAGTCTGTATTTTGATATATCTCTTTTTGTTTATTTTCTTCACTCTAAAAATTAGGAAGCAACTGATGTACTAAATTTCTACTATTTTAGTGTTGTTTTGCAATTGGATCATCGATAAGCTGTCACTCCAAAACGACCATTATAAGAAACGACATAGAAAAAATGGAGAAAATTAAAAATTCCTATAATGTTCGTCAGAATTTCAGCATCCTATTATAAAATGCTTACTAGATAATCAACAACCGATACTAACACTCGCAATACTAGTTCTATCCCTATATGCAGTGATGTATTGCGACCTGATTCACTTAACTTTCGTTAATCGCCATGTCAAACAATGATGAAACAAATGAAATCTATACCTAAAGATTAGGATTCTGGAGACTTTTGTTTGATTTGCTTTGAGAATGAACCTGACGTAGTATTACATCCTTGTAATCATGGAGGTATTTGTAACAATTGCTCAGAAAACATGATTAAAACTACCAAATAATGTTTTCTATGCAGATCAGAAATTAGATATGCATTGAAAATTAATCAAAAGGACGGCGAGATGCTAGAAGCTACTGATGTATAAAAAGTTTGAATTAAAATCATATAATCTATTATCAATTATCAAGGTTTCTTAATTTCTGTTTTCTCCTCTATTTTTGTTATCTCTCCTTTAATTGTTGGATTAATTCTTCAGTTTATTTGATTCTTTTGAGTTACTATTCTTCTTCTAATTTTGGAGGCTCCTTCTTAATGCTTGGCAAAAGAGGTAATAATGGTGCTCTCTCTTCAGTTCCATGTTTGGTACTATTCAATCAATTTTATCACTATACCTTTTGATTATTAAAGGCTTTGATTCCCCTTCGATGTCTAATTTCTTTGGCTATTTCAGAGGATCCACTTTAGATGGCTTATTAGAAATCCTGCCGATCTTCTTGACTGGAGGGTTGTAAATCAAAGCCAATTGATTATTTTTGCCTGCATTACTTTAGTGTATCTCGAGTTAGGAATCATCGACTTTCTTATTGTTTTTCGATAACACTGAATTCTCATGACTGTCATCTACTCTTTTATTGTTCAATCGTGGCAAGAAGTCAATATTCAAAGAGTGATTTTCTTCAAAGTTTTCTAAATGTTGTTTCTACACAGCCAAAGTTTAAATAAACTAATATTTATCTACTTTTGTCATTCTAATAGGATTATAATTTGGTTTTGGTAGTCTATCAGTAAGATAGTGCATATTTCTGGGAACTCTTATAGTCTGCAATAGGAATTTGGCTCCTTCCTCTTCAACCAGTATCTTATCATCCAATCTGTTCACAATCGCCTGCAATTACAAGATCTTATCACAACTTGGTCTCAGATGAGGCTAGACTTGCAAGAGTGCTCTAATCACATTGCTTAGGTCTTAACTATAAATGGTGGGGATCTTAGGGTAGTATCCTTTGACGACCTTCTTATAGAGGCCACTCATATCTTCTGCTCTGAAGGGAGGCTTGAGAGTGGTCATTTCATACAACACACAACCCAAAGACCATATGTCGGATTTGGAATCGTAGGGCTGATCTTTCCACACTTCTGGAGATGCGTAGTAAGGTGTTCCAGTTTGAGTGTAGAGTAGTATTTTCTTGGCAACTTTAGACACATTCATGTCTCCCAATTTAACAGTTCCATCACTATTCATAAATACATTTGCGGATTTTAAATCCCTATGGTATATTTTCATGTCATGCAAGGCTTTGAGTCCCTTTACTATCTGATATAGTTATATATTATTCAGCATACTTAAATGAAGATATTCCATATATCCTTTTCAGACATGAGAACTCCTTTTTTCTAACATTCTATTATTTTTTGGAACAAATCTCCATCATCTGCATATTCCATTACAATGCTAATAAAGTTATTTTGAGAAAGTTACCATAAAATTTATGACTATTCTTCTAAAAACGCTTCTTTGTATTGAATGACATTTGCATGTCTAACACTTGCTAGAATTCTCACTTCGTTTAGAGCATTCTATTTCTCTTTATCAGAGAGTGACTGCAGTCTAACCTTTTTTAGTGCATATTCCTATTGATCTGCGATTCTCCTTATTTTATATACCTTTGAGTATGCTCCTTCACCTAATCATTTATAACTTCAATTGTTACCTAACTCTTACAGAATCTAAAAATCCTTCAATGACATATTTATATTAATGATAAATATAATCAAACAAAATAGACAGAGAAAAGCACTTATTATAAATTCATTTCAATTATTTCTAATATAGACTTCTCCTGCCAAAATTGGTCATTTCATCTTATTGAACTTCCTCAAAATTTTATTGATAAGTCGATATCAATGGCAATTACCTTCCTTATGTTCTCTACGAATGCGCTCTGATATCTATTATAACCAAATTACAAATACTTCGATTCGTCATTGACATTTAAGAATCCTTATAATCTTTGTTTGGAGTATCCCTGAAGTCCTTCTAAAAGTTTCTCTGAAACTGAGTCACCTACTCTGGTAAAAATCCTGGTTCCTCCATCATCATCGTATTTTTTTTGATCGTCGAAGGTCGTTTCTACGGAGACTCTCTCTATTAATCCGGATCTCCCAGTCGTTCCCTCAACTCAAAGTTCTCCTTCTGTAAAAATTGAATTTCCCTATACATGGACTCGCATTTCTAATTGATTTACTCCTCCCTCTCTCTCATCTCCTTATTCGACAACAATAATTCTCTAACCATATTGATTGAATCAATTAATCTATCATTGAATTATGCATATTCAAATTTATTGGCATCCTCATCCGAAGATTCCTCCTCCTCCAACAATCTCTACTAATTTTATAATAGGTTATCAAAATTGGTCCTCGTTTGTATATTATTCATATTTTGATTGCTATCCTTCTTCTAAACAATATTCGATAAGAATTCGATATGCTCATTGGCCTTACTTAATTCCAATTTCAAACTATTTATTTGCTATTTTAGATCATTGATGATTTTCAATTTGGGATCGTCGTTCTTAACAGGAATATTGGTGATGTAAGCTGCCTAAGTTAATGTCAATCAATACTTTTGTAGCATACTACAATGTTGATACATTCTCATCATAGAAGGTATCTAAAGGTGCAATGCAAGCAATCATCAGACAGAAACAATTGCCTCCTATGGATTGCTTTAATAAGCAGGTCAACTTCGATTCTCTATAAGGAGGAATAGTCTTGTTATTTGTATCACTCAAGATTGCAATCACTTACCTCAACGTCATCAATGACTTATTGATCTCAATACTCTCCTTAGCTTGTCTACCTTCAGTCCCAGTTATACTGATTCTCTCTGATCCAGCCAAATCCACCAATTCTAATTTAGATGTAATGAAGTTATCTGGATTTTTGAGGTCGATGCTCTCTATTTTGATTTCAAAAATAGAATGACTGCGAGATGATTAAAAATTCAATTTGTGACTTGCTGTTATTCTATTTCGACTTCCCAATTTGAATAACTAAATAACTTCCTCTGCTGTTTTGCATTAATAAACAAATAGATTTTCAACGACAAATTAGTCCCTTACATTCCATCTCATTTTCAAACCACTAGCTTACACACTAAAATTGGTTTTGGTTGTTTCTCCCAAAAGATCATATATTTTTTCATTGTAAATTTACAAATATGAACAATAGACCGAAAAGTCTTTTTGTAGAGCATTCTATTTTATCTTGTTAAACAAACTGTGAATTGTTTTAGGGATTAGGCCATCTTGCTTAATTGCAATTCCTTCTTCATCTCGTAACCCTTCCATGGTATATGTTTTTCCAGACCCTGTCTAACCATATGCAAAAACTGTCACATGATATCCCTCAATAACAGATTACACCAATTAATCTATTTCGCAACCCTTAAACACCTATTCTTATGAAGCTGCTTCAGGTAACACATGATCGAATCTATTTGATTTACATTTTACTTATAACTCTTTTTATTTCTCTCCTCCTTTATTATTACTTCCTATCCATTGCAATCAATTCTCGAGTTTAAATGGCCCTGTCTTTTTTCGTGATCCAGCAATGGTCTTATTCGAACTGCCACTCGAATTTTTTATTGATTTTGCATGTTGTTTAATATAATTTAATATAAATTTAAATATCACATAAACACCAACTCTCTATTACTTCATTGAACCATAATACATAACCCTGATTTCAATTTATACTGAAAACTATAGAGTAATTCAAATTATTATTTCAATTTCAAATTATTTCTATAAGAAATTAAATTACAATATTTTATTTTTCCTAACTTTATACTATTATTCAGAACTTCATATATAAGTTGGCTAGTTAATTTTTAAATGAACTGTTTTGATTAATTAAACACAATAGAGTTATCTTTTGGAGGACGGGATTCTTCTTAAAAGTATTGGTAAAGAAATTATGAAAATAGCATTATAATATTATATAAAAGAAAAAAATAAAAATTTACAATCAGGACTTGAATTTCATCAAGTAACGTTTGATGGAGACCATTTCTTCCAAAGCCTTTTAGTTTTAGTCTTGCAGTACTCTGGCCTTTTAGAAGTATTCTTCTAATTTCGGTAATTTATAGGCAGATTTTACTTTTTCTGGTTTCTGGGGATTTTGCTTTATTTATGGGAACATTATTTAATTAATATAATATATTTATATGTGTAATCTATCAGTTCTTTTTATTGGCTATTTGTTATTTAATTTAAGCTGTTTCAGGTCTCTTCTGTTTGTTTAACGGAGACAAATATTATCCAAAATATTGAACATATGTTTACTTCAACTATTCTTTTATTGAAGGGGATTGAGATCTCTAACCCTAATTCAAATGAGGAGAAGCATTGTACACAGGAGACTAGGATCTTTGCTTTTTATCAAAATTAGCTCTAATTCCAGAAGGTTTAATGTTCTCTAATTCCTCAAGTGCTCTTTTAATAGGACTGACTTCATTTTCGTTAGTTCTCTTATATGTGTATCCTTGAAAATGATTTTATTCTCTGCCTCTCTTCTCTTAAGTCTAGTACCATGGATCCTATTCATCAAACTTATCAAAGTTGGCAGTAATTTTCGATTTATCAGGTAGATAGGGAGCTTTCAAGTTTCTTAAATTATCCCAATCAATTCCATTGAAGAAGGGATGTTTTTTGATCAAATTGACATCTCCCAATCTCTCGGATGAATCAGCCATCAACCTCTTAATTAAATCAGCACAAGCAGGTGAGATCTTGGGTTCCTTAGGGATTGCAAAGTGTTTCTTCCAATTCACAATCTTCTGACATGTTTTTTGAGGAGTGTCACTATAAAATGGTGGGTAACCAATAACCATTTCAAAGAGTATGACTCCAACACTCCACCAATCCACTAAATCATTATACCCTTTCTATGAGAACACTTCAGGTGCAATGTAATCAGGAGTTCCCACTGTTGAAAATGCTAATTGTCTTCTTGTCTATTGTTGTTATGCTTCCTGCTTTCTTTCCGTATAGGGAATTGAGAGTATCTCATTTTGCTTATTGCCCAGATGCTTACATAAACCAAAATCTGACAATTTAAGATGTCCATTTTCATCTATGAGAATGTTGTCTGGTTTTAAGTCTCTGTGAATATAATTGAGTTTGTGCACAGCTTCAATTGCTAGCACTATTTCGGCTGTATAAAACTTAGCCTCTTTTTCAGGGATGATATCCTTTTTAATCAATAGTGTCATAAAGTCACCACCGCTTAAAAATTCCATCACCAGATATAAGTATTTTTCATCTTAAAATGAATATTTTAATTATACAACCCATGGACAATTAGCTTATACTAATATATCTCTTTCTGCTCTTATGTGTCCTAATTAATTTTTAAATATCATCTCAGACTTCTTCATTTTCTTAATTGCCACAATCTCCTTCGTTTCCTTATCTCTACAAACACGAACCTCACCAAAAGCACCTCTTCCAATTATTGCTATTGGTTCAAAATCCATTACTGTGATCTTCTGTCGCCTTGAAATGATAAATTATTCACTTTTTTCGGAGCTATATGGCCTCTTTGTGTAGAATCTCCTTCTTAATCAACTCCTATTCAATTGGAGTGAAATTCAAATTCTGCATATTTTATTGCAATTGTTGCCAAATCATCTTCTTCTCCATTTCCTATTAAAGACTTAATTGATATTTTCGTTCAATGTAGGACTTGCATGCAGCCACTCTATCTTTAGTTTGATTGCTTAGTTTAACTTCAGCCATTTTAATTATTTATATATATAAATTTATAATATATTACACATCTTAATGTATAAACCCATGATCACCATGGCAGTAGTAATATCTCTAAAATTATATGATTATCGTTATCAAGATCTAGAACCCCTTCTCTTAAACTGTATCTTATTGCTTTAAATATTAAAAATAGCAATTTAATTTTACAAATTACAATATCTTAAGGATAGTAAATTCTAAAATTATTATTTGTTTTATGAATAATTTATATTGTCAGAAGAAAAAAAGAATTCATGAAGTAACTTATGCATAAAAAGTAATCAACTCTGTTAAGCCAGACATAGGAAATATTAAACTTAATGAAAACTTATTTCAAGCTCAATAAATGGCTAGGCATTCATCGACATTAATTAAAGATATTTAGAAGGATGTGAGATTGACACTAAAGAAATATGATTCATACGTTAGGATGAGTGAATCCAACAGAAAAATGACTGATAAATAGGTTAGTGAACCTACTAGGAGGTATCAAAGTGAGAGTCCCCCTAAATAACAAGAATCCACCGATAAAGAACTTGAGACTTTAAGATAATAACAAAGAATTCTAATGACTCTCCTTAACAATTTACAATAGTAAGAAAAACTAATAATTTCTTAATCATTTCCTAAGCCTGAACCACAGTCTAAGTCAGTTATCGATAAAGAGTGGTTTGAATAGAAAACGAAATAATTGTAGTAGATCCAAAAATCATAAACTTAAATTGAAAATTCATCTTCCAAGAGATTGGAGAAGAGTGATGTTATATAAATTGATCTAAGCAAAGTTAAGAGATCCCCTAATAGTAAGTCTAGTTCTGCTCAACTTTTTTTTAGTCCAAATAAAAATCCTATTAAGAACTCCGTTACCTATTTTTAAAACTCCAATTCCAGTTATGCCAATTTACATAGGAAACAATCTAATTCTCCTTAAAAATGGGGTTAATATGGAGTCATAAACTAATAGAAGTCCTAGAAAAATTTGATTGTAAGCAAGAGGAATGAATAATGGAAACAGAGGGTTGACAACAAAATAAGGAATGAAGTAATGAAAAAGCAAGAGAGGGAAATAAAAGCATGCACATTTAAACCAAAGATCTTTTCCAAAACACCAAAAAGTAATCACAACAGCAAGGAAACTTCAACGGATTTCAATGAACTAATGTTCCTAATTGACGATATCAATGAGTTTAATGATAAATATAAGAGATTAACTAATAAAAAATGATTACAAATATGTATATAAAATAACAATTCTGATTAAAAATAAATATTAGTTTTCATAATCAATAGAATATTCCTTAAAAGTAATATTAAAATTTGTCATACCACTTGGCTCTCCAATTATCAAGAGATTGATTGATTAGACTAATAATTTATTATTATCTTTACTTCTAAGTAAATACTGATATTTCTCCATCATTTGAGCAGGGTGGATTAAATCTAGATTCTAGATCATGTATAGCACTCTCCCCTTTGCTAAAACATGGCAAAGTGTATCCATGTCCACTATACATCATTTTAACTAACAACAATATTTGATCTTAGTGTTTCTAACAAGCAACAAACCCCTTGAAAAATAATTTTCTAAATAGGTTGAACAACTCGGATTATGTTCCTCCCAATACATCAATGTATTCGGACAATAATTTAAATGGAACATTTTTTTCGAATTCCAATCCTTTTCCAGGTGATATGCTGATAAAGAACCCAAAATCAATATGTAAGATCTTGCCAGATTTATGTAACAAGATGTTTCCATTGTGTCTGTCCTTTATTTATAAGAAATAACAAATTAAACTATATGCAGCCAAACTACAGCAGAAGTTTCTCTAAGCCTTATGCAAATTGGCTGCATAGTATTTTTAAAAGAATTGACTCAAAGTGATATCCTTATCAATAGAGTTTAACTTCTTTTTGAGTGAATCTATTGTCGCCGCATCTTTAATCATCTCCATTATACCTGAACTAGGTCCTAAGGATTGAATGTCATAAGTAGTCAACTTTAAAGGTAGACTTTCTTTTTAGAATATCAATTAGAATTAATTAATTAATTGGAGTGCAAATTGTTCTTATTTTAAATTGTCCCCTGTTTTAACTATTAAATGAACTAACCTCCAAGATCTGAAATGACAATAAGGAGACTGCTATCTAATTCTCTCGCTTATTTAATTGGAGTCTTCACCAAAAATCTCCAATCCAATTTTCTCAAAATCCAATGCTGCATTGTTGGGTTTCTTCTAATCCTCCTTTTTACTCAACTCTATTTCATAGCATTCAGCTAACAATAAATATACATTTATATACAGACACCTAAACTTTGAGTTGAAAACTAAGACATAGCTAAACTAGATTGGCTCTTAAAATCACTTAACATAGTGAGTTCAACGTTGAATTCAGAATTCTTTCTTTCTCTTTTATCCTCACTTTTGCTTTCCTCCTTCTCAACATTATAGACTTCTACACAAATGTAAAAGGGAGCTCTTTCTTTAGTGGAGAAGATTTTGGTTTCTTCAACAACAATGTTTAAAATTGTGTAATGTCTCAATTGATCTTCAAAATCTAAAATAACTATACCTTTCACAAATGGAATGTACACATTAGCGGGCAATCTTGTGTTTATTAAGGACAAATCAGCTCGCAATGATATTATTTTAGGATCAGCAAATTTTAATTTATCTGAAATTGATATGATATCATTCCAAAAATTGATACAAGACATAAAATCATAACTTTCCTACTATTCTAATGGTTTATATTTTGATAATTGAATATGTTCAGGCAATATTAGACATTTCATAGAATGTTAATCAAATTAAGGTGTTCCATACGTAGATATCATTTCTGCTATCTTATCATTTTACTCCCTCACTTCATTATTTGTCTCATGATTCAAGACCATTCTTTTAATTAGATTTTATAAGTACTATCTTACTCTATTTTATTGGTAAATGTATATAGTTACTTTTAAAATTCTGTTACTTGGTTGTCGAATACAATAGCACTTATTGAATAGAGTGTCCAATAGACAACCTATGCAAAGTAAAAATTCTGAATGCATGAAGTAAGTATAAACTAACTAATATTTTCCTAAATTTAGTTGTTATTCTTACATTCAACATTTCTTCATGAAACACTAAGTAATTCATCAACTATGGAATATAAAACTCTAAATCATTCCTTTAACTCTCCTCATTCGATATCAACTTGCATTAGTACAAATATTGATAGGCCCAAGATTTCTCATCCAAGGTATACAACAATATAAGAACATCTAAAACTTGGATTTCTTCTGGATTCTAAGTTGTGGTGGGAAATCAATACTAATTAAATTGCATTCTAATATTTAGCCATTAATTTAACGGACAACTCCCTTCTATTTCTTGATGTTAAAATTGAAACATCATCAGCCTAAAATAGTAAAAATATAACATTAAATCATTTCATACTTTACAACAATTCATGCATCTTAGACACCATAATTTTGAACATAACCCATACTATTTTTTTCTTTTTATTGTTATCTCCTCTCCTATCTCAGCCATCTGAATTAAATAATCTTATATATTTATAAAAATTATTTTATGCCTAACGATTCACAGGAGGATACCAAAATTCGAATTTACTTGATGATGTGATCCTCCCTGGAAAAACTTTTAATATGAAATTCGAAGATTTAGAAATTGGATATAATCAAATATCTGGAGAACAATCCAAATTCTTAAAGAAAGTATTAGTCAAATAGCTGGATATTAGATGGCGTTCCTAAGATATGGCAATGTATGAAAAATATAATGAAGTTATTTTATTAGATTTTCCATTTCATTCTTAAAACCAAATTAATATAGCAGCATAGAGTAAAGTGCTATTCCATATAATTTATATAAATTATTAAAACCATGAGAGAATTATTAAAAATTATTTATTAATTCTTAATGCATTGAGGTTTCTAAAATCTTATTGTAAGCGGCTCTTTGTAGATATATTATTCTAAATTTAGAATTTATAATATAATTTCCATTTTTAACCCACTCTTATCAAGACTATATGGATCAAATATTATAGGAGATGATTGATGAATAAATAATCACAAAAAGCCCTTGCTATAAAGATTTTCAAGTTGATTTGCTAGAAATTAAATTTAATTTGTTAGGTAAAATTTAAATATATTTAGATGTCATAATAGTAAAATTATAAATAATTTGAAACATACTTTTAAAAATCTTAAAATCCTCCAATTAAATGCAGGGCTAAGTTGGCTTTGATGTATATGCAGAGGAAATTTGAATATGAGAAAGAGGATTTATAATAATTAAATTAATATAATAATGCATTTAATTAGGATAATTAATTTAAAATAATTAGAATAAATAGATATAAAATATCTTTAAACATATATAAAGTATATGGAAGGAAATCTTGGTATATGGATATTTACATATTTACTCAAATTGTTAATTATTTTAATAAACAATTCTAAAACCACAAGGATTTATTAAACAGTGATTCATGAATTTACACTAATTCTTGAAGCGATGAATCTAATTTAGAGCTCATATAATAAATTTCCGAGAATTGAAATCCATTCTAAAACATGTTAAGCGAAAACCCTATTATTCTCTATATGAAAAACCCAGATCCTATATTTTATGGGATGATGGATGATCTCGTGATTCAAACATTAAAAAAATAAAATGCTACCGTAATTGTAACTGAGTTGGAAGAATTAAGTTACATAATCGGAGAAGTATTCAATACACCAATAATAGGAATTTACATTTTTAAGAAATGGAGAACAAATATAGTTTGATGCATTTTTAGGTTATGGATATATGGCACCAAAACATTATTTGGATTATATGTATTTTAATTTTGCGGCATATGCAGCAGGAAAGACTACATTGTATTCTCCATCTACAGAAAATATATTATAAAACAAACTCTTACAATATGCAAAGTTTAGTGAAGGCTAAGTGCCATTTCCTCGTTGCAGTGCTTCATTCTCAGTTTAATAATTTAAATTAAACTTATCTCAATTTGAAAGCAAAGCAATAATGAAGGAGGTTGTCGGATATGAAGGAACAGGAGTGAAACTATCTAATAATAAAATTTAAAGTACAGAGATCTTCTGTAAATCTCTTTGGAACGGAGAGCAGGCAATAATATAGGATTTTGTGAGTGACTCGGTTGGTAGATCCATCAGAGTATTAGTTATAGGTGGTAAAGCAGTCTCAGTAACAGAATTCTAGGATAATATTGTAATATAACCTTTATTATCATAGGATTTTAAATCTAATGGCTATAGTGATGATTTTAAAATAGAATCTAAGATGGACTCTTAAAAAAAGGAAGAGTACTTTAGATTGGCAGAAAAGACATGTTAAGCAATTGATCCAAATTTGACAATTGGTGGAGTTGATATAATAGATTCAAGAAAGCACGGATTGGTTGTTTTGGAAATCAATTAATGGCCAGAAATAACCTTTTCGGAGGATGTCACAGGATTACCATTGTTTGATATTTTTGGCGAGGAATTCATAAGAAAAATAAAACAGAATAACAGAGATAGAGTTTGACCAAAATGATTATATATGGTTATGTTGTGATATACAATCATTACTTCTCTGGTTTCTTTCTGAACCATTTCCGCATATTATAAGCATTTTCGTCATCAGCATAATATTTCTCCTCTGTGTCAAATGTTTCATAGCCCAATTTATCTCTATACAGTCCCAAGGCTGCTCTATTCGACACTCTGACATGCAAGGAAACATAATGAGACTCAAATATCTTGTCCATGTCTCTGTGAGTACTTTACATGACTTTATTTGCCAATCCCAATTTCCTATGTGTTCTTAAGACTGATAAGGATGTTATATGTCCATGCTCTAACTTTGTACCTTCCTCATCTTCCTCATCTTATTTTGCCAATACGTACCCCACAATTCTGCCACTATTCTATTCAAAATCTATTTATGTTAATTACTATGTCTTCGGCAACATACAATAATGATTGCCAAACCATGCCGTGATACAAGTAGTATTTGTACGTGTAATTTTCTGGCAAACACCATAAATTGCAGTGTTACATATGTTATAAATCTTGCATTTCAGCTCTTCTTATTGATACCATAATTTAATTAGAAATTATTATTATTCATGAGAAGACCATAAAGTGCATAAGTTACCAAAATCTTCATCAATCGACCCAAAGATGAAATTATAGAAACCAGACAGCAACTTAATTAATTAACTGATGAGCACAGGAAAATTAAGACTCAAAACATGCAACTCAAAGTATTAACTCAATAAATCTTCTTAGAGATAACTTATGAGATATGAGCATATCGATGAGAACCTAATTAATTCCTAACAATTATTAGGACGTGCTTCCGAACAGCCTAGCATCATCCCCACTCTAAAATATAAAATAAGAGTCTAATAAAATGAAATTGATGTTTTAAGATAACAATTATAGGCACAATAAAAACAAATGAGAGTCACTTCAATCTAAGAATTACAATATCAAATCCAGCAATATCAAGAGGAAACTGTTAATCTTAAATAAATGCTCGATGAAGCAATGAACATTAAAAATGAAACCTAAAAGTCTCAATATATTGGCTATTTGTCTAAAATCCAAGAATTGAAATTGGAAATCAAATAATATAATTAACTCTGCGAAAACCAACAAAGAGATATTAAACAATTGCAATCTTAAATCAAATTGTAATCAGATCAATTATAATAATTGAATGCTGAAAAAAAAAAATATGAAAATCAATACAAAGAACCCTAAATACAAAAACCACAGCAAATGGAAAACTCCAACATTTTCTCTAAATCAGTTGTAATCAAAGACCCAAAAAAAAGAGATGAAACTCCTGAATACTCTGCAAATGAAAATACTCTATTATCCTAATTACAAGAAAAAGAGAGAAAAATTCGAGATCTTGAAGAGAATCTGACTAGTCTCAATAAAACTCATAATGCAAAAATTAATCAATAATTACAATATATTGAGTAATAGAATGCTCAATTAGGAATGAAATAGAATATCATCTAAAATTTAGAATAAGAAATCAACAAATTGGAACTCCAAATTAAAGACACCAGACTCAAGACCTAATAAATGCTGCAAAACAAGGTTTGTGAGGACAAAGGCACTTAAATTCCACATAAATCCAAATGGACTACTGAAGAAATTAAGGCCATCCTAAGATTTAGACTAAAGAGGTCTATGATTGAATAGAAAGACATATCAGAATTCTTATTAAAAAAAGGTGATCAAAGATTCTTCTCCATTTAATCACGATTTTAAAAGTATCATGATTTTTCAATCTAGATTCCCATTCAATTTGAACGCCGAATAATCATACCACATAACCATGTTTCTGTTAACTGAAGAATCCCCTTTTGGTTAGAGCGCCTTGGAAAAAGACCTACCTTAATCAGTACTCAAATCCAGGATATCTCACCTATTACCTTAATATGAACTATTAACTATTGAAGAAGAAGGATAGTTATTTTCTTGTATCTCAAGAAAGATTATCAATAAGTTGAATTAATTACAAGATTCTGTCAAATAGATTAAGAGAATTGAAAAGTAAGTTTACTGATTAATAAAATAGGTCAACTATTAAGGATGGATTTTGTCTACCAAAATAATTATTAGAAGCATTTACTTATATTTTAGATAACTCACTCTCTGAGAAGGAAGCTGAATACTTATATCAACTAAATTTTGAAATCACTAAATCTCCTATTCTGATTAATATTTCGAGAATTGTCTAACTATTCTAAATGAAGCCTAAATCTGGAATTAGCAAAATCTGTAAGATTATACTTTATATATTTAAAAGAAAAGGAATTATCGTTGTTTCCATCCACTTTGTTATTTTCCTACAATAAAGAAGCGATAGTGAAACCAAAAAGTAAAAATTCATTATTACCTAAGGGCAATCGATGCTACTTAATTAAAATATCTCCCCTAAACAAAGTGTTTAAGGATAGCAAAGGATATTAAAATTAAATCAAGCTTTCTCAGCAGTTGAAGTAATACCAGTAATTAAGAAGAAACCTGTATTATCAATTTAATAAATCCTATCTATCTAACTTGGTAAATAAAAAATTTATAAAATTAATTCAACTTAAACTGAAGAAATAGAACTTGGAATTGATAAAAAAATGAAGAGTTTAGGAATAGAAAAGATTATTGAGCTTAACTGGATACATAAGCTCGAAAAAGCTGATGTTGGTGTTTGCAGTAGAAAGGAAGAAATGGTTATTATAAAATAGATAGATATTTCATATCATTTTAAAAAAGAATAGAGTAAATAAGAAATATAACCTAATATTGAAAAGGAAAATCATAATCAAATTATGTAAATAGAAAAAGTCGATAATAAACAAGAGGAAAAAGAAGTTATAGAAACCAAACCACAATTAAATTAAGATGAAGAAATAATTATCAATTAAAATAAATAAGATATTCAAAATGAATAAACTGGCAAATCAGAACAAAAATCTGATTAGAATCATTAATCAGAGCAATTTAAATAATAAGAATTATAAGAACAATAATAAAAATAAGAATTATTAGAATAATAAAAATAATAAGAATTATTAGAACAATAAAGATAATAAGAGTTATAAGAGCAAAAAAAATAATAATTATTATAAGAACAATAAAAAGAATAATAATTATTAAAAGAATAATAAGAAAAATAATAATAGGAATTATAATAGCAATTGGAATAACAATAAAAATAATAATTATTGTAAGAATAATAATAATAATAATAATAGCGATAATAATAATAATAATAATAACAAGAATAAGAAGAAAAATAGGAATAATAATTAAGTTCTAGTGATTTTACTGAAAATTAAATTATTGGAAATATGATAACTCATTATTTGGATTAATTTATTAATAATTTAGAAGAAGTAAAGAATGAGTAATAATGATTTTGAGTAATTCGTTTGTATGAGGTATATACAGATATTTTTATTATCAATAATATTTATTTAAAGTCCAAATTATACTGAAGATATTATATTCAAAGATTGTAAAGCCATTAAAAATTATAGAATTATTAAATGATTTCAATATAATTACTTTATTTTTAATATAATGAGTTTTCGAATATCAATCTCTCCTCAAAGAAAGCGTAGTTGTACAGGAATGCCATAATCTGCTCGACCCATAAAGCCATCTCTAAACCCCTCCCTTAGCAATGTTGTGGAGGAGATTAAGAACTTAATGTAAAATTCTTTTATAACGTAAGGAAGCAACTCAATCCTTAGTTGTAGAATCTATTAAATTCATTAATCAAAATAGCCCTCGATTTGGAAAAATAAAACACTAAATTCTATAATGCTCTTCAATCGTCCAAAGCTTCAACTAATCAGAATGATGGAGATTATATTTAAAAAGAACCATCTTCTCATCAGAGTAGAAATAAATCTAAAGAGGCTAGTCCAACAAAGAAGGAATCTTCTATTAAAAATATAGAAATGACATCCAGCAGTAGATTGGATCCGACTCCTAGATAAAAACTTTTAATCAGAAGAGGTTCTCTTGATGTAGATTAATAAGTGTCTAAAGTAAAGAGTTATTTTGATATGCTTTAAGGATCAATTAAGAAAAATAGGCTAAGAAGCCATAGATTAAAACGTTATATTTAACTTACTAGATTTAAAACCATCGAAATTAAAATCTATGACGTATAAAAAATTAAATTAAATCTTTACACTCAATGAAAAGGATTTATTTTAATACATATAGAAGATCGAATATTAAGGTATGTATGATGTTGTTCAAAATGATAGAGTATTCGCAGAATCTATACGAGCCATTAAAGTTTGCTAAGGATTTATCAGAGAAGTGCATTTCATACATTGAAAAATTAAAGAAGGTTGTAAAATTAGGATTCGAAATACCAAACTGCACTCCATCTTAAACATTTGATAGCTATTAGAAACTGATATTGGAATTGTTTGATTGTGATAGAGCTTAAGTTTATTTATATGATTCGAAATTCCATTTCTTTTGGAGTAAAAGCTAAGATTGTTAATAAAAGACTTATTATCCCTTTAAAGGAATATTGGGATTTGTGACTAAGTAAGGACAATTGTTAAACATAAATGATGTTTATTAAGATGTAAGATTTGATTAAGAATATGATTAAAAACAACAGAATAAGACAAAATCATTGCTTGCTTGTCCTATATACGAGAAGGAAGAAATAATTGGCGTTATCATTATCTCTTCTACTTCTCAGTCATTTAGAAAAGATGATGAATTTTTGATTTAATTGATTTCACAAATGGCTGCAACACATTTCTATTAATATATCTATTAAGAGTATAATTCTAAAACTTGTGAAGCTTTATAATAGATCTTAAAAATTTCCTTAGTTTTATAGCAATCTGTTGATTAAAAATAATTCGTAATTTTGGCTCAATAAATCCTTTCTAAAACATATGATTTAAAATAAGTATAGATTTATTTTAAGGATATGTAAGATTAGGAAAGTCTTTTCACTTTTGTTGAACAACAAAGAAAAAAAGTCCCTAAAGCATGTGGGATTATTGGTTATGTTTATAAGACAGGACAATTCTATGTTTCTGATTCTTGTTATAGAGATAAATAGTATAATAAATTGGCTGATATTGAAACTAACCTACCAACCATAACCATACCTATTAGGAATTAGGATAAATGCATGGGTGTCATTCAATATATTGACACTAAAGGCATTGATAATATTGTTGGTAAGCAAATAAGAAACTAATAGTTGTCAAACTTAGATTTGATTCAGACCTTTGCTGTAATGCTCAATTTTGTAAATAGTAAATTGATTATATAAAAAAATTGATTTACACTACATTAAACATTTTTATTAAATCTAACTAGTTTGCAATATTATTTACCTTAAATTAAAATTAAATGAACAATCCATTTCAAAATCCAATAGGGAATCCAAACGATCCAAATAACCAATTACTCTTGATGTCTCTAGCCCAAGTAGATTCACAAAATATGTTCTTCTTTTTAATGCAAAATCCAGATTTCGTTGAAAAATAAGATGAAGTATTTGATTGATAAATAATTTAGAATTAATTCAAAAAGACAGCAATAGGATTTGTTAGAAACACATTAGGGATATTTTTTTTGGGAACAGTCCTTAACTTGTAAATGAAAAGAATCCCTAAAGTAAAGATGTAATAATATTCCAAAGTTTTTGAATTGGCCCATTTATGTTAAAATCCCTTTAAGGATCCCTGTATTTTTCAGCCCATTTTTCTTATTTTAATAATCGCTAACAAATTAATTGGACAATTTAACATAATTGCATCATAAATATTACACTAGAATATTGAGAGTAAAGAAAACTGGGGATCTAAGATACTTTGATCCATAAGGTGTATTATAAAAATAATTTGAATAAAAAATGAGAGAATTAATGAAATGATAATTTATGTATCAATTGTTTTGCCTTTAATTTTTATCTATTTATATACTCAATAATTTGATTTTTTTTATGAAAAAAGGGCGTAAACCATTAGATGAATAGATCAAAATCTAAAGAAAACTGGAGCAATTATGGAAAGGAAACTTTTTAAATTTAAACTTCTTAGAAGAAATTTAACTTTTAAATATCAATCTCCCATAATCAAAGCAAATTTTTACTAAAGATTTCGTATTGCAATATAAAAAATAAAAAAACTACAGATACGTCAAAATTGTCACATCAAATCTTTTGATTGATTGTAGAACCACAAGAGCGAGAGAATCACAAGCCCAAAAAGAAAATGAAGTGTTGGAAAAATAAGTTGATGAAAACCTATAGCAATAAATATAAGAACCTGAAGTTGAGAATAGGCCATAAGTCTAAAATATTTAACTTCTTCCTGAAAATAATTTTATTGAATAAACAAAAGAACCTTCTATCATTGAAATTCTACCGGAATAAAAATCAAAATCTAAAGACAATATTCTCAAGCCCTCGAAATTAAATATTAAATCAAATAACTAGAGTGTGATCGAAGTATAACCCAATCCTGTTACAGTAATTAAAAAAGAAATACTAATTATTGAGGATTAAAATTAAATTTCCAATTCACTTTTGGATAGCCCTTAATCAAAAACTTAGAATCCTAAATAATAAGACAAGATACCTAAATATTTATTATTCGAGCCAAGTCCTCCGAATTCACCTTCCTTGAGTTTTAGCAAATCCCTCTCATAAAGTTTTGTCAATCACTTAATGGATGAATCCTTTTTTGGAGTTGAATAACTGAAACTGAGTGAAAGCCTCTTTGGAAATACTCTAAGTATCAAATAGGATCCTAACCCTAATCAGTACGACTAAACATTCGCTATGCTTAAGGCAAAAATAAATGAAATCTAGGAATCTTAGTTTGAACAATTATTAATAGCATATAACCATAATTTTTTGCATTTACAAAAAATCATTTTAAATGATATTAATCAAATTAAATTATTAATATCAAAATATCAAAAGAAAAAGCCTAGGATAATATGATTTAATTATATTAAATTTATTAACTTTTATATATGATATTTATGTTGATTTTTTTGGCCTTTTAATAGTATTATTTAGTATCTTCATTATTGATATCAATTTTGATTATAGCATTTATAATAGAAATTCAATTCTGAATACTTAACATTTATATTCTCTTGAAAAATGTGTTACATTATTATTTTAAACTATTTACATAGTTAATAAATGAATAAATAATATGAAACTCTCATTTGTTTGTAATACATTTAGAGCTTATAGAATGAATTGATTTAATAATACTTATAATTTTTAGACAAATTTCGTCATCTTAATTATTTATTATATTAATTCAAGATGGGTAATAAATTTATGAGTGTTCCAAGTCGTACATTCATATTGAAGAATGGTTTGCAATTTACGATTGAGACAAAGAAATTGCAAGGAGAAAAAAATTTTTCAAAACAACCATCCAAAGATGAAATTGAGAAAAAATTTAATGAATGGCTTAATCAAGTATCAATTTTATGATTGTAAGATTTGCTTGGACTAAAAAGAATTAGAGCAAATAAAACAGCTTGAACACAAATATAAGTTTAGAATATGCTAATTATACAATAACTTTTTGACGATATAAAAGAACAATTTAGTAAATGAGGAAACTAAAATGAAAAAAATCCTGGAAGACACTAAGCATATCTTAATTAAATTTGTTCAGGATAATTCTGATCTTCATCTCAATTGTACGATTATTAGTATATATTACAGCCTTACTAAATAACTTAAAGGATTAATAATAACAATAGTATGTCAATGAAAAGCTGTAATTAATTAAGTAATACCTTCTTGTGCAGAAATTATTGCTGAAATTGAAACAGTTGGAGGAATAATCAAGAATATAGAAAAATTTTAGGGAATAAACTACCATCTTAGAATTTTTTGAATTCCTCCTGTAGTTTAAGATTGGGAGAGACTGCTTAATGGTAGATGGTTTCTTTGGAGTGTTGTTTAGTAATTTTCATCCAATCGAAACGAAAATTACAGGAATTACCCTGAAGATATTGTCTGGAAGCAAAGGACTAAGTTGGTAACCTGGATGTGTCTAAGAAATTTTGGAAGCGATGCATAAGTTTCAGAAAACATACTAATTATAAAACAGGTTCAATTTAAAATTTAAAATTTAGATTCGATATATTGGTTAGAACCATCTATGCCTCTAAGAATTTACTAATGGTATTTTTAATTGTTAAATTCTTATTCAAATTTCTGTATTCTTTGGACAATGAAATAGTTGATGATGTTGTTAAAGAATTTTTTGATTGCAAGGTTAACGACAAAAAAGTAAACGAAATATTTCGTTTGGTTCAAGGCAGAATATAAAAGAAGTTATATTAAAAAGAAGATTGCACATACGAATCTGTGAGAAAAGAGCTTAAAAAGTTTTAACATCCCTTGGCATCCGATGGAAACGAATAATTACTAACGAATAGATTTAAAACATAAGACATGAATATCCCTGAAAAAATCAATATATAGGAAGTAGTGTCCGAGATTATTTAAACTGAATCTTTGAATTAGGACTTTAAAAATGATCAATACTATTATTTTGAGTATGGTTAAGATTCAATCTTCTATGGAATTTAAAGAGATGTCTTAGAGTGGATAAATGCTATTCTTAACATTTACTCCTTGTTAGACAATAATTAAGATTCATTTCTGAAAGCTGCTAGTGAAATTTAGGTTACTGATTTTTATTATGATAATAATTCAACCTAATTATCAGATCCCTTTATAGAATTAGCACCAAATGATAGAGGGTCCAGCTTTGATTCACCTACTAAAATTATCAAATAAATTGATTCTTCAAAGCATTCTGAAAATTAACTCACTTCATAATAAGATGAGCTCATTGCAGAATTAGAAGATTATAAGAAGTAGCTTCAAAGTGAAAAGGAGCTATGTTCAGAAAAAGAACTAGAATTAAAGGCTCTTCAAGATGAAAATGCACTATACAAAGCTCAAAATCAGGAACTTAAAAAATCTATAGATAAATCTAAAGAAATGATAACAGATTTATAAAAAAAGATCTCAAAGCTTGAATAAAAGTAAATCTTCAATTAAAATAACGATATCAAAAATTAATTAAACAATTATCAAAAAATATAAGAACAATAGATTTTATAGGCTTCAGTTTTGGTAGCATTCAATTTCAAAAAATAACTTTAAAATACATTTGTATAAACTGAAAACTAGCCTTAAGAGTTAGAAAAAAGCAATTAAAATTAGAATTTAATTACTCAAGCTTCTCCCCAATAAGTTCAAAATGAAGCAACCACTTTATTACCTCCTCCACCATCCCTACCTAAAACTTAATCTCCACCACCTCCACCTCCTCCTCCACCACCACTTCCTCCTTCAAAGAACGGAGCTCCTCCTCCCCCTCCTCCACCACCACCACCACCTCCATCAAAAAACGGAGCTCCTCCTCCTCCACCTCCACCTCCACCACCTCCATAAAAAATTGGAGCTCCTCCACCCCCTCCACCATTAAATGGAGTTCCTCCTCCTCCTCCACCTCCTCCTAAGATTGGTGGAGCTCCTCCTCCACCACCTTCATTTGGAAATAATCAATAATAAGCATCAAACTAAATTGTTTAATAACTTCCATAAGTACCTATTCGTAATTTGAATTGGATAGTAATAAATACATAGAGTTAAAATAATTCTATTTTTTAATAAATATCAAATAGAGTTGAAGAAATTGATATAGATTTTTTATTATTAGAAAAGAACTTCAATAAAGTTTAACCAAAAGATCTAAATATGAAATAATCTGCTGCTTAATCAAATATTGCGAAAATTACTCTTTTGTCTTCTGAAAGATCTAAGAATATTGAATTGGTTCTAGGAAAATTAAAGCTCCCAAATACTCTAATAATAAAGCTATTAAAATCATTTGATGTATAAATTTTAACACCTGCCATTATTGAAAGTCTAGATGGAATTTGCCCAACTGAGGAAGAAGTAAAGTGTTTAGCTGAATATACTGGCGAAAAAGATTAATTAGGCAATTCTGAATTATTTGTGGATGCAATAAGAACAGTTAATGGATTTCAACACAGATTAAAGGCAATCAAATTTAAAATAGGTTTTCAAGAGTAGGTTGTAGATTTGAAGAAAAAGATTGCCATTCTTGATTAGAGTTTCTTAAGGGTCAGAGAAATGCCAGAGATTGAAACCCTATTTTAGGTAGTGCTAAAAATTGGTAACTTTTTAAATGGTAAATATTTTTCATAACATTAGCATCTACAAGCAAAGGTAATGCACAAGGGTTTAGAATAGATACAATAGAAAAATGTGCAGATATGAAAACAACTGATGCATAAGAGAACTTACTTTATTATGTGATAGATTTATCAGAAAATATACTGAAGAAATAGATAATAGATGAATAAAGTAATAAATAAATAATATAAAGCATAGTTATTTAGAGTTTGGAACCGATTGAAAAATTATCAATATCACAATTATAAGCTGATTTAACTGATTTTAAAAAAGGGTTAAATGTTGTAACAAAAGCAATAGAATATTAAACAGAAGACTAAGAGGATTAAGTTAAAGCATTTCTATAGCCAGTGTAGGAGGAAATTAAAACAAATATTGCTATTATAGAATAATAATTAGTTTAATTGGAGGATAATTACAAAAAAAGTGCTGCTTACTTTTGTGAGAATTAAAAAGATTCCTCTGAAAAGTTTGGAGAAAAAATACTTAAGATGCTGAGATGCTTATTGAAAAATAAAAAGGAGAAGGTTCAAAAGGAGGAAAGAAAAAAAAAGTAATCAGAATTGCTTTTAAAATAACAATCAAAAGTAATGGCATAGTCTAGTTCAAAAGTAAAACCTTAACAACTGTCAGCCCAATCTGTAACACTTGCATCTGCAGGAAATTCTAACTAAAGCACTCCAAATGTGAGTGCTTTTAAATTAGGAAATCAAAATGAAATATAAGCTAAATAATTTGGAATTTGCAAAGAAATCTAGGAGTTAAGATTAATGAGGTAAACTAAACTCACTAATTCGATTGTCTAAAATGAAGCTGAAAATACACCAAGTAAATAGGAGTGAAAAATAATCAGTTTTAAACTATTTTATAATTATACATCAAATTATAAATCAAAATGTAATTTCTATTTATAATGAACTTATTTATCGAGATATAAAGCAAGTTTTTAATTGTTGATTAAAATATCTAATTTTAGCGTCATTTATTATAATTGTTTCTTAACTGATATTATTATTATAAATTTAGGAATTAGAAAAGGAACTCTTAATAGTTTAATTAATGATAATTTTCATTTTATTTTTAATTTTAAAATTAAGGTAATAAACTCATCAAAGATGGTATGGAATAACTTTCTTGACAGATTATAAACTCTAGAATAATAAAATATTTAGCATGCTTCGATTGGATACATGCTAGCAGCATGTTTTTTTCATAGTTTATAATTTACAGCCTATAAATATGCTCACTTCACTATTGTAACTCAAGCATTATTTTGTCGTGCCTTTTTAACTTTGGTGATACTTTTCTTTGGATAATATAAGTAAGATTTTTATCCTAAAGATAAAGTCCATATATTGTTTTTTTCATAACTCTTAGTAGCTATTGGGGCTTCATTTTTATTTTATGGAATCTTATATATTACTACTTCAGAAGCAGCAGTAATAAATTCCACGACTGCTATTTGGAGTTAAATAATAAGTTTAATTGTCAATAAAGAACCAATAACCAAAAGCAGAATGATCAACACAGTTATTTGTATAATTGGAATAGTGCTGATAGTGAATCCAAAAATATCTCAAGACAATGATATGCAAAGAATAATGGCTTGCTTAAGTGTATTGGTCTGTAGTATTATCTAAGCAGCAGGGTTCAGCAGATTAAAGTAAATTGGTAAGGATGTAAGACCTACAATAACAACATTTTATTTTCATATCGCAACTATCTTTGTTATGAGTGTTCAACATTAATACGTAGCTGTATTTGAGTACTTTGACTACTATTTTTTATACATTCTTGCGTATGCATTATTTAGTTTATCTGGACATTTATTATAGTTTAGAGCTTAAACAATAGTGTCATATGAAAAAATATGTAATTATCAATTTTCTTCAATGATTTATTAGATATTTATGGATTATTTTATTTTTGGAAAGATTTTGTCAATTTAGGGGTTTCTTGGAGGAGGTTTGATAGTGTTTGGAATTTTTAAATAGGTTCAAGAGGATAGAAAAATAAAATGATTTGTTTATTTATTTAACAACAAATAACTAATAGATTAAACACATATATATATTTAATTAAAATTCAAACTTCATTAATCAGATTTTCATTATATTTATATAATATAGGTTTCATTGAGTTTTTTTATTTGTTTTAAAATATAGGAATGCATCTTTTCTAATCCTATAGTTTAGCTCATTTCTAAATATAGTATGAATAGTCTTAATTCATTTTGCTGGAAATTAATTAAATTGTTGAAAATCTTTAAACTATCCTTCAAAGGGTAACAATGATACTTAATCATCATTAAAATGAAGTTTGTATCATATTATTCAAGACATTAATAATTTAACATTAAATGTTAAGGAATTTTGAACTATTTCAAATTATTTGGACATTTATCTTCTAGTAATTAGATCATAATTGCTGTGCCTTATCCATCATTGAATTTATAAGACTATTCAAGGATTTAGTTTATTATTTCTTAATCTATTTACAATAGAAAATCGAAAAATCTAGTTTGGTAGATTAATTCATTTATTATTATCTCTATATCCAAAACATCAATAGAACTCTAAAGTACTAAATATAAAAAGTAAGCTTAAGGCTTAGTGATCTATACTTTAATCATATTAAATAATTTACATTATTGTTTTCATTTGAAATAAGAACTTAAAGTAAGGCAGTATTTAATTAAAATTTATTGCTTTGAAAAAACCATTTAAATAAGTGAGAAGCATCTTCTTCTGTTTTTATGGATTCTAACACGTTCTATCTAAAGCGCTTATCAAGTCTTCCTTCCCCTCTTAAATTTTGTAATTTTTAAGTGTACAATGATCTAATTCTTGGGCTGAAGTACTGACAATTACATAAGGCTAATAATAGAGGCATGGAGCTCATTTTATAAAATTAACTAGCTATAAATTCAGGAAGTTGTAGTTATGGATATTCATCAAATAAAATAACAATATTAAGGATAGATGTCTTAGATAATTAAATATCATCATAATTATCTATTTGAGTAGTGGAGAAATTCGGATTGTTGAGTTTTCTTAAAAATTTTGAAATATCCATTTCACATACAAAATGAAGATACACAAGATTTTTAATGTTTAAATTAATATTTTACATGCTTAGATTGTCAAGAATATTTTTCAAGTATTCTGCAAAAGGCAAACACTTTTTCTTTTTTTCCAAATAGTATAAGGACATTTAGTAAATATTGGTTATATTGAAATTTTCTTTAAGCAAATTTAAGCAAACAGATTCGAGTTTGAGAATATCATTGTTGTCAATATAATCAGCAAATATCACATTCTATAAATATTAAATTAAGAAGTCAAAATTAAGATTATTTTATTTATCTTCATATTTTTATAAGATTTATTGAACTTATTCGTGTATGAGCAGCAATAGTGGTTTGGATTCATCAGGACCTTAATATTTACAATTTTATAAGATGGCAATAATAGATCCTGATTCTAAGTACTTAACATTTTATTTTGTAGCTTCAAATTTGTCATCAATTTATTCAAGGTACTATTTTTCTGTAATGTGGTATTTTAGTCTCATATTAATAAAGCTCTTAGTCATGAATGCGTATTAATCAACATCGAAACTTTTACACACATTTTTTGAATAGTTCAAGACTTGCAATATACAATAGAGGTCTACTTTTTTCTTTAAAACAAACTTCTTGTTTATTGAAGTAAGAAATTGCATTAGTTATACGACTGTGATTTCATTTGTTGAGAACACATAATCAATGTAAAGTTTACTCAAGAATTCATCATTTGGGAATATCATGTCAACGCATTCGTATATCATGTTCAATTATCTTGGCAGAAATTGGTTTTCCTCAATGTACTTTTTAATAATGGATTACAATTGTTTAATATCAACAGAAGTTAAGAATCCTACACTAAGGTTGTCATAAAAGAGTTTCTTGTACCAATATATGAAATCCCCGAGATCTAGATTGTTTAAGGTGGATATGTATTGATTGAATTGTCTTATTAGATTTTAATAGGATTCATTAAAATAATGATCATGAACTGGCAAATTATACATTCCTTGCATTTTAGCAGTGATTTTTAAGCTCTGTAATAAATGGCGTTCAGTAAATTAGTATTTGTACCTGTTGTAAATGTCAATGAGTTTAATCGGATCTAATTATGTACATATCAATGTGGTCAACTCATCAGGTTATAAATCATCACGAGTTAAATCGAGTCTTGAACTACAGATTTAGATTTCTTAGGATGTGTTATAAGACTTCGATATCCAATAACAACGAAGTTATGTGAATGATTTTGATAAAAATTTATTCATTAATTAAATTAATTCAACCATCATTCGAAGCATAAAAGAATCTCGATCTCTTAGTCTTAATCTTTCCTTAATTGTTTATATCAAAGGCACCTGATTGTGATCGTTAATGCTTTCTTTTTTAAATAGGATCTGGGCTATTTTATTCAGAATCTATATGCATATTATTGAAATTTTGTTTGATTACATCCAATGAATTCACCGAACTTGTTGAACCATTAATGGATGATTAAGCAGATACACAAACCAATTTCTAAACTTTGGGTTCTTTATTGGAAGATGATCCACTGTTTTCTTCCTCCTTGATTTAATCGGAAATCAGTTTTTCAGAACGTTAAGAACTAAGAGTTCCAATTGAATTGGTAGGTGTATTTTATTAGGATGAATATAGATTGAATTTAAATTGTTGCTATTATTATTATATAAATTATTAAGGAATGTATTGGCCTTAATAAAAGTTAGGGATCATTTATTATTATTATTGTTATTGTTATTGAATTAATTGTTATTACATGAGCTATTACGAAATTAAAGATTGATGTGGTGGTATCTAAATGTTCATTCCCTATAATTGTTATTACTAGCAAGATAGGATTGGTTACAATTACGGTTGCATAGTAGGAATAGTCTAAATCTATTGGATCTAAGGCATTTGTGCAAATTGTTAGAAGTAATATTGTTGGGGAGGCATCATATAAGGATATTAGGGGATTTAAGGGAATGATTATTCGTTGTTAAAGTTTTATTGTTCTTATTGATTGCTGTTGCTAGAGTTTTAGGTATTTTCCACTGGTTTTAATCTACTCAGAATTGAATGAATTAAGAACTCAGTCATTTTATCTAATCCATGTTTCAGGGGATCCTCCTAATTATCCTAAAGCTAATCCTATGGAATTTAAACTATTTTCTTCTCCTTGTTGATCAGACTTTTGAATCTATTCTTAACTTAGTTCTCAGTCCTATTTTTTAACTTTTTCGATATGTTTGACCATCTCAAACCTTCCACTAATGTAATTTATAGCAAATTATAATCGTCAAACTCAGTCCAAATACCTCTTAAATGATAAATGAACAACCTTACCTATTTACTTAGGGATTGAGATAATTATTCCACCTCTCTCTGTATTATTTTGCCTTTCTAAAATAGACTCCTTGCGATTAAATAAACATTTCATATTACACTTCAAACCACTTGATGTTTGGTTCTTTTGTCATTATTTTATAAAGCAACTTATCTTCTTCGGGTAACCAATTCTTATTTGTAGGAACAACTCTCAAGTGAGAAAACCATTTAAATTAACAATTTAAGGAGTCTTTGAATGCTATTATTTCAGATATATTAATCCAATCCTATCCTTACTAAAGTAAACTTATATAGATTTACAAATTCATCACTGCTTTTTGAATGCAATTAGCTATACTATTGTGTTACCCATAATAATATTTTCCATTCTTCATCAGTCCAATTTCTAGAGCTATGCATTTTTAAGAACTCCCTATTTTTGGAAATATACTAATTACTATGATTGACAATATTCATAAAAGTGGAGTACTTCATTAACAGATATAGAAGTTTATTGGATTCTCAATTCAAGTGTATTCTGTAACTTTGATAAATCCACCGAATTCTTGTCCTCTGTAAAATTCTAAATGAATTGCTGCAATTTTGGCAAGTGTAATTAGAGGGTGGTATTCATTAATATTAAATTAATTTATAAAATGCTCTTATAATTTAACTTCCTAAATACTATCCTAATTTTAAGTTGCATTCAATTAAAAAATAGACAATTAAAATGAAATAATACTTTTCATCTATATAATTGAGTCAGCTTCAATTTCTAAATATTGATATATCCAAAGAAATTGAAGCTCAACTCCAAAGAAATATTTTCAACAGCTTTCCCTCATTCGCACATTTGTGAAAAAACCATGGCCCTCACAAAGTCCTTTTAAGTAGAATGCTGATGAGTTGTTAAATAATAATTTATTATATATTATATTTTTGAAAGCATTTGTATGGCCTAGAACATTATAGTGGGAGCTATCAAAATAAAGGATGGTTTATTCATTGGAGATGAGTATGCATCACAAGTAACACACTCGATATAATAAAGGATCGAGAATTCATTGTTAATAACAAAGTAACTCATATCATCAATTGTTCTGGTACGGAAGTGCAAAACAAGTGGAATATGATGAATATCAAATACCTGACATTCAATTGGCTCGAATAAGACAATGAAGTAAAACATTCCCATAAAAAGGTCTTATTTGACGACAAAAATGAAAATGTAAATAAAATTTATGCATTCATCGAAGAGTGCTTCCAACAAGGCGAAAGTTGTCTAGTTCATTCACTCAGAGGCTAAAGTAGAGCATGTTGCGTATTGGCTGCCTACTTTATGAAAAAGTTCATTAATTTTATTTACATTATAAAGGTATTCATGGACACTCTACAAAACACTTGAATATCTCAATTCTCGAAGACCAGATCTAGAAATTAGGGCCTCCTTCTTTTATTAACTAAATGCTTTAGAGTCCAAAATGAATAAGTCAGGACCTAAGAGAACTGCTTCCTGGAATGAACTAACCTAGGATGAACAGAATCCATAATAACTCTAAGAAGAATTGATTATAAGAAACACATTTCTCAATTCATAGAATGGACCAGTAGATGACATCTACACCAATTTACAATCCAAATTAGTAATTCTCTCAAATATATCTCATAGTAAGTATTAGCAAAAGCTTGTAATTAGAAAATAAAATGGAAAGATTAATTGAACAAAGACAACTTTTAGTTAGCCACCTTAGTCTATTCTGGATCTCCAGATTTTGTACCTACTACTGAAATTAAACTCAAAGAAGATTCTGATCATCAATCTATCTTAAGAGTAAGTTAATTATAATCATTAGGGAGTATAAAAAACTTCATTAAATTAACCTGCAAAATAACTGAATCTCTAAAAACCTTCTAATTAAAATAAGCCCCATGTTAAACAACTTTAATAAGAAGATTGCGAGTCATTTAAATAAAATTCTTAAATGAGTAATAATTAGTCATTCTAAAATTTGTTAATGCATTGTGCATAGAGATAAAAGCACAATTCATAATAGGAGAAGAAGACTTCACCTATATCATAAGAGTAATAAATTAAGAGTCCCCAATTTCTTAATTAACAAAATGGTGTAAGAAGCACATCTTTGTAATAAAATGAAGAAAAAAAAAATTAAATTGATGTCACTAATAATAGGCCAAGTTCTGTCAAATAAAAAGATTCTTCTCCATCAATCTTAACCAATTTCTAAGAATTCAAAAATTAAGTTTAATAATCATTACATTATTTCAATAAACAATCTGAAGCTATTTTAAATATGGATACACATTTGATGAATGTTATTTAATAACAATAATTATAGTCCTAATAATAACCATAATAACCTATTTAAAATCCTAATCAATAAAATGAACTCAAATTGTAAATTCCATAAGGAAACTAATCAGTTTTAGCATCTTAACAAAAATCTAAATTAGATCAACTAATTAGTCCAACATTGATTTCTACTATGAGTTCAGCAAAACATTTTGAAATTTAAAAAACATTAACATAATCAATATCATAATTATAATCTAGTTACTAAAAATTTCAATAACTATAAATGAAAAATTAAATGATGAAGCAATCACAATCCACCTCACAAATTTAATAATAAAATAACAATAAAAATCAACCAGATCTAAGTTCCACTAACATCACAAACATATCTAAAATTTATGACAGAAGCACTCATATTAAAAAAGGGGAAGAATTGGATAGTAAAAATAGACAAAATAGTGCGGAGATCAAGGATCAATAAAAAAACAACAGTACTTAAAAGAAAGACAGTTTGTCCCCATTTCAAAAAGATCCAATTAAGAAAATGCATTAATATGGACCTCCTTTGCCTTAATCAAACTCCTAAATTTACCTTAGAAATGTACAATGCCGAAGGTAAGCTGCATCCACATTAAGGAATCAGTAAAAGCCAAATAATTCCTTTTAAGACAAATATCTTAATCAAAGTGCCAATCAAGTGTAGAATAATAGTAGTTTTAACAACAATAGTAATTCAAATATAGAGGCTGATTCAAAAATGCAGTAAAAGGTAGTGCATGGATTGGTTTCTGATGTTAATCATCTCAAAAAATTGATATCACCATAATGTCTGACAAAAAGTTAAGCTTAATTTTTAAAAAATCAACCAATTAAGGTTTTATAGGAATTGACAGATAAAACTTAGAGCATTAAACAGATGTATTTTTTATTGATTTGCACTTATTAGCAAAGGGAAAGACAGTATTTAAACTGCAGGCGTCACTTTAATGCAAAAAGCATAAACAGGAAATGCAAAAACATTGTCACCAGCAATTAAAAGTAATTTTTATTTAGTATGAATTTTATTAAGATGATGAAAAATTCAAAAATAGTCATGTTGGCAATCCCCAGCACCTGAGATAGAAGATTAGAAATTCATCACCTGGTTAGAATTTAAATGATTTTAGGTTTAAGCAAAGAGCAAGAGAGTTCAAGTTCCTTTTCATATCAAAACACAAATACTACTTTGCCAGGTAAGAATAGTTGGAAAATGCTGTGAAACAATTAATTCAATTTTGTTTTTTTGTTAATTTCATATTAATATGAATTCTAAGTAAGTATGATCTAAAGTTTCTCATAATTTAATTATTATTATTATAATATTAATATTATATAACACTTTTGTTAACAATTTTGAATGGAACAAATTGTGGAAATCTTGAATATTGGACGAATGTTTGAGTATTACGAAGGAAAAATAAAGAAATAGAAGGAATCTCTGATTGATCTATGAATTATTAAATTGTGATATCAGCTGATCAAATCAATTAGAAGGATGTCAAACAACCAACAGGTAATCAAATCTATTTATAATAATCATTTTTATGAAAAGTGCTTTTAGTGCTTTCTTCTTCTACAATATATTGTTTCCCTCTTGAAAATTTAAATTTTTTTTTTAATGATTTTTTCATACCCCGGTCATTTTTTTTAAGGGTTTTAAATTGGAATAAACAAAAAAAATAATAATTAAAATAATTTGTTTCAAAAGAACCTCTCTTCCTTCAGAAACCATTACAACAGCTATGACTACCTTTTGTGTACGATTTATTTTTAATTTTTGATTCCTAGCAAATAGATGATGTTTTTTAAGTCCTTCTCACCTCTGATTAAGCTAGAGTGATTGCTAAGAAATTACCCCCTGGGTTTAGTGTGAATTTGAGCAGATAATCAAAAAGAGATGTCAAAGTTTTATAATTTTATTATAAAATTTTTAGAAAGTTCAATAGGATATCTCATCAGAAGAAGAAAACAAAGTCGTTAAAAAGACTTATGTAGCACCTTATCGGGCTGAAAATACAGACGAGATGAAAAGATGCTTGACGTTGCTCTAAAAATTGAAAAAACATTAATTGGCAGCACCTTTTTTAAGAAAATTGGATAACGTCAATTATCCTCAAGAATTAGAATATGTTGACTTATAAATAGTCGAACAGAATCTCAAAAATAGTAACTATATCTTTTTACAATGATAAGATGTTTATCAGACAGCTACTCAATTTTGGGTGGACATTAAGAAGATATGGTAAATGTCCTATACAATGAACAACAAGGGTTCTCAATTATATGCAATGACATAAGAACTCGAATAACATTTTAATGAATTGTATAAAGAGTTAGATAAACCTTATCCATAAAAATAAACCATTGAATAACCAGTTAAAGCTGATAAACTATAAAAGAAACCTCCTGCAGTACAATAAGCACCAACCAATAATAAAAAGCCAGTGTAAGAAAATCTTTTTATTGTTCTTTAGAAAATAACCAAGTCTGATGGAATAACCCATGAACATGTAAGAAAAGAGGGCTTTAGTCTCAAACATTAATAGTTTACCACCCGAACACCTAAGAGGAGTTTGGGAAATTGTGTCGGATGGCTTAAAGATCCAAGAGTAAAGTGATGAGCTGGAATTCGATATAGATACTTTGCCTGTAAAAAAAACGAGGCAATTGGAGAAATATGTAAACACTAAATTGGAATATTTAAAAAAATAACAAAGTAAAAAGGTCGCAGAAGAATCTAAAGCATAAGATAAAACTGATAGAATCGTAAAACAATTTTATATCATTTAGGTTCATACAGCTAATACTACTTATAACTATGCTCCACAACCAGTTGCTCAACAAAAACAACCTGACACTGGAGACAGTTCATTTAGCAGCGATGCTGATAGTTCTGGGTGAGCATTATTTTTATTTTTGTTTTTTTGATTAATTCATTTAAACTTAAATTTCTCACAATTTAATTAAAAATCTAATTTAAATAAATTGAAAAATTCTATTACACTGTAATATTATTTTGCTTAACATTTGTCTTATTAATATATTCTCTTTTTATATAACATATCTATAAAAGGATTTATGTAAATGAGAAATTTATTAAAAATCTCCATCCCTACACCATCTCAAATGATTTGCTATCAATTTAAGCCATGGGAAACCAAGTAGAGTTATATAAAGTAGTTTCTTTTATTTGCATGTTTCTTAGACTTTAAGTATAATGAGAAAGTGCAACCTTTATGTTATTGTCTTTAAAATCAGCTAGATAAGTTGTAAATAAAAAATGATCATTTATGATGAAGAAACAATGTTATTCTCTAAGAATCTAACTTTATTTTTGTGTATCCTAAACATTTTTCAGAAAAAATTAATAATGCTTAGATAATTTCATAATTTAACTTACATGATATTGATCATTAGCCATTTTAGCTATTAGATCTTGCATCTAATTAAGATAACTTAAAAATATATTGCATTATTATATTAAATTAAATGAAAAAAGATCAATCTCTGTTTAATCCTGTATCAAATTTTAGCAATTCTTTTTAAATTTTATTTATTTTTTTTGTATTGTATGCAGGTTATTGTTATGTAGGTTATTAGTAGGGCATAGTTGCATAAGGAAATCCTTAATGATTAAATGCGGGCGAATTAAATAACCTTAATAAGCAAGGAATTTCTGGTTAAGGCGCACCTTAGTCAAGATTATTGGTTGATTTCATTAAGTCATCAAATAACTACATTTAGCTTGAATAATTCTTATTTCGCATTTCATATGGCGAGGATAAATTATTTGGACTGGACTCTTAATATAGAAACAAATTAAATACAGATTAAATAATGTAAAGGAGAGAAAGGCATCATAGGAGAAAATACAGATAAACCAAGCATGAGTGATTATTATTATTGTTACTATTGCATCTATTATTATTAATTTTATAATAACTATTATTATTATTATTATTATTATTATTGCATTTATTATTGTAATTATTAATCTTATTAGTGTTCTTCTTTGATTTCATTACTTTCAATCTACATATTCTTTTGATCTTATTAAACCTAAGGTATCGTAGCATTATTGTTATTATTGTTATTATTATTATTATTATTATTGTTATCATTATTATTATTATTCACTGATTTTCTAATCCGTTTACTAGTCAAGGGTTGAGGGCCCTCATAATCTTTTCCTTATAAATTTGCCAATAATTTTTTGATTGCCACATCTTCATTATCCAACTGCTAAAGATTTAAGATTGTTCATACATTTTGTCTTCTATAGGTATTCATCATCGAATTGTATTGATTTTTAACCTAATTTTCTGTTCTCCCAGATATTTTTTTGGAAATAAGTGACCATCTCTTACCTATTTCCTCAACTAACAACAATAATTGTAACTGTTCTGGTTATGACCATTCAGATCTAATTAAATGTTTAGCCTTACTTTTTCAAATCTGGATTTAAATAGTTATTCCATCTCTCTCTAATTTATTTAGCATGTCTAACTATTTTTGCAGGGTTTATTCTATTGAAATCTATTGTAATTTATGTCCAATTTTTATTTTCATTAGGATCTGCAATAATGCTTTATAATATTTCATCTTCCTCTATGTTCCAAGGGGCCATTTTGAGATTCGTCTTGAGCATACTAATCCACTTTAAATTCAATAGCTATTCTGTTACTCCCAAGACATTTGATAGATAATGCCAATCTTCTTCAGACTATCCTATTAAATTGATAATACAGGGTTTAAATCATTCTTGTTTATCAATTCAAAGTATTTTAACACAGTCCATACAAATAAAATTTTATCCTTTCTGTGCCATTTAGTTCGATGTTCCTCATTGGTACGTCTACTTTTAGTATTATAATCTACTTTGAAAATTCTTAGAAATAATAATTCAAGATATTTTTGCATGGAGGGAAACTCTTTTCGTTAATCTTTAGAACCTTTTTTATTTGTTTTAATTTAACTGGCCTTTCCTTGAATTCACTGATGTCCTCTAAAAATTATGAAAACTTCGACATTTTAATTTAATTACAATATTTATAGATTCTTATCACAAAAAGATATCAAAAATAATTTGATTGCAATAAATTAATAATATACTCATTAGAACTTAATAGGTATTGATCGTTAAACTTAATCATCTTAAATTAAATTTAGTCATCTCAAATGTTGAATTAAATATATAAGAGACTACAGAAATTTATTATCAAGCACATTAAATCACAATTATCAGTAAGTGTTGATTAAAAATAGTAAACCTATTAAACCTAGCCAATTTAAATTGAAAGAATATACAAAATAATAAACAAAATAACCAAGTAATAAGTTTTTTTTCTTTAAATAATTAAGCAGGTGATTTAATCAATTTTTAAATGCTTTACTATGTTTATTAGGTAAGTTAAATGGAGAATGTGGGATAACAAATTCTCTTAGTTATTCAACAATGTTATTTAAAATCAACAATAAAAAACATTAATTTTATGCTATTTTTATATATATTCATTATTAATTATATTTATATATTAAAAATTATCAGTGCAATTTTGCTCACTATAAGGCGTATTATTAAAAATCAATACATATTATTTTTTAAATTTAGCAAAATGATTGACGTATAAATAAGTTCTCTCTAACAAAATAGAGATAGATCATTCATCATCATTGTGATATTGATATTGATGGCAAATGCAAGCTATATGATGATGATCCCCCTTTTTCCACCTTTAATAAAAGAAAAGGGATTCACTGAAGCAGGTATTGGAATTATCATGTGCTTCTACCCACTTGGCTGTATACTGGCCTCCTGGAAGTTGGGTAAAATACGCAGCTCCAAAAAGATGATACTACAAGGTTTAATTGGATAATTGGTAATCTCAATTATTTTGGGAATATCCTATTTTTTAAACGGAGCTCTCTTTTTCATTCTTTCCTCATTTTTAAGATTCATCCAAGGAATTGTATAGCTATATATTAAATATTTAGTCTAACACCATGATTTAAGTTCCTTCATATTCAATAACTGGACACTTGTTTTCAGAACAAGTCTCAGAGAAAATCGCCAAATTGGAAATGGCTTGTAATTTTGGATTAGTTTGTGGTCCTTTGATAAGTGGCGTCTTGTATATCCTATCAGACATCTATAACTTTAATACTTTTTAATACTCGTTGTACTTGGTGGCATTTCTATACTTTGTAATTACCCTTTGTGTAATACTGTTTCTGGATGAAAGGATTTTTAACATCGATCAATAAGAACAAGGAGCATCCATCAATTACTATGAAGTGTTTTAGATTCATGAATTGAATGTGACCTTCACTTCATATTTCTTCCTAGGAGTGGCTGCATAGGCATTACGTACTTATTTGGTAATTTTAATAATTTAATTTTAGTCTGTGTAATTGTTGGAAGTTTACAATTTAGACGATGCAAATTCTTAGTTCCTCTTTATGATATACACCATTGTGAGTGTCTTTGGAGCATTTTATGTGGCTGAATAAAAGCATTACACTCTCAACCAAATGTACACCTATTGTCTTTACATTGGGGCTGTTAGTCTATTGCTCTATGGCCCATCTTAGATTGGATTACCACAATCAATTTATATCATATGTTTCGCTGATATTATCAGAGGAATAGGAATTGGATCAGCGTAATTATGCAATCATATTCTTTAGACCAGCCATTATGATGCCTTTGATAGTACAAATTATGGAGAAGCATAAACATAAGGATCAAGCTGCTGAGATAGGTTCAACGCTTTTCATTGCAGGATGGTCCCTTGGAGATTTAATTGGACCAATTATTGGAGGAATATTTATAGACTAAGTTGGTTTTGACAAGACTAGTGTCATTATGAGTGGAGCCTTATTCGCGATTGGCCTCATCTATTAAAAAACCAGTCATATTGATTAGGAATAATAAGCAATAGAGATGCAAATTCTCATTCATTGATTTTGTGTATATAGTGTGTGTTTAATTTTGTGTATTAGATATAATTTCATTTTATCAATAGAATTATCAAATAATTTAGTTTTAATTTTAATATATATTTCACTGTAAAATATTTAAAGAATATATTAATTTAAGTTAAAATTTACAATAAAATATGTATTTTAATTTAAGGTTTTATGAAGAGGATTCATATGAATCCATAACTTGAAACTTTTAGGTTCTTGCAATTTCTTATTAATATTGAAAAAAATTTTAAAAAAAAAATAATTTATGATTCAAAAATTTCAAATTTTAATTATTATTAATCAATTAAGAATATTCTTTTGTAATTTTTATTTTGTATTTCCCTTAAGTTTGAAATATCTAAGTACAAATCCGATCAAATAAAATCAATTTTTTCAATTTCAGGTAATTATTTATTCTCCTACCATATAACTTTAATTTCTTACTAAATCACTGGAAATTTTCTATATAAACAAATTAATGAACATAAAATGAGAAATTATTAATCATATGAAATATTAGTTTTTGATATATGGCATTATTATTGCTAATGTAATTGGAATGTCTTGTAACTATTACCCTTTGGACCAGGTTGCTTGTGTACTAAAAACCGATGGGATTTCATGTAATTATGATGTCAAATAAAGGTTAATTCAATTATTTTGAAAATGCCTGTGTGGAAACTAAGAGTACAGATTTAGGATGCATTTCTAATTTGAATAAAAAAGCCTGTTTGCAATAGCAAAGGAATATAGACGGCAATGAAGTCAGATGTAAGTGTAATACTAAATCAGGTTTTTTTAGAAAAAGGTGCATTAATGCAAATTAATTTCATTTAAAGAAATTAGATTGCGATTCAAACTTTTCGATTTATGCTTGTGTGAATCTATCTGGAAAAAAGTGTATTTGGACAAATAATGCGTGTGTTTCTTATAATACTGAGATTTAAAACGGAGAAAACTGCGAAACTATCTTCTAGGTGCCAGTCACTCCCAATTTATGTGCTTAGATTCAAAATCTATAATGTAGATATTAGAGAATAAGCGATAGGTTATAATAACGGTTTTTAAAATGGATATTTCTGTTAGTCTGTATAAGAATTACAACTTCTAAAGTTTACATGTGACACCTTAGGACTAAATAAAGATGCTTGTGTTGCTATTTAAACAGCGGGATAAAAATGTAAGAAAAAAAAAGAATTATATTTTAGGCATTTTTATAAATAACATATGCAGAAACTTCGGGACAGAAGATGAAATAAGCTGTTTAAGTTATTTAAACAAGGAAGCATGTCTGAGTATCTCCAATCCAGAATTACTTTGTGTTTGGAATAGTAAGGGCTGTTAAAATTACACTATTTTAAATGAGGATAGTTGTGAAATGTTAAAAAACGTAAACCCCAGTGTTTGTAAAGTTATGCCCATATTTTGTTATTATGATGAAATAAATCATTAATGTTTATCTCCAAACCCAAATTTAAAGCAGACTTGTGCAACAAAAGGACTAAATGAAATTGGTTGCTTAAGTATAAAGAATTAAAAATGTATTTATATTAATAGATTCTCAATTAGGTATATATATTAGCACAGAAGGATGCCAGGATTTAAAAGATGATCAATTAAATAAGATAAGTTGCACTGATTCTATAAATGAAGATGCTTGTATTAATGTTACTACTCCATTTCAATATTGCTAATGGAATGGAGAAAAATGTCTGAGAATTCCTTTGAATTAGGATTTAGATTGTCCATTGCCTTCTGAGAATGGTAAGTACTATTAAGTAAATGGAAACGTGTGTTAAGCAATATCAAAACAGAATATCGGATGTAAATATAATCTAACCACTCAACTCTGCGAAAGAAGTACTGGATAGGAGATTTGCACAACTCCTTATCTCAATTTATCAGCCTGCGTTTAGATCTCTTAAGCTCTGGCATGTAGTTGGAGGGAAGAAATTAACAAATGTGAAATAGTGGACGTGATTGATCAAGTCACAAAATGCACTGATTTAAAATACTCAAATCCCATGGCATGTTCTTAGATTTCTGAATTTGTAAATAACAAGGCTATAGGATGTTATTTTGACAGCAAAACTCAATAATGTGATGTTTTAGACAACGACAGCATTGCTGAAATGGAATGCTTGTAGTTAGGATTAAACAAATATGGATGTACTATGATTACTAAGGTTGGACAGAGATGTAGATGGTTTCGAGGGTAGTGTACAAGCATTAGAAGTAAGGAGTAAATAGCTTAAGTTTCATGCATTGAACTCAAATATGTTAACCCTGGGACTTGTAGTCTGGTCACTTTTAACAAAGAGGTTTGTAAATACAGTGTTGATGGCTATGGGTGTGTGAACAGTATTAATTCTAGTGAAACTGGAGATTATTGTAATACATTGGGTTTGAACTCTTTTGCTTGTTCTTAGATTACTAGAAACCTTGAAGGATGTTATTTTGATAAAGTCAACAATGTCTGTGTATTAGCTCCTGATAAGAAATCAGCGGATGAAAGTATATAAGCTGCCTCAAAATTACTATTAAATACTGCGAAATGTGTGGCTAGTTCTCCTACTCAGAATATTTGTATTGCCATAGAGACTTTGGGTGAGTAATGCACTTGGAATTATCGATTAAGTGGATGTGAATATCAATATGTCTAATTTAATGAGAAATGCTTAGATTACAATACTGTAGAGAAATAGAAAGCTATTCCTGGAATATTTATTTCTATAAATGCCAATGTTTGTGCCAGCATTCTCATGAATTACGTAATATTTAATCATATTTATTAGCCTAATAAAGATCCAACAGTTTTAACAAAGGAAGTAGATTCACTGAGAGGGTATTGTTAATTTGATGGAAAAGGGAATTGCATAAAGTTTTTGTAAACTCCTTGTACTTCTGAGTGTTGTACAGAGTAAATTGGAATCAATGCTCATGTTTGTAGTAGATTTACGACTGGCAAGTATTGTTATTTCAATGAATACAATAAATGTGTAAAGTTAACTGATGAAATTGTTGATACGAGTTCATTGCAGGCAGTTAAAGATTTCTATAATTTCAAACAATACAAATGTTCATCAATGAATGTAAATACTTGTTGGATGATTGATTGGTCTCCCGCTTAATAATGTTATTGGGATGGACTTGTATGTACCTAGATTAATCTCAGTGACTATGCCACTTTTACCTTATTAAACGGTTATAGAACAACGAATAAGTATGGATGTTAGGGAATTGAGGGAGATAAGAAAAAAACATATCTCATGAGATACTACAAATATGTTTCTGATACTACTACTTGCATCCCTTATCCTGTTGTAATTTCGACTTGTGAAACCGAAGGAATTAATTTAAATGTTTGTCTAGGATAATCACCTAATATTTATTGCAAATGGGATAAAATTAATTTATAGTGTGTCACCATTGATGATTTCTTATCGTTATACACCTGCAACGAATACCAAAATAAAAAAGCATGTGTGGAAAATCCTTATGCTCCATGTGCCTTCCTTACTTCTACGGATAAATGTATAACAAGTCCTGCTGATATTAATTGTGAAGATTTTAATGTAGGTAAAGACTATGAGGGAGCAGTAAATGAAAAAGCCTGTTTAAACATCACTAAAGGAGGATAAATTTGCAAGTATGAACCAAATCTAAAAATTTGCATAACCGTAAATCAAGCATCTTAAAATAATTGTGATTTGCCAGGCATTAATTCAATTGGTTGTTACTATATTACTACTGCTAATTGCAGATGGGATCCAATAAATCTGAATTGCTATGAAGAAGGAGATGTAAATGCTATCTACAATTTATAATGCAATTAGAATGTTAATAAATAATTATGCTTATCAATAATAAAAGACAATTGTGAATGGTCAATAACTAATATGAAATGCTCATAAGTAGAACAACTGGGAATCGTTAAAATTGATACCTATTATAATGCATAGGCATGTACTAACTTAACAGGAAAAGCATACTATTTTACATCTACTAATAACAACGCAACAACCTCATGTTAAATACTGACTACATTTACTAATAAGTGCACAGACTATATCATGAATAAATAAGCTTGTCTAATGAACACCAAAGGGTACAAGTGTTTCTTCGATCCAAACGAAATTCCTGAAAAAAAATGCTAAGATTTTAAAGAAGTATAACTGGTTTGTACATCATCACTCTAAATTAACATAGAAATATGCATGAACATTCCAACATAATGTTACTTTGAAGAATCTTCCTTAAGTTGTAAAACAGCCAAAGTTTATAATACTGATAAATGTTCGACCTTAATAGCTGCGGGTATGCATTACAACAGAAAGGCTTGTGCATCTATTAGTAGAACAATAACTGACAAATCTTAAGAAGAGACAAAAAAAATTTGCTCCAAATCACCTCTCTAAAATAATTCTTAATAATGCTATTTTGAGAAATACTGTGCTTGGGATGAAAATACCTACGGATGTGTTCTATAACAAATAGTTAAGGGATCATATACTCCCCCAGGTTAGCAACAGAGTGAATAATGCTCTCTTACTCCTACAACAATTAAATGTTCAAATATTTACTCTGAAGCTGTATGTCTTGAATTTGGATCAGGCTGCTACTTTGATATTACTTAAGGAGGTTGTAATACTTATACTTCTAATTTGTTCAAAGTTAGAGATTGTTCTCAAATTAATGGTACTGATTGTACAAGCAGTAAGACACCCAATGCCTATTGTAAAAAGGTTGTAAATTCTGCTGATTTAACAGATGCTTGTGAATAGGATGCAGTAAACCAGGATTATTGTGAAAATGATTAAAGTGTTACCAGCAAATCTTGTGGCTCTCTTAGTGATTCAACTACAGCAAGTGACTGTGCTCAAGCCAGCGATGCTTGCTATCTTAATCCTAAATGCATTTCTCCTACGTCTTATGACGGTATCACTTGCACTAGTCCTGGAGTTAGCAAAGTATTATGTTTATTGTTAACTCCGCCATGTGAATTTTCCACAGGTTCTTGTACTTCAGTATCGATTCCAACGCTTAGCTCTGATGGATAAAACTATTACTATATCTGTAATGAAGTCAATTTGTAAACCACAAATTAATCAGAATATGTGTGTGGTAATATAACAGCAGTTCCTTGCAAATATTCACTAAATACATGTCAAAATGCTTTTTTCGAATAATGTTCTGGACTTGCAGGATTGACAGTCTCTGTTGTTGCCTGTAATTAATGCTAAGGGTTTCCTGTTGCTTATGATTATAGTACTAATCAATGCAAACAGATTACTAGTTTGAGTTCTAGTTGTGACCTCTTATCGAAACAATCAGACTGTTAAGCCGATCTCAAAAGCTGTCATTGGGATGATTAAGCCAAAAAATGTCAAATTAATTTACATAGATTGAACAGATAAAGTTGTGCTTAGTTAACCACTGATATTTTAGCAATTTGGGACGAAGCCACAAATTTATGTGAAATCAAAGCTGAGAATCAAATCTAAAGTCTTACCGATTGTTCTATTTTAAGTAGAAAGGCTTGCATAATTCCTTCTTAGTCATGCTGGATTAATTCAACAACTTTATAATGCGAAGATGCCACATAGATTATGGCTACTTGTTAAGAAATCAATGGTTTTAATGCCAAACAATAGCATTGTCTAGTATCATATAAAGAGCCTTGTAAATGGAGTACTACATGTGTATCAGCAAACTTAACAACTGATCCTTGTGATGGATTGAACAAATATGGCTGTCTCAATATCCAATAGAAATTAAGTTGTGCTTGGTCAGAGCATGATAAAAATTGTAGAGACATTGCAGTAAATCTAGGTCTCGGATGTAATAGATATTCTGATGGATTTTGGCATTATTATTACCAAGTAAATCCTTACGTGTGTGCCTAATTAACAGTTGGAAATTGCTATTTAGATACTAATTCCAACAAATGTACATCTGTTGGTACTAAAACTATAGATTGTGCTAAACACAAAGGTATAAACAAACTGGCTTGTCTGACAAGCACAACAGATGTTTGCAAATTTGATTCAACTTTAGTTTAATGTATTCCTACTCCCATCGATGATTAACAGTGTTCTGACTTGTAAAATACAGGAAAATGCTGTTTAAATAGTTTAAATCAAGTGTCTTGTTTGTCAATGCCAAATGCATACTGCAAATTCTACTTGAATACCTGTTCAACTTTCTATGTTTTGGATAAAAAAACGCCAAAAGCAGCTGCTGCTAGCTCAGTGGTACCAGAAACTTAAAAACTATCATCTAATATATGTGATTACTTTAATAATAATATTGTGGGAGCTTATTTTATATATGACACAGTAAGACTTTAATGTATTAATATTGATAAACTCAGTCCATCAAAATATTTTGCTTTATGTCGATCAGTTTCCATTAGTCAAAAAGGCTGTCTGGAGAAGACAATGGAATATTGTAAGCATATTTGTATATTTTTATAGGTTAATATGAGAATAATTCTTGCTAATCCATGAGTTTAGAAACAGTTAAACTCCAAAAAGAATGTAATTAGGCTTACAATTGGAAAACCTGTATTTCAATCAATGCCTTTTGTAAATTTCAAGGAGGCAAGTGTGTTCCTCTTGGACTAGCTGATACATGTTCTAATTTAACTAATGCAATTGTGGGTCCACAAGTTTGTGCATAATTTCCGACACCTTGCAAATACAATACATTAACTTATACTTGTGTAGTTGTGATTCTAAAAACTGAAGTATGTTCAACCCTTGGGTTAAGTAAATCTGGCTGTCTAGCTTATACGCCTTCATAATTCTGCATTTTCGATGCTGTTAATTTTAGATGTACTTCCACTTATGATAATTCACTACCATGTACTGATACGAATTCTCAGAAGAAGTGGTATATCAATCAAGCCAAATGCTAATTCATCAAAACTGCAGGAAATGTACCTTTTATATAATATAAATTTAGTATTGCCAATTCACTCCTGGAGATCAAGGTGAATGTTTAGACATTCCAAGTAATTTATTCACTGGTGCGTGTTTGGTACCTGATGTTCAAACTAATCCAATCACTTGCAGAATGGCAACAAACTAGGTTTGCTTTTATAATTTAATTACAAAAAAATGTGCTACTGGAGATATTAATATAATCCCTTGGAGTCTGGGATTATCATTTAATAAAATAGCTTGTTTAAAATATGATAATCCTTTGTTTTAGGTGAAATTGATTTGGGATGACGACAAAGGTTGCATTGAATTAACCATAAATGATTTAGCAAATATTTAGTGTTCATCTCCAGTTAATAGACTGGCTTGTGTTTCAATTACTAATCCATCTTAATTTTGTTAATTCAAGGCTGACACTTCAAAATGCGAATCCTTTGATTACATAATCCCCCCCTTAGATAGCAAATTATGTGCTTCATTGACTAATGTGAATAGATTTGAATTTTGTTAATATGCAAGTGATTCTTGTGTCTATAATTCATTCGATCGTAAATGTGTGGCAACTTCACCAACTATAAACAATTCTGGAGATTGTTTCAACTTAGGTATGAGCAAACCAATGTGCTTAAGTTTTTCTAGTAATTGCAACTTTAATGATGAAAGACGTTTTTGTTATGGAGGAAACATTTTCTGCAAAGACAATACTCCTTCTGCTTGTAAAGATGTTAAAACTGAGCCTTGTTGGATTGTTAATTCAAGTTGTAAAGGCATAAGTTTTTAGGATCTCAAAACTATAGAGTGTACAAATGCTGTCAATTAAATTGGTTGCACTTCCATTTCAAATCCTTTGAAAGTATGTCAATATGATATCCAAACTTCAACATGCAATGAAATAGTTGCACTCACCAAACCATGTGCATCATATACCTATGTAAGCACTAGCAAAGCATGCGAACTTACGAATGATACTGCTTGTAAATTTGATTTCTCAACTAAATCTTGTAAAGTAGTCTCTATCACAGATGTATTCGAATGTGATAGAGGACTGAATTATTAAGCCTGTTCCATTTATACTAGACCCTCATTGTAATGTAAATTTGGTAAGTACTGTTATGGTCCCACATCTGGCATTTTAAAATGTGCAGATTCATTAAATAAAGAAGTATGTTTGAATTTCAATTATTTTTGCACTTGGGATTTCTCAAATTCATTGTGCATTGATTATAATTTAAATGGATAAACTTGCTAACAACTCTAAGATCAAAAGACTGTAGTATCTAGTTAAGTTTGTTATAATGCACAGGTTTAAGATGGAAGTGCTTGTGTTTTTGATGTGTACACATTCACATGTAAAATCATCTAACCATAATCATGCTTTGAACTTGAATCCCAAAAACAATGCCAATCGTAGACTGAACTACCATGTGTATGGTTGAATGGTTCTTGCTAACTCTTTTAAGCAGTTTCAACTGATACTTGTTAAAATGTCGGAAGTTTGGGATCAAAAAATGCTTGTTTAAGTATTTTCAGGAAGGGACAATTTTGTCAATATCAAGATTTTAATTGTGTAACATACAAAGAAAATTATGATGCTGATAACTGTCTTAATAACATTAATAAAATAGCCTGCATTTCTTAATAAACCAGTTCTTGCATATGGAAAACTGTTCAAAAGGAAATTTAACTAGTCTAGATGTTATTGGGAAGTTGTGAAAAATTTGAAAATCCCGCCAATAATGATTGTGACAGTGCCCTTAGTTATAAATCGTGCTTATCAATTTCGAAATATGGTCAAAATTGCAGATGGATCAAAGGAGAATGTCAAAGTATCGAATAACAAACAGGAGTCGTCATCAATTATAACACATATTAATTGATTAATTAAAATGCTTGTGGACTAGTGAATCAGGACAAAGTTCGATATTAAGAGTAGACGAAATCATGTTAATTGATAAAAGATTATGAAACAATTACTTGCAAATGTGGCAAAGAAACAAAAGGATTAAATAGGGAGGCTTGTTTGAGTATTGTGAATGAGAACTGCAAATGGATTCCTACTCAATCAAGATGTGCAGAGTATTAGAGTTTATGTGATATTAAATGAGTCTCTTTGACATTTTATTATTTTTTTACAAACTTAATAAGGGATTATTCAATCATATTAAAATAAATATATTAATGAAAGTTTCACTCGATCATGATGTTTATAAATGGCTCTTGTCTCTAACTATTGTTAAGCCTCAACAAGTTAAGAATACTGGGAAGGTTGAATTGGATGAGAACCAAAGCAAATTATTTGTTAATGGCATTAAATTTGGAGAGACTTTAAATAAAATGCTCGAAGCAAGATCCATTGTAAAAATCACATTCTAATTTTATAGCATGTCCCAAATTTAAGTGAACAAATGAAAAATCAACTGACTCCTGGAGTTAAATTATTCAATTGGAATATCTTATAAGATGCATTTCAAAAAATTAACTTGCCTTTGGACAATGATATTAAAAATCTAATTGTAAATGGAGACATAGAAATGATGAATGAACTCCTTAAAGACATGATGGAATTAGATAATCAAATCAATAGAAAATAATAAACTCGAGGCTCAGTTAGATCCTCAGACGACTCCTCCTTTGAAACTTCAAAGAAACCTCCAAGCAGACCTGCATCCAAATTACCATAAACTAAATATGATACCTAAGGAAATGCTAATGAGTTAATCTTAGATGAATTAGATACTAAACAACCCTTAAATGAGTCTAAGTCTTTACTTGAATTTTTTATCACAGGATTATCAAGACATTTAACCTTAAAACCTTAATAAGCTGCATCTTTAATGTCAAATGGCAATAAGTATTTGGCCCATCTACTTGTGAAAGGAGTCAAGGGAGAGTTTGAAACATTGATAAATTGGTTAAGTGACATTTATGCAAACATCTCAAGAGTATTCAATTTTCTAGAACAACAGGATTCTAATGTGCATTATTTTTTTGCCACCATAAAACCAGGACTATTGTCCAAAGAATAGGACATTACTCTGTGGACTTTAAGGATAATGGGCAGAACTTATTTTGAACTCTCTGAAATGGAAATGCATCAATTAGGATACGAATGGTTCTGCAAGGAAAATGGAGGATTGGCAGCAACTTTTCTATGCATGCAAAGACACCCCAATTTACTGAGTTAGATTTGTGAATTGTACAGTTAAGTAGCAAGATTTAATATTGTTGATTTCTTTACAGTCCAATTCAAGAAGTAATTATCTGATAAATGCGTTGAAATGCTCAATTCTTTGATTGAATTTCTCCACCAATAGAAAACTCTTAAAGAAGAATTAATTTCATAAGGAATCGTGCAATATTGGGCCTAGGCAGCATTAAAGATGTCAGATTCTGATCAATTGCCTATTAAGATGCAAGGCCTTAAGTATTTAACATTGAATTGGTTGCTATACCCAATATAATTTGAAGAGGATTAAAATTACCCTAATCAATTCTTATTCCTAATGAAGAAGGGCACTAGAGATGCCTCGAGTAATTTGAAATATTTCTCATTGAATATGTTATTCAGATTGCTCGATAAATTGGCTACGGATAGAAATCCATATGCAGCAGTTCTCTATAAGAAACTGACATTTACTCTAATTGAGAATTACAATGAACTGGATGTGAGGGAATTCATGTTGCACAATTTTATGTATCTAATCCAAAAATACTCTTCAATTCCCATTGACATTCTATTAGAACCTTTGATTAAGTAAGTCATGTTGAATGATGCCTTAGTTAACTTAACAGATATGATGCTATTTAAATTTATTAGTAAACATCCAAAGATGAAAATAAGATTGGCTATTTTATTATTGGATTTGTTAGCCAAAATATATTTGAATAGTGTGACTATGTCTCATTTATCATTAAATCCAATTCAAGTGCTTTTGGCTCGTTTTGCAGAATCTCCCTTGCTAAGAGAGTATGCTTTCAAGCTCTGCAAAATCGGCCTAGCATTGCATTATGGCAGCCTAAAGAGTAAGCGACAATAGGTCAAAACGAACGATTTATCTATCTTAACTGCATTGTAGTAACATAACAACGATCATGAAATACTTGAAGCTTAGAAAAGAGCTTAAATAATTGAGTTAGTTAAGTTTATAATAAATATGCAACAAGATGAATTGAATGAGTAAATAAAACCATTGTTATGTCATTTTTATATTGAATTGTAATATATTATTGCATATGATTAGATAAAATATTTCTATTAAGGATAAAGGTGTGATTACATTATTAAATATGTTTGGCAATCCTGAAAAAATAGTTTAGGCAATTAAGTAACAATGGGATGCTGAGAAATAAGAATAAGAAGAAATACTCAAATAATCTTAATTAATTATTGATAATGAATTTGTCTAGAATTAATAGTATTTGAACTCTGCAGAACAAACTCCATAAACTGTGAAGAGTGAAAAAATAAAATAACATGATGCAGATCCCTTCAATGATTTAAGATAAAAGGAATTGGAGGATGAAAAAAGATTTTTGGCTCAAAATGGTGTGGGGTTCAAAAAAAGAGTTGTGGAATTAGAAAGAGGAAAATAACCTATTGCACCTACTCCAAATACATAATAATAATAATAATAATAATAATAAGTGAAGAAAAAACCTTAATAAGTGGATCCTAAGGTATTAGAAAATATTGCCAACATAAAATTAAAGAAGGAGGAAGAACTACTTAAGAAACAATAGGAAGAGGAAGAAAAAAGAAAAAGAATTGAAGCATTACAAAAAAAAGCGTAATAGGAAATTCAAAAGAGAACTAATGGAAAAGTGATTGAGAAAATAGATGAAAAGAAGGTAGAATTGATTGATCTTGATGATCATGAGACACATGATTATGAATCTATGAACATAGCTATAAAGAAGAATCATAAAGCAATGAAATACTTGTTCTCCAAATATTCTAACACCACTAATTAGGCAAGTAAAAAATAGTATTTTGGTGAACTTTAAGAATAGTATGAAATTATTTAATTATCTGACATAACGAGAATGTTGAAAGACTACTAAGTGAATATGTCGAAAGAAGAGGTCCAGGCATATGTTAAAGCAATAAATCAGAAATACTCTGAAAATAAGAATGATCAATTTAGTTTAGATTAATAAAATTTTGAGAGATTTCTAGCTTAACTCTCCATGAAAATTGAAGGATACACATTTCAAAGAAGATCCGCAGGTTAATGTTTAGAGTAACTGATGTAAAGCTTTGGTTCAATTGCAAAATCCAAAAGTATTATTTTATAATACAAATATTAGATGAAAACCATCTCATATTTTTAGATCCTGATAATATCAATATTGATCCGGACAGAGATATAATTAGGTAGTTAAATTTACAGCTCTAAACTCAAGATGTCCCTATTCCTAGTAAATTCAAGAAAGTTACAGAAAAATAATTGAATCAGAGATTCGAATATAGGCCGTAAGCCATATTAGGAGTTGAAAATGCATGGTTTGATTGTCATGAAATAGTTAATTAATTGATTTCGGAAACATTTAAAACAAATGTCATGGAACCTTTGTCAGATATAAAGATTATTTGGAAAGTCAAGCCCAATCCACAATAACAATAAGAGTAGGTTGTTTAGGTGAAATAGAGGGATAATTCATAACAGAAGAAAGTCATTAATAGAGCAATTGAAGATAAATTATTGAAGCAATAGGAAGAAGAATAGAAGAAAATGGAAGCTGAAGAGAAGAGAAAAAAACATTAGGAAAAGTTAAAATAGGAATATCTGAGAAAAAAGAAAGAGAAGGAAGAATAAGAATAAATGAAGAAATAAGAAGAGAGACAAGAGATGATAGAAAAAGCAGAGAGAGAAAAAAAATAACAGGAATAATTAAAAAAGGAAGCAGAAGAAAAAAAGTTGAAATTACGAGAATACAAAGAGAAGATGGCAGAAGAAAGTAAAATTAAAGAGGCTTAGAATATTGAATTATAAAAACAGAAATAGGATCAAGATAGAAAATAAAGAGAAGAATTTTAAAAGAAATAGAAGGAAGATGTGAGTAAATTGCTGGAGTAGAAAAAGAAAGAATTTAAGGATAAAGAGTAATAAGAGAAATAAAAAGAACAAAAAGCAAAAGAAGAAATGAAGGAATGGAAAAATAATGTTGAAATAATGCTTTAATAAGAATAGGAGGTAAGGTAAAGAGAAAAATAAATGCACTAAAAAATTCAATAATTATAATTAGATCAGGAGATTCAATCTATTTATAAGAAATATGATAAATAATTATCAGCTATTTATCATGCTTATCAAGAGTATACAGATTGGAAGATTGAAAATGCAGGTGTAGAGAAAGAGTTATTATAATTTAAAGGATTTACTAATTTTGCCTCTTAATTCAGCATATATCCTGCTATCATAACTCCTGAAGATGCATAGCTGATCTTTCGATCAATAACAAGAGAAAGAGAACGATAACAATAATAATTGAATGAAAAAAATGGGTTTAACTCCGCTCCACCTAAGGGAATGAACTATCATGAATTCCAATAAGCATTATTGAGAATTGCAATCAAAGGATAAAAATATTTCGATCTTCTAAATGAAAAATATGAAAATAACATGAAGACTATAGACATGCTTGCATTAAAGAAGGACTAAGCTATTTCAGAGGAAGGACCTTTGGAAAAAAGAGAAGATCATTATTAATAAGTAGATGCAACAAGCTCAAAAACAATGCAAGGATTAATGTATTTTTTAGATATGCCTGAAGAGAAAATTGAAATGAATTCTAAATTAAGAGCATTAAAATTAGAATTTTAGAAAGTGGCAGCACAAAGAGATAAAAAATAAAGTAAATTAAAATATATATATCATAGTGGTTTAATAAAAGCTAACTGATGAAGTCAAATAGCCAGCAAAACGAAAATAATCAGTAGGATAAAGAGAGGGAAAAGATAAAAGTCTAGAAAAATGTATTTATTCAATTATATAATAGAATAACCATAAAGAAATAAGTCTTAAAATATTAGGATTGATTCTGCGTAGACTAAAATGAAAGCATCTTAAAAGGATTAAATACATCCGGTTGATGAAAATGAATTAAACAAGCAGTCTCCCAAGAGTATCAAATACTTATTATAAAATATTAGAAATAGAAACTACAGGACCAGACGGAAAAAAAGAAAGTTGGAAAGTTAATTAATAAAAACAATGATGATATATAACTAACTATTAATTAATTAATCTTATAGTTCAACAACATAATTATTTATTGTTAACAATCATAACTTCAAGTTAATTAAAAGAGTTAAAAATCTTACCTTTAATCTCAGTGCAGTGTGGTTTTTAATTAATGTGATTATTCATATTTCCTTATATTCTTTAAATTTTAATAATTTAAAATTAATAAGTATCCAAAACCGAATGTTACTTCAACCACAATGATGGGTACATTTTTAGGTGTCTGTTTTTATTGATTATAATGTCTTATTTTGAAATTGAACAAAATTACTAGCTTTCAAAAGGGCCAAATACTAAATATTATCATATAGGAGTCTATTTTCAAACACAATTGTAATGATACAGATAATGTTTCACTTCTTCTCATAAGAAATTCATATTATATAATAATTATAAATTATATTGATGTTATGATATATTTCAATAATCAGATTTCTACTTATTTGTTTGTTTAGCCAGTGCTATCATCTTCCTATATTGAATGCTCATATCCATTAAATGAAATTTGGAAGCAAATACCTGTCATAGCAAACCAATTTGAAACTGGAATGTTATAATCAAGGGAGGTGTCTTTGAACTTAATATATTTAAAAAATTCAAACTTGAGCTGTATCTGATCCTATTCCCATTCCAATTGTTATGAGGATCCATCCGATTAAACTAATTCCTAATGATCCATATCCTAAGGCTGCTTAATCTATAGCAATTTTAGCTAAGCTTATCAACAAGCCCAACAACAGACAACTTGCTCCTGCTATATTCATAATCACCCATGTTTAATAATGATCCATTCCAGTTAGATCTGCAATATTGTAGGACTTAGCTTGATAACAATATTATGCCATCCAGCAAGAAACATACAACATCATTCCTATATTACTAATAAAAGCGCTATAAACATATTAATCTAATATTTTACTATCCTCTTGGCAACCTAAAATATTAATATTCATTACATTTGCTCTTCTTGCAGAATAATTTAAAAAAAAATAAATAATATCAGAATATTAATTCACAATCGCATTTAAATTAATCCAAAACAAGGCTTATCAATTATTATCAATATAAATATTTGCTTTACAAAGAATAATCAAATTTCTCCTGTTCAAATTATAGAACAAGCAATGCATTGATGTTCATTATATAAGACAATTGAAATATCAATAACTTAAATTGTATATCAATAAAATTGTCAAACAAAGTTATCAAGACTTTGAATATCATACGATTTGAATATTAACTAATAAATATCAATATGATACTACATTATTTTAATCATAAATGTTATACTTGATTTTAGTGAAATTTTATAAATACTCATCTCTACCAAATAATTCTTATTGTTTTATCTCTGTATTTGTAGAATAATCGACCTGAATCTTTGAAAACTTTTATATCTTGATCGAATAAGTACTGCTGACATACTCATTTCGAATCATTTTTAATCTTTAAACATTCTTAAAAATACTCAAAAAAAGCGTATTTTAACTAGAATAGCAACCGATGTATTTAATTATATATAAATATATGTTATTATATTAATTAATGTAATTATCTCCATAATCACAAACTATATTTCAATCCTTATTCATTGAAAAAACTAAAGATCAAATTAATAATATTCTTCAATATAAACTATCCCAAGCCAATAAAGCAAGATAAAGGTTTGTAAAAAATTAGATCGACAGACCTAATACTTCTATGGTTTAGTAACCAAATGAAATGGATTTCTCACAAAATCAATTTGAAAAGCATAGAAAGATTTCAATGAATGATTCTCAACTTACAGTTGTTACAATAAGAAAACCATAAAAAATAATGCATACAATAGAACTTAGCCCCTAAATCACACCCATTACTTCATTTCATTCTTAAAGAAAATACAGACAGCTATAAATGTGCGAAAAATAGATAAATCCGACATCTTAAGTTCATAGTCCTGAGAATGAAAAATAATTTTATTTCAAGCAAAAATAATATAGAAATAAATTGCAATTAAAGAATAGCGAGAATAATAATATCAAACTAAAATAATACGCCAAGGAGTAACGTTCAAATAGCAAAGGTGTCTAAGAGTATATAAAATATTAAGATGAAATGGATGAATATTTTAGGGATAGGCTATTTCAACAACAAAGATAATTGATAGAAAAAATAGATAACTTTAAGATGTCCACAAAAAGACTTGATTAATAATTAGAACCAATTGGACGCCTATTAGAATTAAGACTTTAAAAAATGAAAAAGAAACAATTACAATGATGATTATTGATATTTTAATTAATCTAATTATATTGATAAAGAGAACTTTCGGTTCTTAACATAATTCTATTCTGTAAAAAAATTATTCGAAATTGAAAATAGGACTAAACTTCTAATTGATCAAATCAGGTTTTATATAAGATTAATAAAAAGAGATATTTTATATATAGTTTTTATGAAATTAGAATATTTATATTTTATAGATCTAAATGAAAATTAGTTATCGATTTTGTTTGAATGGTCATTTTACCAATATAGATCAATAAAACTACATCCAAAACCAAGTGATTGGTATCTGTATGGAATAAAGTTGTAAGTCCTAATAATTTGTTTGTTAAGAATGCATAGAAAGGGATCATTCAGATCATAAAACTATGATATCCACTTTCGAATAGATAGAATTACTAATTTCTGGTTATTTTAAGGATAGCTTTCTAATTATTCCTGATGTATTTGATTAAAACTTTCAATAATAAGAATTTCAAGAATTAAAATAATAAATATATGAAGAATTTGAGAAATTAGAAACTCACTTTAACAAAAGTTAGGATTAAATTAAAATATTAATAGAGGCTTACAAGATTATTTCAAAAATCAAAGATGGGTACATCATGGACATTAGCGCGGAAGAATTTAGCACTCTTTTTGAAATCTTTTTGAATCAGAAGATAAATAATTATTCAACGCTGCACTCTAATTTGACTTTACTAAAAAATAAATCAAAATATTTGAGTGCCAAAGTGAAAGAGATTCAATAATAGCTTGCTTCTTTCCAGATCAATTCAGATACCTTGGATTTTAGCAAATTTATAAGTAGAAACATAAAATCGAAGATAATATCCTAATTTTATTCATAGAACCTTTTGAATTACTCTTTAGTCCCTCAGGAATATAAGTATATTAAAGGAGTAAGAATTGGGGAAATCGAAAATAATAATGAAATCTACTACGGAGAAATTAATGAAAAGTAAATCAAGCATGGAAAAGGTATTAATGAATATTAAAAAGGTGTTTAAATTATAAAAAACGGTGATATAATATATGAGGGTATTTGGGAGTAAGATTAATTACAATGGGGTTAAAAAACAACTTTTAATGAAAACTCTGAATGCTGTATATTTTAAGGGAAAATGAATAATAAAAAACTTAACGGAGTAGGGTTAAAAAAAAGTTCATTTGAATATGAGTAAAATTAAATTACATCATTTTTATAGAGTGAAAGCACATTTTATGGATGACAAAATTTAAGGAGAAGGACTTCTTACTACAAAGAATGGAGATCAGTATTATTATTATATATTTTATTAGATATAAAGGAGAATTTTATGATAATAAAAAGCATGGTCATGGTGAGTTTCAGACAACAAAAGGAGATAGGTAAATCATTCTATAATTTAGATATGAAGGAGAATTTTACAAAGATAAAAAATAAGGAAGAGGTACTTATTACTTTCCTAATGGCGATATGTAAATTAAATTTGCTTTATGTTAGTTATAATGGCTAATTTTAAGATGATTAGATTCATGGTAAAGGAGAATTGAAAATATATAATACTGGAGATGTGTAAAATTAATATCAATTCTAGTTATATTGGTCTATTTAAAAATAATAAAAAAGAAGGAGATTTTGAAATCAAACATTCAAATGGATAGAGGTATATATATATTATTAAATACAGTTGCAAAGCTGCTTTTAAAAATGACTAAGAAATTGGAAATGTAAAATCAATTATCTAAAAATCTGCTCATATAATAAAAGGAACTATATTTCATGATAGAAAACAATGATTTATATTATGAGTTTGTAATTACAATTCTTAATTAATTATCAATTTTATTTAATATTCTATTTGTAATTATTTACAATTACATCTTAAATTGCATAATATTGAATATAAATAAAAATGGATGTGAAGATAAATGGTAAAATTTGAGATATAAAAGTGTACTAAAAATGAATTGGTAGTTTATTAATTTTGTTTTAAAGAATATATAAGGTTGTAAATCAAATGTACAAATAAATTGATAAATAAGGAACATAAAAGAAAATATCTTATCTTAATAAAAATATTAATATATTTAAATAATGGCAAGGAATCCTTCGTTATATCTTTCTCTTTAAGTTAATATTGATATTAAAATTGCTATCCTAAGATTGAGTTAATTACTTTTGTTTATTCTGAATTCTATCATTTTATTTGGTATTTGAATCTAATAAAGAATATATGATTTTTACATTATTTAATTTAGATAATGATAAATCAATATGGATGGAACTTGCTACAACACCCTATAGTTCTTCAGGTTGAAGAGAACACAACATCATTTTCCTTAGTTGATTTACCTATTCAAGCTAGAAAAGCAAAGCTGCATATATGTCTATAGTCTGGGAGTTGTTAAGGAGAATCAGTTGTTACTTGGACTTTATCTACAAAAGTTGATATGATCAAAATCTCTAGTCATCCATACACTTAAAATGCTTGGAACAGCTATAGTGAAAATTGTGCAATAAGGCTTGATGAGAAAAAAAATATTGAAATAAGCAGAAGCGGAAGTTTTCCTTAAGGATACTTTTCAATTGTAATTGAAGTTTTAGGTTATAAATGAATTAGTTTAAGTATATTGAAAAAATAATTGATTTTTTTAATTTTGTGAAACCATATTTAGTGACTTTAAGATTTTTAATTAAACCTATTAATTTAAATAAGCTTATCAATTATGATAACAACAAAAAAATTTTACTCTTCTAATTTTTATTGATTCTGATAAATTTAAACTAGTAGTTTTTATAGAGAAATTCTTTATTATTATATAAATCATAAAATTAATTTTTAACCCCAAAGGTGAAGACATGGATGTAAATAATCAGTAAAATCAAGCATGGAAAAGGTATTTATCAATATTAAAAAGGCATAAAAAATGCTGATAAAATATATGAGGGTATCTTGGAGTAATTACAATGGGGTTAAAAAACAACTTTTAATGAAAAACTCTGGATGCTGTATATTTTTAGGTAAAATAAATAATAAAAAACTTAATGGGTCAAGGTTAAAAAAAAGTTCATTTGAATATGAGTAAAATTAAATTACATTAATTTTTATAGAGTGAAAGCACATTTTATGGATGACAAAATTTAAGGAGAAGGACTTCTTACTACAAAGAAAGGAGATCAGTATTATTATTATATATTTTATTAGATATAAAGGAGAATTTTATGAAAATAAAAAGTATGGTCATGGTGAGTTTCAGACAACAAAAGGAGATAGGTAAATCATTCTATAATTTAGATATGAAGGAGAATATTAAAAGATAAAAAATAAGGAAGAGGCACTTATTACTTTCCTAATGGCGATATGTAAATTTAAATTTATTAAATGTTAGTTATAATAGCTAATTTTAAGATGATTAGATTCATGGTAAAGGAGAAATGAAAATATATAGTACTGGATATGTGTAAAATTATTGTCAATTCTAGATATAATGGTCTTTTTAAATATAATAAAAAGAAGAAGATTTTGAAATCAAACATTCATATGGATAGAAGTATATATATATTATGAGTCTTTAATAACAATACTTATCAATTTTATTTAATTACAATTGATAAACATAATGAGAAGCAATTTCATGATATATATATATATATACATACTTTTAGTCATTCAGAATTCTATCATTTCATTTGGTATTTAAGTCTAATAAATAATAATAGAATTTACATTATTTTATTCAAATAATGTAAAATCTATATGGATGGACGTTGTTAGAAAAACCTATAGTTCTTTCTGTTCAAGCGAACACAACATCATTTTCTTTAGTTGATTTACCTCCTCAAGCTAGAAAAGCAAAGTTGTATATACGTGTAAAACAAGGGGGTAGTTCAGGAGACTTTGAGGTTACTTGGACTTTATCTACAAAAGTTGATATGATTAAATTCTCTGGTCATCCATACGCTTAAAATGCTTGGAGCATCTCTAATGATAACTGTTCGATAAGACTTGATGAGAAAAGAATTATTGCAGTTAGTAGAAGCGGAAGTTTTCCTTCAGGATACTTTTCAGTTATAATTGAAGTTTTAGGTTATAAATGAATTAAAATAAGTTTATTGCAAAAATAATTGATTTTTTTAATATTGGTAAACCATTTTTTGTGACCTTAAAATTTGGAATAAAATCCATTGATTCAATGTTAATATCAAAGCAATATTTATCTCTTCTAATTTGTATCTATTCTACCAAAAAAGAGGCTTTATTAGAGAAAACTTTTATTAATTCTTCAACCCAAATTATGTTTATAAATAAAAATTATAAGATATTTAGGTAATGTGTAATTTAGTGATAGAGTATTTCAAAACTATCAAACTATCCGGAATAATTACTAATTGTCAATTTTAACTCAGAAAAGTTTTCTGCTTTTATCATAAAATGTATAGAATTTTCCTTATTATTATATTAGATATGTCAATTTAAAATTGATGTATCATATTGAGGAGCCCAGTCTGTGATCTCTCAATAAAGATTTTAATGATACCATAGCAAAAGAACACTTAGACCTATTATTTTACAAATTAACTTGATCCTGAAATCATGAAAGATATAGACAATAAACTAATCAAATGGAAACTACTAATCTTTCTGAATTCATATGTTTAGATATTGAAAAAGAATAAAAATGTGTTAAACTGGATGGATACAATCTATTCAGATTTCCTCTTACAAATATTGAAGATCATATATTAATCAAATAATCTTTTGGGTTCATCAATAATATCCAAATAGATCAAAAGTAAATTAGAAAAAATGTGATCTATATTATAATGAATATGATTATGTCAATAAATAAAGCTTAAAGATATAATATTCTTAACTTTAATTAGAATTTAATTATCATCCTATTTACAATTTCATAGGTTTAAAGAATTGAGAAGTAAATATGTATACTTTAAGTTACTTTAATTCGTAATACTAGTGCATCGTAATTTATGCTAAGATGACTGGATTAAGAAATGAAAATTTGTATGATTTATAAATTAAATATAAATCAATAATTTGAATAATGAAATTAGTATTTTTGTTTCTCTTAGCAAGCTTTTTAGTATTAGCTTAAGAGAATATTGATACAAATACTAATGGAGATGATGCTTTGGAAAATATAAAGAAATTAGAAGAATAAGAATCAGAAGCAATAACATCAACTGAGAATCTCAATCCATAAGATAATTCTAATGAGCAAAACAAAGCAAGTTAAAAAGAGGAATAGAAAGAATCAATAGATAGTGAAGAATTGGCTGATATTATTGAAGAAGCAGAAGAAACTATAATTGATTTACTCGAAGCATTGAGACCGCTGTTTGGGGTAATTAATACATTACTTAATATACTAGCTTAGATTTGGCGATTAAGACAGAGATAGTGATGGTTAGGTAGTTGAAGATCCAGCAGAACAAGTTAATGATGATGTGCAATAATAATAATAAAGTACAACCTAGGAAGATCCTAGTGAACAAATAGAATAACAGGTATAGACTGACCCCTTGATGCTGTAATGGGATCAATTAATGATTGATTTTGATCCTGAAGATTTACTTACTTTCGAATTACAATCCGGAGCTACAGAAGTATACAAAATTAATAACTAATTATAGATTCTGTGTGAAACAATCAAGAAACCAACTACTATAAGAGGGGCATACTTTATTCCTTAATTCAGGATTGATCAAAAGATCGATTTCTACATTAAGACCTCCAATAATACTTTGTTATATTCAAAGGAAAGAGTTCAAGAGGGCATTTTTAAAATCGATGTTCCTGAATAAGGAGAATATAAATTCATTTTCACAAACAAAAGAGTATTATTATACATTATATTTTAGACCAAAGAACCACTAACAATAACTTTTGCGATTGATGTTCACGATTCTCATCAAGAGTTCCTTAAATTGGCTGATTTAGATCCTCTGGCTCTTAGAATAGAAAGGTTATCCACTGCTATGAGAGTAAACTTAATTTATATTAACAAGGATAATTATTTTTATGACAAGATGGCCGCATAATAATTTGAAGGAGGTTTGAGAGAGGTTGAAAATGCTAACAATAAATTATTGCTCTTCAGTCTGATTGAAGTCATTGGTATTATTGCTATTACGGGATGGTAAGTCTTTTACATGAAAAGAATTTTGAGTAATTAGAGAATGATATGATTATATATATCTGTTGTATTGAACTTTAAATTGAATATATATATTCTAATGAAATATCCTTTTAAATCAATAGAATTTGTATAAACATATTTTAGGTTATCATTACTATCATCAATTAGAATCTTTTTTGAAAGATTGCATCTTTTAATAGTTATTAATTTGTTAATCCACATTATAATGAGGGAAATAATCCTCAAATGAATTGATTTTCTCGAAAAATTCCAAGAAATTGTTCTCGATTGATATTACTCTATTAAAGTTATCTTGAACCTCAACGTGACTGTTAATCATTGTTTGATTCTTCCTTTAATCTCTATTTTTAAGTTCAGATTGTACATCAGTTTGATATCGTTAAAATTACTATTATTCATCCTTCTATAATGCATTTTTATTAAACCTTTTCTTCGTTTGTAAGACACTGTCTTGTACTCTTTGTAAAGCTTTGTTATTCACTTAAGCTCCATGATCTTCTGTTTAATCGAGCCTTTAGAATTTGGATTGTGCAATTTCTTTGATTTCATTAACGAAGATTTTTCTGCTACTTATGCTGCTACTCACTCCTTGAGATTGGATGAAGAATTCTGAATCCACTTTCTTCGACTATAAGGTTTATCCACTATGCGAGTAGTTAATGTAAGGAACAGAACTTATTTCTAATTAATTCATGAAATTATTATTGTTCTAGCTTTGTAATGAGTTGGAAGAGGGTAAAACCTTTTAGAATGATTCAACTTTATCATATTCTTCTGAGTTTAAAGATTCAGAATCCTCCTTTACATCGATTTATACTTAAGCCAGAAGTCTTTTCTTCTTTGTATTTGCTTACTAATTAAATAATAAAAGATAGTTACTCTTTTAAAATCAATAATTCTATTCTAATCTTTATTTAAGATGTAATTATGTATGACTTAGACTGTATTGGGCTTGTAATTGACGATAGGACACTCTGTTATATCATGTTCCTTAAAACAACTAAAACATTAAATATTTATTAGGTGAGATTGATTTTCAATCATAAGGGTGTCAATAAGCATTCGATACTTTTAGAATTCTCGAGGAAACTATCGGATCAAATTCTAGAATTTATTAGAATCTAGAGTAGCTATTTTTGAATACCCAATACTCTTAAATTCAATTCCCTATATTTGATTCTTAAAAAAAGCAATGTTATTGAAGATCTAAAATGCATCTTAAATTTTAACCAATTTAAATTCTTTCTAAGATGTTTAACATTTTTAAACTATTCCAATTTATCCTTCCAAAAGAAAATGAAGGCATTGTTGCTATTGAATCACATCGTTTGGTTATAAAATGTCCTCCTCAATGATTTCGCACAAACTCAATAAGGTGGAATGAGAAAATGACTTTTTAAAAATAGGAATGCTCTATAGTATCTTAAAGTACTTTTCTCTCTTCATCTATTATTGTAAATGTATTGGTAAACCTTTCATGTTGAACTTGTTAGATCCATTATCCTACTAATAATTAACTATAGACTTCAAAGTCTTAGGAGCATAATTAATTTACTCATCCAATGAAAGGGAGTGATAGTTTATTATCTATCGAATTTTGTGCAGATAAAAAATCAATAAGAGAGTTCTAATCAAGTATACAATAAAATAATATTGCTTTATTATTATGGGGTTCTGAAACAATACAGCAAATATGCTTTGAATATAGTTGATGTAGTCTTATTGTTGTTCGGCAAGCATGTATAAAATTGTTTAGGCAATAAATGTAGCAAAATGAAGTTGAATGGTTGTCTATATTATAAACACCTAATCTGATTAATTAATATATAAAATTAAGTTTTGAATGTAATCAGTAATTTTTTAGATTCTTAATAGATACATCATGTAAAATACTTTCTATGCATCACCTATATCCATTAAAAAAGCAAAAAAAGGTAGCATAGTTACTACGTCTGCAAACATGCTCCATAGGCAAAATTTATTGATTATTATTCGATAAGTACACTCAAGTAATTAAAAGATGATCAACAAATAATGGAAAATCTATTAATTGCAAATTTTTAATTAATTACAGCCCAATTCAATTAATAGGATGGTCAAATAAAATATTAAAAAGCATATGTAGAAACTATAAATTACCTGTTTAGTGATTGAATCCTATTTTAGGCGATTTAGAATTTATCGTTTTAATGGAATGATATAGGCTGAAGATAAGTCATGAATAATGTTGAATTGCTACTTTGTTAATATTTGTTGTCTGAACAGATTTGATCTTGATAAGTACAACAACTTTAATGATGAATGAAGCTTATTCGATTTATTTTAATGGGATTTTTGATACAGTAATTCGTAATCATTTGATTTTTTAATTATACTTTGTGAGTCTTCTTTGTTGTTTGGTTCTTCATTGATAAGGAGTAAATCTTTATGATTATTAGGAGATATTCTATCTGAGGCTAACTATACACTGATCTGAGTTACAGTAGGGGATTTTTGATTAGTAATTTTAATTTAATTGTTGTCAATTTAGGCTTTACGACTCTCTTGGGAAGGATTGCGCACTCTCATTTATTACTGGTTAATTTGAGTCATAATTTGTATGATTGGCTTACGAAATGAGTCTTCGTTTGGAGGAGTGGTGGTTGAATTTTAAATCATTAATTATTATATTGAAAAATGATTCATCTTTTTGTTTATTTAAGAATTTCTTGAAATAGTTTCACAATAGACTTGATGAATTGAAACAGCATCAATTTTTTTCCATAAAGTCAATATGAAAAATCACATACAGCTGTTAAATATTCAGCAAATCAATACATTTATTTAATTGAAAAAGTTCAGCAATATGCTTTTTTATATTATATTCTGAGCTAAAAAATCATGAAACTTGATTTGTTGCCATCTATTAAGTCGTTTCATCATCAAATTTTTAGATAAAAACTTTATTAAATCTTGACAGTTATGAGATATATATATACTAAAGAAATTTGTGAAATTAATGCTGCAATCTCATTCTCATGATATTCATTCATACCATTTTCTTACTTTTGAAATCATAAGTTATATTGAATGAAATTAATTCTCTAATTTATTAACATTTTTAAGAATGCTTTTTATTTTGGTGGTATTTTTAATATATTTCATATTTTATATTTTAGAATTATCAGCCTTGGAGAAAGCAGTATTTAAGTGAGAATTCCTGAATTAATTAAGAAAAAATCATTTTCAAATGATCATCAGGAACTCAAAATTTATACTACTCTTTACAATAAATTAATTTTACATTAGATTTTCATCTATTTTCAACATCAAGACAATTAATATTGTAATCATAATTTTAGGATTAACAATTATAAATAATTTCTCACAGATGTTTATATAAATTTTATAATTAATATTATATTATCTGGTATTCGACGCCGATGAAGCCATGTAATCGAACAACATCGGGCTTTTTGAATCCAAATTTCTTTAGCACTTGCGAGAAATTATTTGATTGATCAAACAAACTCAAATATCAGCAACAAGTGCAGAAACAATTAAATTGTTAATTCGATTCTTTCATCCCAACTAGTCATCGAACTACTAGCTAAGACATATAGAATCTAATGGTTTCGGTATACACGTGAGGTAAGTGAGATATATCACAACCATGTTCACTTTGTAGTACCGAAAACCTTAAATTAATTATTTAATTAATGAAAAAATATTTAATTTAATTGGTTATATATTAGTGGTTGTCATTCTTAAGACATTAAATAACAGGATATATAATATTAAGTTACTAAATATACAATTTATGATATATAATATTATTTATTTCAAAAATTTCTTTTTTTAAAAAACTTATTATATTATTATCCAAAAGTATATGGTTTCTCATATCTCCTCTCTTCTAGACTTTCATTTGGATTGGCCCTTTGTCCATCAGATGATTTCATAATTCTTGATGGTATTCTGCTTCCAGGGGATTTTGATTATGGTCTTTGATAACTTTTCGTCGTAGGTCTTTCAATAGAGCTATTGTGCGTGAAATTGGATGTATTTTAGTAGAAGGTCACTTTGGAGTTACCAAAAGATTAGTTATTTTAGCTCAAATAATATGGAGATTTATAAGTTGATGACAATTGAGTAAGTTGTTGAACCTTTGAATGTTGGCTTTTTTCGATAACAGAAGTGTTATTAATACCTTTGACACTAGTTTTCCTAGAACTCACAGTTCGTTTTCTACAAGATGAAGGATTCGAAAGGATTTCTTTGTCTTAAGTCAGAAAGGTTTGCTTTCTAAGTTGGAGATGACATTAGCAAGAACAACCTACGGCACAATTTTGCTAGATTTGTAAATAATCGCATATTTCTCCCATGATGGCACTAATATAAGGTTCATTATATTTCTAGTGTTCCATTTGATTCAATTTCATAAGAGTCTGATTAATGGAAAACAATTACTTCTTCTACAACCCTTTTGAATTGTTTCTCATCTGCTAGTTCATTCTTGTAGAACTTAATTATTCTCCTCTATAAAATTTTGAGCAAAGAAGTAATCAACTTATTATACTAACCCTCTAGCTATCGAGTAGCAAATCCAGAATAGACTGACATTAAGTAATATGAAAAAATTACAATATTATAATATTTCACTTTTATTTTAAAATGTTTCCTTTATTTCTCAGTAACGATTGAATGGTCTCGAACTTAAATGGAAAACCTATATTACTAAGATTGATTACATGGCTATTATTATTATTCTGTATTTGTTCTGGGACGATTCTAAGGTGTTTTATTTAAATGGCCTTGTTACTATTTTAGTTTTTAAGAATTAATATAAGAAGAATCTGGAGATCGGTTATTTACTCTATAACTAATAGGAGTGTGCGAGTTCTGTTTCTCGATTGCAGTCTGTCTTTCAGTTCTACAAACATCAGAAAGTAAGGATTTCAGTTAACTGCTGTTATTAGTGGGACTTTATTATTAAGTGGGATTTGACCTGAGATTAGGATTATTCTTATGAGGTTGCAATTAGATAGTCATGGTGCTATTAATGAAGTCTTAGGTGGAATTGATATTGCTATTACTAGTATTACAGGGATTAGACTATTTCTTAAGATAAACACTGAAATCGAATTATTACTTGAGATTACTTTTTTAATTTGTGGGCGAGTAATCAGATCCTCTCTTTTGACTAATCATCTATTCAATTAAATCAGCTTAATTCTTAATAATACTCTTAATTTGTGATTGCTATTGTGTTTTTGGAGGAGATCTGGAATTCAAAAATGTAGTAATGAAATTATTAGTTAATTTTGGAGATTAATCCTGTTTAGCATTTTACTTATAGTTATTGTTGATTGGGATTTATATCTTTTAATTATGTTTCTAAGTTGAATTAGTTGTTTCTGAATTTTACAAAAAAGTAGGTAACTTATCAGAAGTGCTGGATAATATGGACTCTTCTTTTATTACATCTAAATTTATATTATAATGTTTGTGATAACTAGTTATTAGATGACTGATGTAAGGAGATTAGGTAGTAATATGTCGACAGGCTATTTCAATTGCTTTTAAGTGGTACATTTCACTTAATTTAAACTCTTCAGTATCTATTTTGTCTTCCTTCACACCTATTTACTTGGCTTTTTCTAGCTCCATGAATCTTAATTCAGTTGCTATGGTAAAGTAGGAGATAGAAAAGTAGATTACTTTTTCTAGCATTTGTCTTTTAGCTAATTCATAAATCATCTCGCCAAACTGAGTGAAATCATCATAAACTTATGGTTCCATATGCATGATAGATCCAATATTGAAACTCTTGATCCACTCAGCCAAATTCTAAATCCCTAATAATGATCGATATTCCTCATTTTGAGATACTAATTTTAATTCTTTTCTCAAATGCTTCTCATTATTTTCTGGATTATTTCTCCAAAAATATAATTACTTTTTAGCTTCTTTCAGTAACTGCTTCTCATTCACTGGTATTTTTTCGAGATCTACTTATCTTATCATATCCTTCAATATATCTTTTGCTCCATCAATCACCAACCTACCAAATTCAATTTCATCCTTCATCTAGTACTTCTGTGTTTTCTTCTATTTATCTTAATCTTGTTATTGCTATTCTTATTGATTGCTTCTGACTGAAATATTTGATTGAGAAGTAGTGGCAGTTCCTAAAGATCCGTTGTTCTACGACCACTATTAACAGAAGTGATTCGCTATTTTGAATAACTCCCTCATTGTAGTTGCTGCCTTTTATGAATTGAGAAGTGCCTTATTATGCCTAAGATTTATCAGTTTTGAATTACTTTCCCATTTAACTTAAAATTGCTGTATATTGCAAATAAGCTTTAGCTAGAAAGGTTTATCTCTTCACTAACTGTGCTTACTTCTCTTGAGCAGTTGCAAAGTTCTCTAAATCTTGCTCGTCCTCCTTAATGGCTAATTCCATGTTATAGATAACACCATCCAAATATTTAGAACATTTATCTAAAACCCATTAGCTTGAAATAAAAGCATGCATTACCATTAATAAACACAAGCTTAATTATATAGAATTATTATTATAAGGTTTCTATCAATAACTCTGCCACAACTTGCTGCAAACTAAGATTATTGAGATCTATCATACTTCTAACATCTATTCGGATTATTATAGCAATTTCAAAGCCTCTTTGTATTTCTGCTATTTAATTTTCACAGTTGCCTATTCATTCAATAAATTGATCTGTTACATTAAAGAATCTAAAACTTATTGAGTTTTTGTGAAATACCTGAGTTCTTTAATAGTTACTTTAGGTTTTATTGTTTGGTGTATTATTCTAAATCTTCATCTTCCTCTTGCTCATATGATTCATCCTCTATTCCCATGGAGTTATTTGAAATTGTTTGTTAATTATTCATTTTATAAAATAATATTTGATCAAAAGAGTTATTATTATAAAATAAATTAAACATGCAATCTCCTCTTAGATTATATTCTGCCTAAAGAACATTCACTTGTAGGAATATGGAGACCAAACCTTCTTTTTTCATTTCTAAAAGTATGATCATCAATCACTATCCTTAAAGAAGCCAAATAATCAAAGAAACAAAAAGAAATCGACAATCTCAATGAATAATTATTAATGGTCAAACAATCCAACAATATATTATATGAAGAGAACAAACAATTAAAACAACAAATATTGCACTTTGAGGTTATCATACATTCTTACCTAGAAATAATTAAATAAACAAGAAAAGTTACTCATTTTGAATAAACAGTCAAAGGCCGAATCTAAACATAGCGACATAGATTTACAAATAAGAATGAAAACAGAAGAAGTACAATAATTGTTATACAAGACATGTTCCGTTATTGCATATCAAAAATAAATCAAAGATTTTAAGGCTAGAGACTAATATTATCAGTAGCAAATCGAGGAATTAAAAAGAGACACTAGAAGAACAAAACTACAAGAATGTTAGGTTAAGTATTATACTTATTGTTTAAGATAGAATGCAAGGTTATCAAAGAAGAATATGATAAATTGAAATTTAAATATCAGGCATTAATGCATTAAATGTAATTTCTACTTTTACATTTCTTAGTTAATTTAGTCAAAAAGACGAATTATTGAGAGATAACATTAAAATTAGTTAAGAATTACTCATTACTTAATAAAAACTTTAAGAATTATAATTACAGAATAAGAAAATTCAGCAGGACTTACACTAATCTGATTTTAAAAGGATACGGAGTGAAAAGTTAGTTTTTGACAAAGAAAAAGAGTTGAAATTAATATAGTTTGAATATAGTAATCCAAAAAAAACAATAAATGATTTAAATCGATAATGGTAGATTAGATTAGAAAACCAAAAGTTAATATAACAGCAACTTGAAGATGAATTGAGATTAAGAAATGAAAAAATCAACCTCTTAGAAAAGACATTAAAAGAAGACAAGGCTGCCTATCAACTTAAAGAGGCCTTTTATAAGAGGGAAATTGATAGTTTGAATATTCAAATTGGATAATTAAAAGAAACTATTTAGCATTTAGAAAAGGAGTAGATGGTTGAACAGAGTTCTGATGAATAAGAGTCCAAATCTGAAAAATCGGTCAGATAGACATCCCAATCTTATCAAAGACAAAAAACTTAACTGTTAATGAGTAGAAAAAAGATACAAAAAGTTAATTCATCTGAAGTAGAGATCATTGGAAAAGAGATAGCATTGAAATTCTAACTAGCTTAAATACCATTCTCTAGATTAGACTCTTACATTTATTCTAAGTCATCGAGAGGTATAATCAATCTAAATGAAATCAATGAAATTCTTAAGCAATCTCCATTTGATTTGCCTGATGATCAATCCTTATTAGTGGCAAGGTTTCTCGCAGAACCTGAACAAGAGGAATGGATCTATTATGATAGTTATCAAACAAACGATGTTGTAATTGTTATCAGTATCTTCCGAAATCTGGTTAAACCTTTTGATTTGATCAATCCTCAGCTGTACGACACCATACATCAAGAATTAAAATAGATTTTCAGACTCAACAAGAATAAGTTAATTGACTATCTCATGTTAAATGGTGATAACTGCGATCTAACTTACTTTAAGAAAGCATTTGAATATTGTGATATTCCATTAAGTTAAGAGTATAACTATTATTTAATCTTAGACAAGAAACATATATTGCTATAAAAATGTATGAGAAGTATAGGAGAATTGTTAATTTGAAATACTAAGAAATAATTGATTACTTCAAATGATAATATAATGTAATTCAAAAGATCAAACAATTTATACAGGTTTCTGATGAACTCTCCTTTCTTTTATTCTTTATTTCCTCTTATTTCAATGGGTTTTGATATTTTCCTCTCTTTATTTCATAATGCTCATCTTCTTCGTAATCTTAAGATGCAGAGGATAGATTTTACATAGATTTGGTTCCTAAATATAGAGTTATTTAATTACTATCCATGATAAATATTGAATCATTCTTGGATTTGATTATCTCAAAGAGTTTATCTCGAAGATCATCCAATAGATTGGCAATTTCTGAATATTATGAAATTTATTCATGTAGTTTAATAAATTTGGAATCATTTATGATGTCAGAGAATGATTATTATAATCTATTAAATCTTTCATTATTAAATGATTTTAATTATTAAAACTAATATTACAGATTTTCCACTTCATTATGATAAATTTAATGCAATCTGAAAATGCAAATTCCTTCAAACTCACTTCCATCGTAGTTTTTCACATCATTTATTTCTATAAGTTCTGTAAGTTAATTAAGTTTAAGAAGTATTTTCTTTTGTAAAGTAGCTGCACTCCTATTATAATTAATTTGAAATACTCTTTGCTTTCCTGTTGAATCAGCATATGACTCTTCTTTAAATTGGAGGGTCCTGAAATAATTTATATGTCCATTGTTATCTTAAGATCCTACATTATTTTGTTTATTTATTTGAGCTACAAGTTAAAATAGAAATTACCTCAAGTATTTTACTGCAATAGTTCTTCATGATCTTTTCATCTACATTGTTAAATTGTTGTTTTATGAGATTAACTTTTTCCTAAATTTACACTAAACAGTTATAATACATCTAGTTAGTCCTTCAAATTTGGATAGATCGGTCTAGATTCCTTTTTGAATGCTTGAACATTATCTAACAAAGTTTCAATGTCTTGTTTAAGTTTAAGAAGCATGAGTAATTTTAATAATAATAAATTATCTTTAATTTTCAATATTTTAAGAGTGTTGAATTCTTTCACACTTGAAAGGAATCCTAAAATGATACTAGAGCATAATAATAATATTCTATAAATTAAATGATTTTCATAATAAAAGAATATCTTTTTCTGACACTTTCACTTTCGTATTGTTAGCAGACAATTAAACAATTAAGTATCCAGATTTTATTTAAACAATTTGTCCTCGATATCCCTACCATTATCCTATTTTTAGTTGACAAATTTATCCAGTCAAACACATCTAGTCATTCTATTTTGGTTTGTTTTGCTTACTAAATACCATTTTACAATTATTTGCACTCTCAAGAATAATTTGGTAAGGAAACAAATGATTAAATAAATATAGTTTACCATTTATACAATGTTTGACTAATCCAAATTTATTAGCATACTAGCCTGATATGATTATTACATTATCATTAATTCTGAATGTTTCACCTTATTCATTCATTTCAACTCCATTTATTGTGAGAATTTCTAGTTTCTCATTTCTTATTTCTTAAACCTCATTATTGATATCCAAAACAACAGCAGATTACAACTTTTATTGAATAACACAACCAATTTAAAAGTCATTGTTCCCAAATTTGACTAAAGAATTATCAGTTTAAAAATTCTTATATCCAAATTATAATACACTGTGAGGTACTTTGAAAGTGCCATGCTAATTTGAAAGCACAACATAACCTTATTTGATACATATAATAACACCTACATCTCCTTTGTGAGGACCATCTATAACTTTTGCTTCCTAATATAATTTAAAAGCTAATCGGATTTCCGATGCATGAACTAGATATGTGTATTCTCGGTTATCTTTCTTACACATAAGTTCTATCATTTGATCATCAAATATTTTCATTATTTTGAACTTAGGACCTTTATTGAGATCATCTTCCCCTATTAATCTGACTTTTTGTCCTTCCTTAAATTGTACATCCACTCTTCTAAGTATTTCTCTTTTAGCCTATTAGACAAGAATCTTTCGATCAACCACATCTGGGAAAAACATTTGTAATTCCTCATCAGTTATTGTAATATTATGTTCAATATTTTTAAGTGGACACCTTAATAGATTGAACCCATCAATTTTAGCACACTTGTATTCTTTTTCAATATCAGAATAAATGAATTCAGATTGATTAGTAGTTTCAATCTGATTAGTTTATTGTCTAGTTCTTTACCATGAAATTGGTTCTTTTTGACCTTACTTATTTCTCTTTATCACTTTTATTATAGCAAAGTTTTATATTAAATTCACTCTTAATACTTTTCCTAAATCTTTCCCATAGTTTTTATGATTTTTAAATCTTACCCATTAGCCAACTTAAATATTGTTATTTTTTTTTATTTCTAATAAACTATCACAATCTTCAGGTTAAATATATATAGGTTATCCATACATTATGGACCTCATGAATTCCTTAACATCATTTTCGAAGAAAGATTCAAAAAAAATAAAACCTTTAACATTTGGAGTATAAAATACAGATACAATCGGACTATTTTTTGGCAATAAATTTGAGATTTCTAGTATTCTTTATACTTCCAAAATCGATCTACCACATTTGAACCTCCAAACTTTTGGATCATTTAACTTAGGTCCTCCTTTTAATGTATCATCATCATCATCATCATCTTAATCCTCATCATCTTAATCATTCACATTACTACTGTAATCACTGTTATTTTGAGTCTCATCTATAGCATCTTATTCCATTAGTTCTTGAAGTCTTTTATTCAATCTTTCCTTAGCTTATGCTCTCCTACTCTGAATTTCCTTCAATTATCTTTCAGCTTCCTTTCTATTTATCTCAAATTTTGGATCATCCTCTTCTTCACTACTATAACCTTCAGAGGCTTCTTGTTCTATAAACTAACATTTGGTTCTCTTTCTCATTTTAAAATTTAATAACTAATATTCTAGTCATTTTTTATTTAAATACATAATATAAAATTTAACTTTTATCATTGTAATGAATTAAATTTCTATTGCTTAATTACTTTTCCTTATTTATCAACTAACTATTTGCTAACAATCTAATCATTTTCTTCATCCATCAAAAAATCGTCATTAACTTCTTTGTGAGTCTCCTCAATCATTCTATATTTTTTCAACTCCTTTTATTTGAACTATGTTAATATTCATAATCATTTACATTCTTTTTGCTTTTATCTATTAAAAGTTCTTATTATTCTTTTGCATGTTCATTCAAATTCTTACCAAATAATGAAATATATTTTTAATCCTTAGGATAATATTTGACATAATTAATCTTCTCTTGTATTTCAGATTCCTACTCCAACAATGGTTCTCTATTTTCTGTAGTTTCTAGCTCTTTTTGAATCTTCTCTAACAGTCTCTTCAACTTTTTCAAATCCACTTATTTTATTTTCTTATATTTTCTGGCAAAATAATCAATTTTTTTCTATTGCTACTTGTATTCATTCTATTTTTAATTTAATTGTTTTTATTTGGCCTCTAGATCTTATTGTTTTGCCTATTTTATTTCTTCATTTAAATGACCCTTAATTTAATTAATTAATATACTTTATCTATCAACCTTTGAAGATCTCTTATTTATTTTTTTAATTTCTTACAACTCTCCCCTTCCTTTTGATTTGTTTTTGATCTTTTGAGTTGATGAAATTTATTTAAAGGCAGCTCATTTCTCCTTTTATAAATTTTCTTATGAGTTTCCATAAATTATTTTTATATTATAAATAAATTAAAATCAGCTCCTTTTAAAAAAATGATAATCAGGTTGTGCCGAGTATGGACCTGTATAAGGTTTCATAATCATTGAAGATTCATACGGATCTGACATAAATGAGTTATAAAATAGATTTTTTGTAGTTTCTATTTATTCTGGAACCAGTCTTGAAGAAAATCTAAAGAATATAGTCAATTCAATACCTTAAATAATGCTATAATTTTGGAATGTGGTAGGGAGTGAATTTATTATATGTCTTTAAAGAAAAGTCGACCCCAACCTAATCTGAATAATAATTATAAAACTAAAGTTTATAATTAGGAGTTGGCTTAGTATTCCAAAGCATTAAAATTGTTTAATTTTTTTATTATTCCTCAGATTCTTAATCCTTCTTTGAATTTTGGTCTGAGCCCTCAATTTTAGGGTCTTGTGACTAAAATGAAAATAATTTAAATGGTTAATTAGCCATATATATTAATTAATAAAATAAATAATAATTGATAATCTTATTGGAACAAAAGAAAATATTAGTCATCTTATATATGCATTTTCATTTCGATATAAAATTAATCAATACTTTTGTTCATTTATAGGCTAAAACTTCTGCTTCAAGTGAAAAATTTTAAGAAGAAGGAAAATTGCCACTTCTACTTATTTGAATAATCTTTGTTTCATCTAGCGTAATCGAACAATTTTCACTATATAAAGATAGAGCATCTTGACCATATGGCTGCATTTTAATTTTGATAATATCAACTTTTGTAGATAAAGTCCAAGTAACTTTTCCATCTGTTTAGCAAGTTCCAGATTATAGGTATATATGCAGCTTTACTTTTCTGGTTTATGGAGGTAAATCAATTAAGGAAATTTTTGATGTATCAGCTTTTATATTAATATAAAAAGAGTTTTTTAGCAAATTCCATCCATATTAATTTTACATTATTTAAATAAAATTATGCAAATTCTATTATTCTTTATTAGATTTATTTAAAAAAATAAAATTATACAATTCAGAATAACCATTAATTCTATATATATAAGATAGAAATTTTAATTTTCAAGCATTATATATTCTCTGATTGATCAAATTTTAATGAAAATACATGACTATTTATTCAACTCTAAACTACAACAATTAATACTTTAAGCTCTTCTATTAAAGAAATTATTTTTTCTATCTTGTTGCCATCATTTTCTTAATTAAGTTTAAAGACTCCTTGAGAATATTATCAATCTTAAATGAGGACGATCATTAATATCAATTTCTATTATATTTAAAAGATATATTAGTAGGGCATGTCTAAATTTATTGTCTGAATTCAGAATTTCAATTAATTTGCTGGATTGCTTTACAAACATTTAACAATTAATTTTTACTCACTATTATTATTTAAAACTTGTGATTATAATTAGTATTTGGTTCTCAATTTCATTTATTTATCTATCAAAGCTGCCTTCAAAAATGATTAAGTAATTCGAATGTAAAATCATTTATTTAAAAATCTGCTCAAGCAATAAAAGGAACTATATTTCATGATAGAAAATAATGATTTATATTATGAGTCTTTTAATAACAATTCTTATCAATTTTATTTAATTTCAATATATATACACAATTAATTAAATAATGACAACCAATTTCCTTGTATATATATATATCTACTATTGGTTATTCTGAATTCTATCATTTTATTTGTTATTTGAATCTAATAAAGAATATATGATTTTTACATTATTTAATTTAGATAATGATAAATCAATATGGATGGAACTTGCTGCAACACCCTATAGTTCTTCAGGTTGAAGAGAACACAACATCATTTTCCTTAGTTGATTTACCTATTCAAGCTAGAAAAGCAAAGCTGCATATATGTCTATAGTCTGGGAGTTGTTAAGGAGAATCAGTTGTTACTTGGACTTTATCTACAAAAGTTGATATGATCAAAATCTCTAGTCATCCATACACTTAAAATGCTTGGAACAGCTATAGTGAAAATTGTGCAATAAGGCTTGATGAGAAAAAAAATATTGAAATAAGCAGAAGCGGAAGTTTTCCTTAAGGATACTTTTCAATTGTAATTGAAGTTTTAGGTTATAAATGAATTAGTTTAAGTATATTGAAAAAATAATTTATTTTTTTAATTTTGTGAAACCATATTTAGTGACTTTTAAGATTTTGTATAAAACCTATTAATTTAAATAAGCTTATTAATTATGATAACAACAAAAACATTTTATCTCTTCTAATTTTTATTTGATTCTAATAAATTTAAACTAGTAGTTTTTATAGAGAAATTCTTTATTATTAAAATTAATATTTTTAACCCCAAAGGTGAAGACATGGATGTAAATAATCAGTAAAATCAAGCATGGAAAAGGTATTAATGAATATTAAAAAGGTAATTAAATTATAAAATGGTGATAATAGAGGGTATTTGGGATTAGAATTAGCTTCAATTGGGTATATTTTAAGGGAAAATGAATAATAAAAAACTTAACAGATTAGGTTTACAAAGAAATTCATTTGAATATGAATAAAATTTCATTACATTCCTTTTTTATAGAGTGAAAGCACATTATATGGATGACAAAATTTAAAGAGAAGGACTTCTTACTACAAAGAAAGAAGATTAGTATTATTATAATATTATATTAGATATAAAGGTGAATTTTATGAAAATTAAAAGCGTGGTCATGGAGAATTTCAGACAATAAAAGGAGATAGGTAAATCTTTCTATAATTTAGATATGAAGGAGAATTTTAAAAAGATAAAAAATAAGGAAGAGGTACTTATTACTTTCCTAATGATGATAATTAATTTCATTCCTTGTAATTTTTAATTTCATCTTTTGCATATTAATTCAATTAAAATAATTGATAAAATCTTTTGATGTAGTTTTCAACTATTCTTTTGAACAGATATTATCTTTGAAAATAATACTAATCTTCTTTCTTTGTAGTAAGAAGTCCTTCTCTTTAAATTTTATCATCCATAAAATGTGCTTTAACTCTATAAAAATGAATTAAAATTTACTCATATTCAAATGAAATTTTTTTAAATCCAAATCCATTAAGTTTTTTATTATTCATTTTACCCTAAAATATACAGCATTCAGAATTTTCATTAAATGTTGTTTTTTAACCCCATTGCAATTAATCTTACTATTAAACCTCATTTTTTTACCAGTTTTGATACAAATTAGATGAAATAAAATTGTTTTTGATGCTATCCTAAGTAATAAGCTAATTTAACTAAATGGGCTTAATTCCAAAACTTAAAGTACCTCACTTTAGATTCACAATTAATAAAAATCAATTATTTTATGCAATATACTTAAATTAATTCATTTATATCCTAAAGCTTCAATTACGATTGAAAAGCTGCCTGATGGAAAATTTCCCTGTCTACTTATTTCAATAATTTTTTCTCATCAAGCCTTATGGCAATATTTTCACTATTAACTGACCATGCATTTTAAGCACATGGTAAACCAGAAATTTTGATCATTTCTACTTTTGTGGAAAAAATCCAAGTAACAGTTGAATCTCCTTAACAATGTCCAGACTAGAGACATATATAGAGCTTTGCTTTTCTAGCTTGAGGAGGTAAATCAACTAAAGAAAATGATGTTGTGTTTGCTTGAATTTAAAGTACTATAGGGTGCTGGAGCAAATTCCATCCATATTGATTTAACATTATTTAAATAAAATAATGAATATTCTTTATTAGATTCAAATACCAAATAAAATGATAGAATTCTGAATAAACAAAAATAAATAGTTCCATAATATGATAGGAATTTTAATTTAAAGAATTACTTATATTAAAAAATCATATTAATATAATACTAATTGATTTTTAGGTTATCTTTTATTTTATTTCAACTCTGTCATGCAATATATTTCCTTATATTCGTTATTATAAAATTAAAATAAGGAGGTATCATATAGAAATTCAAATTTTGATATCAAAAAAATACTGAAAATCTAGAGATCCATTTGAAAGTAACAATATGTCTGTAATCTTTCGCTTGTCAATTCTTAAAAGAGGATCAGAATGAATATAAATGAAGGTCACTTTAGGTTTTTATAAAAGTTAATTATAATATTAATAGGCATGGGATTTTTGATTAATATATATTTGTGAATTATTCGAGGATTGTGTAGAGTTGATGAATCTTAAAGTAGGATGTCTAAAAGTAGTAATAGAATGAATGATTGTTTGTGATAATATATATGCATCAGTTATTAATTTAAATAATATGCAAGCATAAGCAAATGTTTATTAGTTTGAAGCTGAGCCACAAGTATCTCACCCAAAATACCGCGATTAAGAATTATATGAGGAACTCACAGACCTGCCTGATGATGAATCTAGGATAAAACCAGATTATTATATTGATCGACCTGTATGTGTAACTTAATAGTCAAGCCAACTCCGGAATATAAGCCTTTGCCTAAGGGAAGAGATGTGGAAACTCAGATTGAATCCTATGAGCCTGATTTGTTTGATTACATTTTAGAGGTGGAGCCGGTCTTATAAGTTTTAGTGGGCAAATCAGTAGAATAGGCGAGGATGGAATTGATTGAAGAATTAGAAAGGCAGGAGTTGTAGATATAGAAAGCAGCCTTTGAAAAAAAGCGAAATGCTGAATTAATGGTAACTTAGAGAATGGAAGCAGCATATGTTAGAAGAAAAGAGGAAAGAGTATATAATTATAATGATAATTTTCTTAGGAAAGGAGAGTGTTACAACACAAATTGCATTAGGATTAGATGAAACTGTCATAATAAAAATTCATAGCAAGAACCCTATCCAAGAATGTGGTGAAGGGTGTGAATTATAGAATTCTCAAGGATCTTGAAAATTTGGGATTATTGAAGAATGATTATTTATTAGAATTAAAAGTTCACTCGTTGCCATGGTTAATTCAGAGAATCAAGTAAAATTGTGATAGCAATTAAAATTGTCTTGATAATATCAATCATCTCTTGGAAGAAGTTCAAAACCCAATTACATAATAACATTCAAGTTTTTATCAGCAAGAATAACAAAGAAGAAAAGCAATATTGGATGAGAGAGAAAGGATCAGAATTGAAATTGAAGAGCGTAAGAAGAGAAAGGCTGAAATCAAAAGGAGAAGAGCATTAAAAGAAAAAAGAGAAATATAGAGAGGGGCAATTTATAATCTCACACTCTCTAAAGCCGAATCCCTCAATTCAATATTTTAGGCCAACATCTAGGAAGGTACCACAGAAGTAGGATAAAAGGGAGTTGTTTTACACTTGGATCTCTTTCTTCTATTGGCAGAAGGATTAGATTTAATTACTGGAGATTAATTGGATTAAATAGACGAATCAATCATTTAAACTATTTGGATGGATATCTTAATGAATAAGTGTAATGCATTCAATATCACTGTAAATTCTTCCCTTTAACAAATCATACAAGAAGCATTTGCAAAAATGGAAGAAGATTTATACATATTTGAGAAAAATTCTAAATAAGCAACAATTGATCAACTTAAAAATTAAACTCCATTTTGGGCATCCTATGTTTCTTAATAATATGTACCCAACATTAGAAAGATCATATTGAATAAAATATTGGATGGATTCTTTGATATTTATTTTAAATCTGTGAATTATAAGGAACCTAAACCAAAAACAGAACTTAAAATAAAGACTGAAGAAGCTGACCAATAGTAATAATAAAATGACTAACCTCCTCCTTAATAACCAGAAGATTAATAGTAATAATAATAACCAGAATAAGTTGAATAACAGCCAATAGAAGATGAATATCAAAAACCTGAAATTACATAGCATGATTTAGATATGGTGGAAGCAAGAAAGAAAATTAATCTCATCTTTAAATAACCGCAAAATTAGCTTGAGAATGTCACTGCAGTAGTCAATTTACTTGTGCCTTGTTTTGTTGAAGAGTAACCTGAGTAATAATAAGATCAAGTCAATCCTGATTCTTAATAAGCATCGCAATAATAGACCACGGAATTGTAGTAGTAATAAGAAGTCACTGAACCTGTTAAACCTGTTGGAAAATGGGATTTTGATCCCAAGACAATAGATATTTATGATGGAGAGTAGCCATTGATTCAAGAAGGGGAAAGATAAGTTGTGGATTGCTTATTTTAATATGCCTTCTAAGAGTAGGTCATTGTGAATGATGAAAGGGCAGTTGAATTTTGTAGATTTTAAATTTATACTTATCTGAAGGAAAAGTATTTTATTCTATTTAATTCTAGATTGGAATCCTTTTTAAATGTTCCTGAATTTTAAAGTCTTTAATTTAAGAAGCTAAAATATTCCAATCTTAATGTCCCAATATATGATTTCGAATTATGAATGGCATTGGTTCCTTTATTATTAAAAATACAATAAGTTATCTTATATTATCAATAGTGTTATAAATATTTTTGTTAAAATCATAATTTCATATTATTTATAGATGCAATCCCTCTGAAGGTGGTGGTGGTGGAGTCCATTAATAAAGCGAAATTCTATCTGTTATATTAATCATTTTCATATATATTTTCCATAAAACAATATGAAGATTATTCTATGATTCTCATTCATTAAATTATAGATGATATATTTAATTGAATAAAATTATATGTAATCACAAACTAGGAGTGATTGATGATTATAAACCATAGATCAATTTTATAGTAATGATCAAAAAGAAGAAACCACATAATTTTATGATGATATCATTCACATATTAGGTAATAACAATAAAGTAATAGAATAGGTAATTTTCAATATGAATAATAGCTCATTTAAACTTAATTGAAAGAACAATATAAAATATTAAATGTAAATACTTTGGTGGGTTATATTAATAGTCGTCATTAGCTTAATAGTATTTTTTGTTGCAAAAGGGATAAGAAATTTATTAGGGTCAGGAAATTTATACAAAAAAGGACATTTGTAGAATCTCAAACATCATAATAATTTTTATAATAAGTCCAAATAAGAACCCTAATTAGTATATGGATTAGACGAAGCCAATTAGAAAACATAATCAGTTGCTTATAATTAATAAAATGAAGAAAGAGTCTTAAACAATAAAGCTGAATAAAGTTTTGAGAGTGAAGGTAAAAGAGAGATGGAATTTTTAAATTCAGATAGAAGTCAAAATCAAAAGCTTATTAAATAGAATATTCACCCTGGCGAAATTAAGAATGAAAACAATATCATTAATAATTATGATATGGATAAGTAAAATAATGATGGTAAATAATTTGAGGATTAGTAGAATTCAGGAAAAAATTAAGTTAACTCAGAAAATAATATTTAAATTATAGAGAATGAAATAAGCAAGTAATAGGATGTAGACAACAGAATTTTAAAAAGTGGTAGGGGAATATTGAGCAAATAGATATCGCAGAAAGAGTTTCAAGACTAAGAAATGCCATACAGCGAATCTAGCTCATCTAAATTTCTTCCTTTATTGAACGACCTTTAAATGAAAAAGTAGAGAAGTGAAGAGGCAGAATGTTAAAGTGTTTAAAAATCAATTGTAATTTAAATAGAACCTACTGATAATGAAAATTAGCAGAAGTATAAATACCTTAGAATTAATAATAACAAACTTATGTATGTTGAGGATAGGCATCATTATTATACTGGTGTTGCTTTCTATTACAAGGTATAGTATGACATGGATAATAATCCAAAGTTTGAAATTTTCGAAGGATAATTTGATAAAGGTAAGAGATCAGGCAAAGGAATACTATATGGAGGAAAGTCTAAGTTTATTAATTATGATGGAGATTGGAAAGATGACTAATAAAATGAATAAAAAAAACAATAACAATTAGAAGGAGATGTAAACATAGAGATAGAGAAAGCAATTAAGCCAAAGAAAAAAATATAAATTTTTGAAGAAGGAAAACTGATTTAAATTGATAAAAAAAACTAAAATTAAATATCCTTTGGTTAATAAATTTATTGGGTTAAGTTTAATGAATAATATTGTACCAAAGATATGGATATTTTGAAAAGTGGGACAAGTTGGTTTACAAGTTCAATAATAGATGGATTCGCTCAGTACTTAAATATTATTATGGAAAAATAACTTATAAATATGCTTATAAAGAAAGTGAAAAGGTATTTATTTTGCCCTAGTTATCTATACACTAATATGTCATAAGATAGGATTAAAGAAAATTTAACTGCTTTCTAAAACTATATTTTGGAGTTTGAACCTATAGATTTCAAACTTGAGCTTTTATTTTAAAGAGTGTATTTTGCTATCAACAAAAGTAAGACCCACTTTTTCCTATTATATATTGATTTTCCTTCGAAATCCTTAAATATTGTAGATTCTATATAAAAAAATGAATATTCCTATCAAACTGAAATTAAGATTTTTCAGAATATATTTTAATAGCAAATCACTTCCACAAACATCATACCATGCACCTAATAAAGAAATGGTTATGATTGTGGACCATATACTTGCCTTAATATGTATAAAGATTTTAATAATTTAATGCAAGTGGCTTGTCCAAAAATTAAGTAAAAACCAATTGATAATCCTTTGTAAATGAGGTAATTTTTATTTGATATTTTAAAGAATAGTGATAATAATTGAATTAAAAAATATTAGAATTTATCAATAACTGAATGAAAATTTTAATTATATATTTTTATCTTATAGAGATCTTCAAAAATTAAAAAAAAGTAATAACATAAAGTAAATAATATTTTTGATTTATATCATAATTAATTTAGTTAAATACACTTAATTTTTTTGAAATGATTTCTATATTATCTTCTTTTAAATACACTTTGAATAAGTGAAAATTGTTAATCCTGAATTCTGAGTACTCCACTAAATAATTTTTATTTTCTAATACTAATTCTCTCAAGAGCATGATAATTAACTAATTTTGACCCATCTCTAAATGTGAGACAAGGCTGTAGAGATCCATTCAAAAAATTAATTAAGGTTCTGAAATGCTTTATCTTAATTAGTCCTTTGTATGAATATGATTTCTTCTAATATTAGGATTAGAAGATGTCAATATTACTAACGTATTATAATATAATTAATATATAATTTTGAATAATGGATGAAACAATCTTATCAAAATAAAACAACTATCCTGGTTCTTATATTAAGTAAGATTTAAAGGAAGCTGAGGAGGAACACCGAAATCATAAAGAATTAAAAGACAAGAAATACGGCTTTTATTTTTTATTGTTTCAAGGATTAGTTTATATAATTACAATAATCAGTTTTGGATTTGGGAATCCAGATCAACTAGGGAAACCGTATGATTCAGATTGTATTCTAATCCACTTTATAAGTTAATAGAGAAAGTGTGTGGAGTTGATGTAGGATTGGAATAATACAAATTTATATACTTTACAAATCCATCAGATTAGAAGCATTTAAGCAGAACAGTGTGTGTTAAGGAATGTCCAGTTTTGGAAGAAGATCATAATGAAGATGGTTCTATATTCATTCATACATTAGAATCATTGGCGTTGCAATGCTATCCAAACAATGCTATAAATTCATGCAGAAATCGACCATCGATTGATGATCCGAACTATTCGATGATATACTATGATTCAGTGCCATTTATAGATGTTTGCCTCCCAAGGAAATCTAGTTATTTCCAGAATATCTAACATGGATTAGATTAATCATAGATCATTAGCTTTTTATCAGATATGAGTAGTGGAAGAGTCATAATATTTGCTTCTTTGGCACTCTGTTTATTCTTAAAGTAACATGTGAAGAACTAATAAATCTAGTTAATTATTCTATTTTATGATGATCAAACTATAAAAGACATCGATTTGGGTGATTTCAATCACATCAATATTTGGTCTATTTATCTCAGGGTTCTTAGGTCTGTTTTATTTCCTAAAACAATACCAGTACTCTGAGACAGTGATAACAACAGCCAAAATAACAAAGGAACAAGCAATAGGTATGATTTAAGTGCAGGAGTCCAATATAACTATTATTCTGATCTCTAGTGCATTCTTCCTTTTGTGTGGTGTTTACTTTTTGATAGATCTGATAGTAAATCGAAAGAGGTACAAGACTATGGGAGTAAAGATTTAAATAGTCAATTATTTTTTTGATTTCTCATCATCAGGAATTCGATAATAGGAGGGCTAGCCTTCAAGATTCAGAGAAATCTTGATCTTATTGATGGGTAGTGCAGGTTGTTTGTTGATTTTCTGTGCATTATGGGTTTGGATGGCAACGTAAAATAAATTAATAATATTTCAATAGAAATCTGTTTTCTATAGGGAAAGCAGTATAAGGATATTATCCCTTTAACACTTATTAATTGAATTGGACAACTTACCTTATGGGATTTATTCATATTTTTGAATTGGTAGTTGTGACTCTAGCGATTTTAGGAAGTGAACAGATGTTATTGATTGGCAAGGTAGTTGAGGTGTATAAACACATGGGAATATAGAGATAGAAAATAGATTCTCAAGATCCAGAATAATCTTTGATGGACATATTGGAGATTTATGCTTTCAATAACTTTGGTTCCGTAGTGTTTGGAGAGGCAATCATCTTTTTATTGATGATTCCAAGACTGCTCATAAAGATATATGTGTGGATAAGTTTGAAGAATGACGCTGAATTCGAAATTCCATCTTGGTTTTAATAGATATTGTGCATAAATGACAGGGCCTATTTACTGGCCTATTTAAGGAACGATGAATTCCTATTGAGTGCTAAATCTCAATATGTCTTTGATAAAAGATTGAAAGAAACAACAGATGTTCAATATCATGGTGAACAGTTATCAGTCACTTATTGCTTTGCTGTTGCTAATCTATGTGTTTCATTAACTTACATCTTAATCATCACTACAAGTACAAAGATAGGAATTCATTAGCCAGTTTATTTTCTTTTGGTTTCATTCATTTTTTCTTATTTCGTAATTATAGATTCAAATTTGCTTAGATATCTATGATGTTTTCAACAGTCTATGGGGCAACCATAGATAATTTGACTATTTTGTTATACAGAGACACCACACCTGATGGTCAAGAAGTCGGAACATGCGTAAGAAATGCAGTAAGATTGATGAAAGAATCAGAATTAGATGGCCAGACTCATTAACAATAACATGACGTATAAGATTGAATAACTATTGCAATACAGTATCTAAAATACAACAAATAATAAACAATCAATTATTTTCTTCCTCTTAAAATCCTCCCTCTTCCATATCCTCCTTGTCTTCTTATTCCATCTTTTAGATCTCCTCTCTTTCCTTCATGCACAGATCATCTGTGTTTTTTGAAGTGCACTAATTAAATCAAAAGGAAATTATACCTCATCAACTTTTGGTCTTTATTCTGGAGCCACTCTATTACTGAAGTGACTGACAATCTATTAGCTCTCTTGCATATCCCAAACAAATAGTTCTCCTTGACTAGATCCACATCCATAAGTCCATGGAGAATCTTAATAGAATTGACCACAATATAGTGATTCCTAAATTCATAGATTAAAGTCTTACTAATTTTGGATTGTATGAACTGATCAATTGTAATTAACCGTTCTTAATAGGAGCATCTGTATCATACACTCTTATCTTTCCATCCAAACAGGTAGTAGCCAATAACCCTGGCACTCCAGAACTCATGTGTACACTGCTGAGTGCCTTTTTATTTACATTGAAATTAGCTAATGGTTATTCACTTATTTTTCTAGCATCCAACAATATCAGATTTCCATCCTCAGTAGAATAAGCTATCTAATATCCCTTGATTGGATCCCAACATGCACTTTCCAAAGATCCTAGCATTTTATGTTAATGAATTGAATCTGGTGATCTAGCATCAAATAAACAGAGCTTTCCATCTTCACCTCCTGATAATATTACACTTTCCTCCTTTGTATTGAATTTCGAGATTTAAACTTTATCCTTATGATGATTGTAAGTAAACACACATTTCTACAGCATCAAATCCCATAACTTAACTGAATGATCCGCAGATCCTGACAATAAGATGTTGGGCTTAAATGAATTCAAAGACAAACTCAAGACTGAATCAGTATGACTGTCAGGCTTATATGATTTCTTATTCTATTTCTTAAGGTTTTTGACTTTCTTATAATTCTACTCAATCTCTCCTCCCAAGACCATGGATGGTTCCAACACATTGACTACATCTAAATTCCAAATTTCAATTTCAGGCAAAAATGATGACACTATTGCATAGTTTCCCTTAACTGCAGATGTGCTCTCAACTTAACCTGGTTGAATTGGCAACCATTCTACTGCCAAAGGAAATGCTGACAATTAAATCTCGTGATGCACAAATAAATTGGCCTTCTCTTCCTCATAGATATACACTTCCAATGAAGAAAACTCGTTTTCCTAAAATTTAGCATTCATTTATTTCATACGATCTTGGCTGCTATAACCAAAGCATCTGAAGATTTGATTTAGTAATCCTCCTTCTCTTCATCGCTCAAATCCTCTATTGCCACTGGATATCCATCTTCTGGCAATTACTGTTTCCCATGCATTTCCAAATCTTAACAAAATACTGGGAGATTGTCTTCACTCGAATCTTCATCCTACTCTTGTATTTTACCCAAATCTTGTGTCAAACTAAACCTTAATTAAATCCTTTACTTCTTATTTATTAGTTTATCTTGCTTCATCTAGTTGATCTCCTCCTCATCTAAGTCGAATTCTTTAGGCTGCTTTATTGCATACCCTCTTGAAACCCAAGCTATAGCTGAAATTAGATTTTATGCCATAAATTATAAATTTTTATTATTGTATAAAAAATCAAATGTCATTACTCATTCTCATTAATCCCTTTTTAATTTAATAATGTTCATAGCTGCTCTTGCAACAAGGCATCGAGGAATCCAAAAGCATAGCCTTCTCTATGTCATGCAATGCTTATATGTATTTCCCGTTCTTCAAGTATAAATTGGATCTCTTTTTAAAAGCATCTGAATCAGCCTCATTCTTTTCAATATATTTTGTTAACTAAACTTCTGCTTACCCAAATTGGTTTTAAGATATCAAATTGTCCATCTCCTTCATGAATAAATCTCTATCCTACACATTCCCTCCGTCCTGCATCAGTTACTTGTAGTATTTAACTATTTAATTATTATAACAATCTGAGTTGATTATTAATCTTAAATCATGAACTCTAATATTCAGCACTTTTTTTGAGTATTTAACTCAAAAATCATCATGACTAACAAAAAACTAACTATCAATGTCACTCAAATATTAATGTTTTGTATCCATATATTATTATTATATGTACCCCATACTTTTAAAATATCATCTACAATAAATAAATACTTTATAACATAATAAATAAAATATGATTAATAAATTATTATAATATAGATTTATGTAGCAACTCAACAAAATATCGTACTTAAACCAGATACAATCCCAATAGTTTGATGTTGAATTGATGTCTGAAGAGGTGGGTTTCACTTTGGATTAACTAATGGAATTGGCTGGATAAAGCATTGCAAACACAGTGGTTTAATTGAATAAGGAAGGAAAATCTTATAATAAAATTTTAGTTTTATGTGGGCCAGGAAATAATGGAGGAGATGGTATTGTTTCAGCTAGACATTTAAAGTAGTTTGGACTTCAACCTGAAATAGCCTTATTTAGAGAAGTTAAAAATCCATTTTTTAATAGATTGCTCAATCAATGTAAATACAATTCGATTCCAATTCATTATGAAATGTAAGATTTTGAGAAATATGATTTGTTAATCGATGCTATTCTGGGATTCTCATTCAAACCTCCCCTCAGAGAACCATATGACAAACCTATTTAATTATTAAAGAACACAAAGACTCCAATATTATCAGTAGACATTCCCTCTGGTTGGGATGTAGAGTAAGGAAATGCTCAAGACTTCTTTACTCCTTAATATTTAATTTCATTAACCCTTCCCAAGTTAGGAGTAAAGAGTTTTACGGGAAGACATTACATCGGTGGAAGATTCATTCCTTTAAAACTTTAAGAAAAATATAATTTTATTGTACCAGAATACCAAGGAAGTGACACTATTTTAGAATTATCAAATTTATGATAATGATATTAAAAGTTCATAATTTTAAATCTAAAATATTGGACTTTAATTTTTGATCCTCTTGAAAATAGGCTGTTTCGCAATACATTGATAAATTGCTATTTTCTTTATCCTATTGCGACTTTCTAGTATTATAAACATATGTAGACAATGTATTAGCTGTAGCCTTCAATTTTGGTTCTGACTTGACAGAAACAATTGATTAGTGCTTATGAGTCTATTTGCTTTAAATATTATTTTAAGATCTCATATTGATGTTGGGTTTAAATGTTAGATCCTTATCCACTTCCTATTTAATGTGATATATGTGTCTTTTCTTTTTATCCACATGACTTTTCATTCTTTCATAAAGTGATTCATTATTTTGAATTGATGATTGATCTTTAGTTTTATTAATGGCTTACTTTTGTTGGCTGTCATCAAAAAGATTCTTCTTTGATTTAGTAGATAACATATATAGTCTATCAAAAGCAGGTTATTGATTAGGTGAAAAATTCAAAGTAGTATTGATTTTAGGTTTGAAAGTGCATTGTTCCAACTCTTTGGTTTCTTTGTCCAGACGTTAAAATGCTTGCACTTATTATTTTTCAGCAGATTCATTATGCAGTCTCTTAAAGACTAGAGGATATACTTAAATATTATTACTATCATCGCCACTCCTATTTATTTGTCGATGTGAAATCTAGGGTTTAAATGTGCACTCCTATAATTCCTTTTATTCTCGAACAGGAGCATAACTTTGTTTTAGATTGCTTCTTGAAATAGATTCTTAGAATAATCTATCAAAAATGGGTTGTTGTCTTAAATTAAGTTAGTAATATACTTATTATCAACAGTTTAGAAATTAGAAATGGATTCTTGTTTATTAATTGATGGTGTAAAAGTGCATTAACTAATTTCTTATTTTTATTTAATTTCAGAGAAGTCATTTTTGCTAATTAGTTAGGTTTTATAGAGTCGATCGAAAACTTCAATTTCATTCTTTCTGATTGCCTCAACATTGACTTATGGTTTGAATGTGCATTCCTTTAATTCTAGTTGTTATTTTTCTTATTCATATTAGCCTCTATGTCAGTTATTATAATTATACTTTTTCACTTTCTAAATTATTCCATCCATGTAGAGTCTCTCACAAGTATCATTTAAACCCATTTAACTTAAGGCCTTTTTATTGATTGGTGATTGATAGGATTATTATTCGCTAATAGTAGATTTTTAAGAATTTCGAATTTTATTAGGGCTGAATTAGATCTTAGTGCATTTTTAATATGATTTCAGGGTTTTGAATGGTTTTCGAAGTGCTATTTTGGTTAGGATGTTTAATAGATTTGCTGGGTTCTTCCTTTGAGTTTGTTGCATTTTCCAACTATCATATAATCTTAATGCCATATCAAAGGAATCTGAAGCAGATAGATTCTTCAAATAGTCAGAGAGGGAAAAGAGGATGTTATTGTTTGAGATCGAATACTTGTTAACAATAATCCCGATGTCAACTAGATAGTCAATAAATAATGGCATTTAATTAAAATTATAATCATTATTTGAGCATATTCATGAACTTTTAACGTCTTAACTCTAAATACAATCTTCTATCCTTCTTGCCTTTGAGCAATCTTGCAATCACTTTACAAGCCAAGAATTTTTCAATCTCATTATCATATTATTATTATTACTTGTTTCTATTTTCCTTGAGTTTTTCAATAATCTATTGAGCATAATTTTCTTTTCTATCCAAATCCTAATGATATTAAAATTCCTATTACATCGATGATGTGTAATTATTAATCTATTTTTTCTTATAATTGTTGCAACGTTAGACGAGCCAAAGCCAACTCATCTTTCCTCTTCGTATTAACCTCAATCATGAGTTTTTCCTTCTCTTTGGAATCTTACATTAAATTGTATAACTAAGCAGAAGCAGGATCATTTTAAATCATATTCTTTTCGAGATCCTCCCTCATTCCTACCAACTCCTATTTCCTTTCTTTGGCATTTTTTGGTCTATACATAAACTTCTTTCTTTTCTTAGAGTTTTGGGTTAAGGTGCTTTTGGAATCTGTATTGGTTTTATGCGGAATTAATTATTTTTTGTTCACAACTTCACTTTGTTTCTATTATTACTTTTCTTTATCCTTCTCGTCAGGCATCCTACCCTCATCATATGCTTCAAATTCATCCTTCCCATAATCATCCTCCTCCTAATGAATAGGCTACCTTATGTTTTGATCCTCATCCTCAAAATCATTGCCATAATCATCTTCTTGCTCTGTTGTCTTTACTATTTCTTATTCCACCTTGTTATTCTATCTTAACTATTCCAATTTCATTTGTTTTTATTGAATTTCAATTTGTTATTGCCTCAGAATTTCTTCTTTAGGAGATAATGCATTCTAAGTCTTTACTTTTTGTAGAAACTATTCCCTGTTAGTTTATTCAGCTGTTTGAAGTCTTTTATTTTTTTCTTGTAATTAGATAGCTTCTTTAATATAAAATTACCCATCAATTTCGTCTTCCCAATCAAAAAGACCATAAACTTCCTTTTTGACAGGTTAGTCTATGGCCTTAAGTTGTTGGGGCTTATTGTTGATGTGCTGTTCTTTTGGTGTTTATTTTTTACATACATTAGAACTATTAGGTTATTTAGGGAGTTATACATCTGAACCAGAAACCAATAAATTAGATTGTATCACAGGGATAGATTCAGATATATATGTTTATCCAAGCGTAATGGCATTTGAAGTATTTTTGGATGTTGCTTATGGCTTAGGTATGATTTGAGAGGGTTCTTTTTTTTTTAAGTACTTATGTTTTTCTTGGTGAGTCTTCACCTTCTTTGCCTAGGCACTCATTGGCCTTTGGGGAATCAATTTAGGAATTTGATTCTTCTACATCTCTTCAAACTTTCTCACATGATACATGTGATCTCTCATTTGATCCATGAATTCTCTTGTGTAATTAGGGATCTATTCATTATCGAATTTGACTTCACTAAAATCTAAATTTATTAAAGGTTTCATAACTTATTTTATATTTATTTTGTATATAATATCAAATGCAGTTATATTATGTGGATCATTGCTCAACAATTGAAGGAATATTATATATGGTACTAGGTATCCACAAATCAAAACAGTTTCTTGTTATAAATTTAATTAGCACTTATATTTCTTTGAATTTAATGATAATAAATGATAAGTAATTTTATTAACATATATTATTAAAATTTATTTGCAAATGAATTAACAATTAGATGACTCAAAGGAGAGTGTTTAATCGTAATCTATGGAGAGATACCTACAAGCAGAATCAGTAGGCAATTCTCTCTCTCCTTAAAGATTAGTACAGACATCAAGGAATCCTCAAGTTGGAGCCTCAATATTAAAATTATAGAATGGGAAGTATAGCAACCAATCAAATGTATTCAAAGATGCACTCAATAAAAAGAAGACTGAATTGCATAAGAAATCGCAAAAGCCAATTGCTGAGGCTCCGAAATATGAAATTGCAATCAAGTAAAAATAACCCAAAAGTATTTACCATAATCATCTTAGAAATGGACAAGGTGCAATAAAACATCAAAAATGTACAATTAAAAGCAGAGGAAGTGAAGAAAAAGAGAGAAGAAGAAAAACAAAAGGAAGAGAAAATGAAATAGAGCAAAGTTGAACATGCTTAGGAAGATCTCGATGAAGGTAATCGAAAACGCCTAAATCTTAGTATTTTAAGAAACAGTGAACAGATTGTACAATTATGAGAAATAGAGATTGAAATAGTTGAATAAAATGGTGGAAGAAGAGAAAAATAAAGATAAATTAATTATGAGTGCAAGACCCATGATAAATGAACGAAGTTGTAAATTGTTGGAAAGAAAACTAAAACAACTAGTAAATGAAGAGGAGGATTACAAAATGATATATTAGTTTAAAGATGCAGATGTTTAGGTCGATCTCTTACCCAATTTACCTAAATTGAAAGATTATCTATAAATAAAGTATCATCAAAATCATAATCCATAGTGCTAAAAAGACTATCAATATCGGGTAGGAAATACAAATCATCAAAGAGGAGAACGTCATGGAACCTGTGGATCCAGCTGAGGATGTCTAATACAAAGAGGGTTCATGTCATGCAATTGTATAAACCAATGAAATCAAATTCAAAATTGGAGATACCATTAAAAAGTAATAATAATAGTAACCACCCCAATAACAATAATAATAAACAACTTAATTTGCAACTCAGGATACTCCGAACAAAAAAGTATAAAATTAAAGACAAAAACGTTTGGACTTTATGGAAGTCCAAGGATAACGAGTTAAGACTGAATGTTAATATTATGTGCCACTACACATTCGTTAATCTAAAGTCATTTAAAAAAAAGAAGAGTGGGTCAAGTCGTAGATTGAACTCAAAAAGTAAAAGGAGGAGGAATCCATTAGGGCAGAATAGGAATAGTGGGAGAAGGAGAAATAGAAGTGGTCTAAGAAGAAGGATCCAAATAAGTCTATGCAATAGGAAATTAATGTTGAAGAATTCGCTAACTCTTAAATTCATTGGTTAGAAAAGAGAAATGAACACATCTTAACTGAGTAGATGAAAAAGGACAAGGACATGCTATCATCATTAACCTTTAGACCTCAAATACAAAAGAAAAATATTGAAAACTATAACTCTCTCAAAGTAGAAGACAGATTACTTGAGTATCAATAAAAAAAACAAGAAAATCTATAGAAATTAGAGAATAAATACTTACCTACTTTCTAACCAAATTTAAACTAAAAAACTGTATATATTACTTTATTATTTCTAGATGCTTACTATGGATTGGGCATCAAAAAGCTTCAACAGTACTTCAAACAATAAATTATGGCAATGATTGTATATATTTTATTTCATTTTAACTACAAACCATTCATTATTTTTTAAATCATAAACTTCTTTATTAATAATCATATATATATTTCAATTCAAAAATAAATAAACTAATAATTTTTATCATATATTATCGACTGATGGGGGATAATTTAAATTATTTTCTTAAGGATTTTAATTTAAGATATTACTTAATAATATTATTCAGATGAAGTTCATATGTCTACTCCTTTTGTTGATCACTATTATAGCCAATGCAAACGGGATAATCCAAGAATAGCCATTTAACCAGTCCAAATATTTTAGGGATCAAGATATTGCTATCAACTTCAAATATACCCATTATAAATTTGTTAGATAACAAATTGAATCAAGAAATCATAAGATAGTTAATTCTTAATCGCCTGGGAATCAAGAGTTGATTACATTATTCTATAAATTATTAACTATATAAGTCTGAAAAGAACAGAAGTAGCTTATCTACTTTATATATTTACTACTATTACAAAGACGATTACATTGAATATTCAATGTCTAGATAACACATATATTCTTCTTTGCAAGTCTCTTGAAAGGATTCCTACTTTTTTCATTTATTCTTAATTTCTTAATTGTAGTAATATAACATTAATCTTTATTAAAGTAATATATGGAATAGGACCCCTGTGTAAAACACTTATTATCTTGGGATGTTGAGCAAAATCCAAGAATTATGCTGCAATCATTTTACTAAAATCTATTATAATTCAGGATTCCATATCATCCACACAGACATTTATGGTTCACAACAATTTGTATTTATATATATATAATTATACTTTTATATATAGTTCTTTGAAAAATTATTTATATAATTCATTTAACTTTTTCAAGAACATCTAATTTCTCTTAAAATGGAGCCATAATGCCTTTGACTTTATTAAATACTGGTTTCAGCAATGTGCCAACAACCAAAGCTCCTTGGGTTTTTTCATGATAAAGCCAGATAGCGTAGAAAGTCTTAAAAATTGAATATCCTGGGATCCTATTGACTTAAAAGTAAAACTTACATGAACAATATTCCGAATGATATTTCCTCTAATAAATATATTGAACTCATCAAAATCCAATATACAACCCATATTTATAGTTTCTCTTGTAATTTATAAGCTTGGTAAGTCTGTCTCAGAGGGTAGATGATACTTGCTATCAATTAAAGGAGACAACAATATATGCAGGCACTCATTATTTAAATATTAATAAATTAATATTAAATTCATTGAATAGGCATAAAAGTCTTAATTTCTAAAATTAAGTGTTTCCCAAGGGATGTTCTTCAATTGTTTACAGAGTTTACATTATAAAAATGCTGATATTAAAATACAATAACTAATTTAAATGAGATTGAAGGAGAGAGTCAGATTTAATTAAGAACAACCAATTTAGAGCATATGAAAAATACTAATCAATAATAGTAGTGTATCTGATTCAAGTCTAAGTTGAAAGTGACATTCTTTTCTTTATTCTTTTGTTTCTTGGGGGTTCTTCTAATAATTTAGAAATGACTCCGAACATGATGAAGCATCATAATCGAAATAAATACGATCAGAGTGACGATTGCTGCTATACAATATTTACTTAGGTAGGGTAATGACTCAGTGGAGTGGTTCCCATATATCTACCAAATTAGAAACGGAGATTCCATAAAAATTAATTTATTTTATGAGTAATTTGTAAAATATAATAACAGAATTAGTAGAATTTTGAGAAACAATAAAGAGACTAAGAAGTATTGAGAAGGAGGATTGTTTAGATTAAGTTGTGGATGACTAGAATCAATAAAATAAAGTGTAGGGAGAGGATATTTAGGAAGTATTTATAAATTTGAGTTTAATAGTGGATTGTAGATGGATAAGAAAATTAATGAGGATGAGTTCTGATTAGTAAATGTGGAAAAATTGATTTTATTAATAAATAATAAATATTAATATTAATGACAACTGATTTAGACAATGATCTCTATAAGGAAGATGCAGACTTCCTTTATGATTAGTTAGTTCAGTTCAGTCAAAGAGACAAACTTCCTTTTCCTAAACAAGATGACTTCATAGGTATTTGTCAATATGATTATTAGATTATGAAATCAGAGATATCTTACATGCACCAACAATTAAGATAGTGTAAGAAGGGTTATTCACTAGTTGGAGAAGATATGTTAGGTTGAATAGATTAGCATTTTATAAACATTGCAATGAGAGTGACTATAGTAGAAAGAGTAAGTGATCGTAATTAATTTAGTTAAATTGATACTGAAAAATAAGGCATTGGAACCAGAGAGACCAAAAAGAGAGGGATAATTGTAACAATGTTACAAAGGGTATTGTTTAATTGAAGATTTCATGAAGATCAATTTCAAACATGCAGAGACGAGGGAATTTGCAGACTTTCTGAATGTTATGGGTGTGATTAGACCAAAAGTTCAATTAATAAATTATCTACAAATTATTCGCAACACATATGTGAAATTACCGATATTAATTGAAATGAGGTAATTCCAGAGTATTTACACTCATCACAAATTTGATCAGGAGAATGCAGCTAATTTTATTTAACTTGCCTTCCGTAGATACAAGAATCATATGACTGAAGTGCAAAAGCAAATACGAATCATGTCTAGTCTTAATGCTGAAGAGTTGTTTGTTATAATAAAAGACAAAATCAGCAATTCAGACAAATCGCTCAAAGAAGTCTTTGAAATATTTGATTACAATAAGGATGGACATATTGAATTCAATGAATTCATTCAAGCATTCAGGGACTCTAATATCCCTGTTGCAGAAGAAGTGCTGCAAACTGTTTTTAAGTACTTCGACATAAACAACAATAATTCCATCCAATACATGGAGTTCTTGAGTAAAATCTAAGTAAGAACTGTGTCTAACGATTCCTTATTGAGTGTTCAATTCAAAGTGGAATAGACTGTTGAACAATTGAGACAAGTCATGAGGAGAGAATTCAAGGATTTATAAGAGATGATCAACTCACTTTAAGCCTCAGACAGGTTGAAGATCAAAAAGATTGAATTTTTGGATTTTGTGATGACTTACACTCTGCGCTTTTCCAAAATACAACTTGACAATATGTTCCACTACTTGGATCATAATAATAAGAATTATTTAACGATAGAAGACTTTTCCTAGATATTCACTCGGCAATCACTCCACGAGGTTCGAGAAGAGAAGAAGGAGAATAAGTAATAGGAATAGAGGGCAATTTAGAACATGCAGTCTGAAATCGACAATGCTAAATTCTTATATCATTACATCTAAGCTGAAGACATGCAAGGCTTTATATAAGAAAGAGACAATCAACTATTGGACCTATTGAAGACCAATTCACAATAAGGGGTTGCTGGAAAGAGAGTCAGTTTCAGTATGGCTGACATTGAGACCAGAGCCAATATTTACAAGAATTCCCTTTTAAAATTGGAAATACTCATCCAATAGATCTCAATCAAAGTCCTCTTGAAATTACAATAGTCAGGATTAACAGTGAAACAGTTCTTTAGTTAATTTACTTAGAAATTCCCAGAAAAATTCATTGAGCCCAAAGAATTCCTGCTGATGCTTAATGTTCTCTTCAATTAAGTCATGGATGTCTCACTTTCAAATGCTTTATTCAGAATCATTAGTAATTAATATACAGCACGTGTGAGTTTGGCCAAATTCGAAGAATTGATAATGATTGGACAACAAATAAGTCCAATTCAATTAAGAATGAAATTCAATTATGGCTCGTATGTGGCTAAGTTGAAACCTAAATTATTAGAAGAATTCCAGAAGGTTGCCACAATCAGTATAGACATGAAAACTGTCACATTGAAATAAACTTTATCTATTTTGAATCAATTCGGATTAAAACTAGAAATGTTCGAAATTCAAAAGTTAGCTGATTCTTCAATCATAAGTCTCAAAGACAGAATGTATACAGTTGACTATGGAAGACTACTTTAATTGATGTTCCCTGACGTCTATTTGGGAGAGTAGTTGGTTCTTAAGAAATTTGGTATGGTGATCTTAAAGTTATGGAGAAGAATGAAGCAATCCTACTTTCTCAAGAAAGCATCAGGCAAATTCAACAAGAAATCCAATAAGAGACTACCTAAACCATTAGGTACTAAAAGATCCCTTAAGGAGAAAATGAGTGAAACCCTGCCTGCAGTTTAAAAACAAAATGAATATTCTAAGATCAAGAGTGGTGACTTATATTCCTTTGCCAAAACAATAATACTGGAGTGTGTAGAAGGAGCAGCATATTTTGCAGAAACCCAAATATTTACGTAATAAAAATAGCATACCTTTCAAAAGAGACCTACAATCAAGGACTTATTTATTTTTCATCCTTTTTAAGCTTTTGAATTGCCAAATCTCTTGGGAACATTGTCCTATGACTTTTTAACTCAAAGATTATATATGCCTGATAAATAGAGTATCCTTTATACATAGGATGTCTGTGGTAATAGGATGTTGTAGAATATTAATATCGGTACCAAACTTCCATTCAATAAATCCTTTATTGTAGATTGTCTGATTTTTAACTAAAAGATGTTCATACTGAAGTCTAATTGGCAATTATAAATGTGGAGTATGTCATAGAAAAGTGATAGACATGAGTTAGCTATTGATTTAAGAGAGGGAGCTCCAAATGCTTAACAGAATGCTTAACATCTGTGGCAATGTGAGGATTTATTACTAGTGGTTTCGAGTCAAAGGACTCATGTCCATATAATATCATCAGTGTCATTACACATAATAAGAATTGTTAATTTTGTCTGTATTTTGGATTTTCATTTTAAATACATGAACGAAATCATGAATAAGGTGGCTACAAGATTGATTCAAGACACGAATAGCAAGTTTCCTATTAAATTAGAAATGACTCTGGCAGAGATGGAATAGTAAGAATAAAAAAGAAGAGAGTCCCTAAATTTTATGGTGCAATTCAAGGACTCAAGGGTCTAGAAAGGGAAGTTATTGCATTTCTTCACTAACAATTAAGCCTCTGACAAAGAGATTGTCAAATAATATTTTGATTAGATTTGTGATGAGGAGGGCTACATAAGTCAACAACAATATGAAGAAATATTAAAGGATAAGCAGAAGAATAAGTATAATATATATGATGCCCTAAATATAATAAAAATATCTAAAGTGAATTTAAGACAACTTTTCAGTACTTATGACGATGGGAAGAATATTGTTACTTAAAAATAGTTATTTGAGATGTTGGAATCTTTCAATATGAAACCTCAAGTTCGACAGAATTTTGTATGTGCTTTTCCTAATGGTATTTCGTTTCAAGAATTCAGTAAATTGATTGAAAGTCCCATCACTTATGATGAATTATTGCATAGATGTGAATCTAATCATATTGATTTGGTTAAATTATTTTAAGAATGCGATGTTTATAATGTAGGATTATTAGATAGGAATGATTTCTATTTCGTATTGTCATCTTTACCTTTTGGTCTGTTGGACACAGAAATTGATTAATTGGCCTCACAATAAGTGTATGATTCCGAGAGTGGCAGAATTAAATATCGTGAAAAACCACAAGCCATGAAATAGAGAGTCAAACAAGTTCAATTTATTAATGATCTAAATGTTGTTATCGCATCAGTGCATTATCCTAAAAGAGGAACCATCTTTTGTTTGAACGACAAAAACATATTAGCTCTATTGGAACACCATAAAGAAGCCCCAATCTTGCATTATGTAAATGAATCGGGATGTCTGTTGAGTGCTGAAGGTTAGGAATTGTGTATTTGGACAATCTACAGAGATTTGACATTGAAGTATGATGTAAATCCTCCTTGGACAATCAAACCATAAATCAACATAAAATTAAATGCACAGATATCTTAAATTGGATATTTGCCATTCAACTAATTAGTTATGGTGGCTACCACTGATGGGATTAGCTTTTATGATCCAGTCAGTTATCAATAGTAGTCATCTAAAGTATAGGTGCGTATTAAGCCAGGATATTATAAGGAATTAGAGGAGTTCTCTGCCAATTAGTAAGTACCTCTGGTTCATTAATTGGAATTACAAAAAATAGTGTCACTTAGTACAGGAATGCTTTAAACTCCCTTCGAAAGTGAAGATGCTACACTTGGCAGTACTTTATTAAGTCTAGAATTTATGATAATCATGACAGAGATACCCATGGGTCAAAATTCAAAGAACCTACTCAATCCTGTTAAGATAGTTCTTGTTCACAGGTAATCATTAGAGATTCCATCAACACAATTAGATGTGGTTGTACCTCAAAATGTACTTAATCAAATTCAAAGTGATTTAGAGAGAATCCTATAATAAGCACTAATGGGAAAGAGAGCACGAGGAGTCATTGGTATAGAGAAGGAGTTGAATAAAGAATAGTTAAAAGTCCACACTAAGAGATAATTGATTAAACTTAGCAAATAATTAACATTGAATAAATAACCATGTCAATAGGATATTTTGAATGAGATCTCTCATTCTTGTGGTGGAATCTTGAGTTACTCGTTTGTGTATAATCTATTAAGATCTTGCTAGTGTCTAAACCCACATAATATATCGTTTGAGGAATTCAAATACATAGTTCAATATTCAGAAGAGTACAAACCAGTAGTCAAGATATAAAATCAAATTGAATCTAAAT